ATATATATTATATTATAATATTATTATATAATATTATTATTATAAAATAATAATAATACTCAATGAAAGGATAATGTAAAAACTATGGCTGAGGCACTTAATAGCGAGGAAGTGAGTGCTGTTCATACATTCACACAGATACCGACATTTGATGTCCACAACGTCACTCCACTCTGTAAATTAGGGGAAGGTGGATTCTCCAAAGTGATGAAAGTGCAAACAACTAATGGTGTTATATGTGCATTAAAAGAGTCTGTTGATGAGAAGTCACCAACACTTTTACGTGACGCAACAATAATGAAATTACTGAACCATCCAAATGTGGTGCAGTTCTATGGATTTGCACATGAAAACATTTCAATGGCATTTAACCTTGGGTTAGTCACTTTATTGCGTGTGCCAAACGGCTTCTTGTTGATGGAATACTGTGATGGAGGCAATGTAGATTCATATGTAGACTCCTATGCTCAACAAGGGCTCTACCTTCCTCTCAATTTGTTAATGTCCATTTTCAAGCAAATTGCTGTCGTCCAGCATTACTTGCACTTCGACAAAGGCTTTGTCCACAGAGACATCAAACTCGAAAATTTCTTATTGAAAAAACATGAACCTTACCCAATCGTTAAAATGACCGACTTCGGCTTCGGAAGAACGATCGTCGACTCAATGGTCACATTCAAATGCACCCCACTCTTCGCTGCACCAGAGTTGTTAAAGAGAGTGGAGTACTCAGACAAGTCAGAGTTATATTCCTTAGGAGTCTGTTTATATCGACTTGCTGCGTCAAAATATCCATTCGGAGCTACAAAGAATGAGTTCTTCACTAACATGAGACAACAAAAAGAGGTCGAATTCCCAAGGAAAATAGCGGCCTCTGAGAGTTATAGGGAAATCATCGACTTGACTAAAAAACTCATCGTCTTCGATGAAGCCAAAAGACTCTCTTGGGAACAATTCTACGAACATCCTTTCATGAAAATGCTGTTGGCAAGAGAAGACTTGTAATTCACTTTTAGGTCTTTTTGGTGGAACTAGACTCTGTTTATAACGGAATCTAATTTGTTTTTTCATTTCACTTTTACAAAGAAATGAACATTTAGACTCCGTTATAAATAGAGTCTCCACGTATATTTAAATACAATAAATAAGGGTTTAATTATATTTCCAAATATGTTCATTGTTTCTCCATGAGCTTCTTGACTTCCTCTGCCTGTTTTTTTAGCTTGCAATTTTCTTTATAGAGTGAAGCTATAAGTCCCAGAAGAGTGGGAATCTCTTCTCTTGGGAAATTGTCTGCTGATGCCTTTAGCATTTTGCAGAGTGTCACAAAGGAGTCGTCTGGCCTGTTGAAGTCGAATAAAGTGAACAGAGTGGACGGATTAATTGGAGGGCAGAGTCTTTTAACAGTGAAATTGATGGTATCCTTACTTTGTTGGACGAATTGTGTATAAAGCCCATCTTCTTCGAAATGGAACGACTTTTCAGTCAACTCCTTAATGAAAGAAGCTGCCGCTACAAAGTTGCAAAAGTAGCAAGAATGGGCTCCGTGTGTTGTTTCCGCAAATGTGGACACGAAACTGATAGTCGAGGCCAAATGGGGGAGATTTGCTTTCAACAATGCGTAAATAAGAATAGGCACAAAAGTGTCTCCAGAGACATTTCCAGTGACATAGACTATAGTCATCTCGAGTACCTTTAATGAGACGTAGATATACGCCAATTTGTCTTGTGCTGTTCTAACCGAATCAATTTGTTTCAAACAGTTGATCGCATAACTCAGTGGAATAGTCGCTTTGTTCTCATCAAATTCAACATCCAACAATTCAGGACTCATAAATTGATGGTCGAAAATTTGAGAAGAAATTCGCGCATCCTCCTCAGTTTCTTTCATTTGTTTTCCTTCCATCACTTCAATGCTTGGCGGCCAGATATATGGAAATACCCTTGTAGAGATCGCTCGGTTAAGTACAATAGCGCAAGTCCTATCTTCATTAATTATCGCTTTTCTCTGTCGTAGCGTTCCCACAACCTCTTTCACATATTTATCAATAACACTCTTCCGTTCTTCCAACTTCATTCCATTCACCATCTCAGGAAAGCTCGCTACAAAACTGTCGATTTCCTCTTTAATTTCACGTATTTCGTAAACCCTCTTGTATACCCCCTTTTGCTTCTCAACGACATTTAAAAGCTCCTTCTTCCTCTCATCATCAAGAGGCGGCGCAAATAAGACACAGACACTCTCGGTGGGCGACTTCTGGTAGAGCTTCTCCTGTTCTTCGATGCCAGGTATCCCACTTCTAATAGTCTCGAAGGTCAAGTCCAGTGAGAGTTCTATAGTGTTCTCATTGAACATCAATGGAGCGTACCCATCCATTAATTTCCACGCCCAACTGCATCCATGTTGATATAATGGATTTTCTATATTCATCACATAGAGTAATTTTCCTTCTTGTCCATTATACGTGTCGATTCCCGTGATTCGTGTGGAGTAGATTCCAGCCGATGACGTTGCAATTTCTTGCACGAATTCTAACACGTCGCGGAAGTCTTCGAAATCAGTGCCGACGAAGTCCTTCACATCGGACATATACACCTTAACTTTGCCGTCATTTATAGAACCCGGGATTTGTGTGAGAGTTGTGAATTTTAGGGTTTCTGTGTCGAGTAAAATGAAGTGCGTGTATATGAACCCGGGAGTCAATTTCAGATCAGAAATTGAGGAAGCTGGTGGAAGTAAGAACAACGCGTTCAGTTTCAACGCGTCTGAAAGTATTTGGTGATTCTTTTTGAGGTACCTGAACATCGGGTGTGTTGTGATAGCAAGGGAATTGTTCTTGAAGTTCCTTTCTCCCTTCATTTTCGGTACTTTCTGAGTCTTATTTTCTGCAGTTGGAAACACGGAAGTAGAGTCCGGGAGTAATTTAGCGTCTGTGTTTACAATGCCGTCATTGAGTATTTCAGCTGGTGGAATTGCTTTAATTGTTACTGTTGGGATATTCCTCTCATTGACGGGCTTTTCGGAGTAATTTGTGTGTTTGCATTGCGTAACAAACGCTTCTGAGAGTGGAAGAGGTGGTTTAACATTAAGAGGAACGCCGTCGACAAACATGAAAGATCTCGACTGGATTCTTCTTCGTATTTTCTTCGTTTGAGAGTCGACGACCAGAAACTTTCTTTGTGGCTTAGGAGCTTGATAGTTCGGTTTTTCGCCGATATTTGATTTGGACCGTGTAGGAATCTCTAAGATGACATGGGGGAGTGTGTTTTGTGGTGTTTTTGCCAACTCATTAGTTTCGATGATTCTCTTTGAAATTGGTTTTGTGTGTTGTTTAATAACCTTTCGAGGCGATGGAGGGGTTTTAGTTGGTTTCGGTGGTATTGGTTTAAAGTCTTCTTTATGACCTTTAACAGGGTTACTTGCAGTAACTATTGTAAGTGAAGGATATTCCAAATACTCTTTCGACTGATTTGTAATTAACAATTGAGATGGAAATGTGTCTGGAGATAGTATTAGACTAGTGTCGGAGTGTGACGGGTGGTGTCGCGACTTTGGACTGTCCATTAGCGTTTCAGAGTTGATGGACATTACTATTGTTTTGTAGCACACATAATAATAAGAATTTAAAAGAGTTGACTCAATTCAAATAGTATTTTTATTGTTTCTATTCATTGGAAACAAAACAACAAAACAACAAAACAAATGGAAAAATTCAACTTCATTTTCCTGTCTAATTAAATTTTAATTTGTTTTTTCTATAACTTACTATTTTTTAATTTAGTTATAATATAATAAAAGTATTATAAATAGTAGTTCTAAACTAATTATCTTAAAAACTAGAAATATAGTACATTATATTAATTAATAGTAAATTATACTCACACCGTGTTAGTGTGTATTTAACTATATATAACTATAATTTTATTATACTAAAAAACCATTTCCATTATCAAAAGAAAACACAGAAGAGATAGGTGAAAGAAAAATCACTCGACAAAAGAAGCGAACTCAAATAGTACTATAAAATCGATGCCAGATAAAACATCGTTAGCAGTCACAATTTTAAGTGGAGTGTATGTGGGTATCGGGTTTGCGGCGATAGTCTTTTCAGTAGTTCTGACGAAGAACATCAACACGTTTAATCGGAGTGAAGAGTCGAAAGACGCTGATATGATGTTGTATTTTATAAAAGCGTCGTGTGTGTATTTAATGGTAGCTGGTGCGGTGTGTATGATGAGTGGCTCATTAGGGATGGTGGGGTCTTTACTTGAACGCCAATGGTCTATGATGCTCTACTTCATGACTCTTTTGGTCTCTTTAATCATTTGGTTCATGTTAGAAGGCATTTTTGGGATGGTCTCTTTTGGGCTTACGGCATCTTCGGACGCTATGATGAGTGCTACAATCCAATCGTGGGAAATCCGTTTCCATTGTTGCGGTTTGTTGAATTATTTAGTTAATTATTCTAATTAATAGGATGGAAGACACTCCCTTCGGACGCTTCGAAATGCGCATACCCACAAGCGTTTGCAACGGGACATACATGCATCAAAGAATTCAGCTCGATCATTTCAATCTGCCTTGGTGGGTTCATCGGCGTTGCGTTGCTCGCTATATACGCAATTGGACAGATGATTCTCGCTTGCTTCTATTACAGAAAGCTCAAGACAAACTTCTCATACAGTTACAAGGAAAACCAGAACTTAGAACACGAAGATTAACTCACTTTTTAACTCATTTATTGTGTTTGCTTTATTTTGAAATTCGTGTGGTAACTTTTATTATTATTTGCACAGCGGAACCAAACTTGAAAATGAATTCATACGTGTATATTTTTGTTTAGTGTATGCCGAGTAAGGAACAGAGCTTTTTACATTTTTTGAAGAAGTCCTTGTTCGTCAGGTCGTACCGTTTAACGTTGATGAGCTCAATAACTGTGACAACGACACCAACTTGGAGTGGCTTCGATACCAATAGGCGCTCCATTAGGATTTTTGTAATTTGTTCTGCAAGGACTTCATTGGCCGAGAAGAACATTTGTATAATAACAGAAAAGTACAGCGTGTGTGAGTTGGGGAATCTCAAATTGTCTACGATAGCATTGAGCATAAGATCTCTCTCTGCTACATCCAAATTGAACACCAAGTAATAGAGCAATTGCGAGATGGAGTCACTGTGAATTTTGTCTTCTCTCTTTTGAGCGAGGTACGTTGCGAGTCTCAGGTAGTCGCATTTCACTTTTTCGAGAATCAATGGGAGCAACCTTTCCTCTCCACTATATATAAACGCGTCGACTTCTCCTTCAGCTGCAAACGCTAACTTCGATTTAATAATGGGTGGAACGTGTACACATTCGTTTTCGTTGAACGCGATGTTGACAGAGAAGTTGAGACCAGGGGGTGTTGCAGTTAGAACGAATGATCTGAGCTGTCCAAGCCTATATGGGATGACCTCAAGATAGTCAACAAAGTATTCAGCCAAATATTCTGGGAAGTCGTGCCGTATAACAGCAACTATTCTCAACACAGACGCGTAGAAAACAAGAATAGAATGTGGGATATCCTTTTCATTCCCGATGATGTTTGAGACAAATTGCAGTAAATTTTTCGTCAATTCCGTAAATTTCTCTGGTGCATTTTCGACACGATTGACGATAAACGATGGAGTGATCATATCGACCCAATTATACGCAAATCCGGGCATGCCCTTGGGCTCGCTGTTTTTCATAAACCTTCCAACGCACGTAAAGAACGCATTTTGCTCCTTTTCATCGCGTTCTCCGTTCACAAACTGAGTATGGAAATACTCCACAATTCCGCGTATTTTCGACGTGATTTCATTATCTTGACTATTTTTTAACAACACCCAGAAGAGTCCTTCAAACAACGAGTCGAGTGCTCTTACCAGTGAGGCCGATCTTGAAGTCACTCCAAACAAGTGCCCACTCAACACGTTTTCATCGAACGCCTTTTTTTCCTCGATCATTTCATCCAAGAAACAGTATGCATACAACCCATAGCTGTATTCCATGTCAAGTGATTTGGAAATTGCCTCCAACTCGCTGTCACTGTTTTTACCGATCTCGATTTTCTTAAACAGCTGGTGCTCTCTTTTAGCTGGTAAGTTACCGTAAAGTGTACATTCAACTTCTTCAAAGTCGTACAATATTTGTTGGCTTGGTAATAGTGCAGTTCTGGCAATCATCTGTGGATGTGTCAAGTAACTATTAATCTTATCGTCAAAGGGTAAAGTGTCTCTTCTCTCAATTTCCTCAACGACTCTCCTGGTCGTTGTCTTCATACAATCGTCGACAAATTTCGCAACACAAAATTCTTCAAATGGCGCAATGACCCATTTTTCAAAGAGTTGTGGCGTGTGACAGACAACGCCAAATGAAATTTCCTCCTTTTTGGCGCTATTTATATCACCCTCTCGCATCTTTTCGTCAAAGCCCAATCTCCACTTATCAAGTTCTGTTTTGACAATTTTCGAGATCACCCCCGTCGCTTGGGTCAAAAATACCATCCGCCCCATCTTCGCCACAAAACTCAAAACACATCTTTTTGCAATCTCACGAGGCGAACGCTTTGTATCTCGAATCACAGTCAACCGAAGCAAAGAAACAACACTTTCGACTGACTGGGCTTTTTTCTCTGAAAATTTCACCGAAAAAATCTCGTAAATGAGTGAAAAAATGACAACCCATTCGGAACGGCCAAATACTTCAGTGATCAAAAAAGAGGGGAAGAATGTTGGGAAGTTGGAATCCGTCCACATCGGGGTGGTTAAACGACGCCCATAGTACGCTTCCACGTACTTCTGTGTGACTCCACGCTTCACAATAGCTTCAATGTTCAACAATTCACCAGCAATCTCACTCGTCGCAATGACACGTTTTTCCTCATTCTTCAATTCAATAGTTAAGTCACATGGAAATTGTACAAAAAGCTTGTGAAGCTCGCCGTAAATGGCCGTCGATGGTGGCATAGCATCGTACACGGCACGGAGCGTCATGAGGATTTTGACTAACCATGGATTCTGCCGCGTAAAAACGCCACGAGCTTCTTTGACGATTTGAATGACAAAGAAAACAAAGTCGCAGCACCACGTGTGACTTAATGAGTCTCGTAAAAGATACTTCAGATCAAACCGCTTTGTCAAAATGGGACGATTTTTGCCCAATGTCACTTTCCCCATTATAACACCAGTGCGGTGTAAAACCACGGCATCGACTGGGGTTAGTTGTTGAGACAGAAGGCGCTTGATCACGCGATCCAATTCTCCAACGACAAAATTCCACAACTGAGAATGAAGCACTTTGTGGTGACCGTCAATCAATTCGAGAAAACGGGGAAGCAAGTCAATTTTGGCTAACGACATGTACACAATGATGTCAGCGATTCCAGTGATCGCTTTCGATTTGCTGTACGCGACAAATTGGTTGATAGCAGCGACGGAATTATCTTCGAACAACTCGAACACGCTCTTCATTAACTGATAAACCTCGGTTGATAATGTTTTTAATTCTGAAACCCGTTGAGAAACTTCCTCGTTCGTGACGTACGGAATTGTTTCCGACCGCATCACAACTTGTTTGATGATGTCTTGGTGTTTGGAAATTAAACGCTTGTTTTCTAAAACCATTCTGCCATATGTCTTCCATTGCCGCATCTTTCTCCAGAACTTTTTCAGTGCAGCGACACCAAACTCAAATTGGGTGCCAGGCCGTTGCAACGACTGATACACGTTTTTAAGTAAATGTACAATTAAGTGGACAGGCAAGATACTCTCCTCGATGATGTCCCCCACAATGTCCCCCACAAAAATTGCATCTTCTTCGTTCTCGAATATTTTATCGCAACTGTTCAAAATCAATTTAATGAACAATTCGTACTCTTTCTTTCCATTCATTTTACTCATTTTCGACAACCCTCCAATCGAATTGAACAACGTCCGAATCTCAACAACTTCTATTTTTGATATCAACTCTCCTGTTTCGACAGAAAACGCTGCAATCGCTCGGTTTGCCAAATCTTCATTGAAGTACCCACGAATTTCATCTTCGTTGCACCGTACAATCTCCTTCGCCCACCTGCAAGCAGTTGCCCACCCTTTCATTGATACAACATTGTTTTTCACAAGGGAAAGCGATATGAAAACGCCGTCGAGCGTTTTAATGCCAAGCATATTGAATGAGTCCAGTGGTGCTTTTGAAGAGGACAAGTATCTGACAATTGCGTTCTTCATAATTGGTGACGCGTTAATTTCGTTTTTCAAAGCCGCTGCGGTTGCCGAAGGAAACAACGGGAGCATTTTTTCGACCTCAAGGAAGTTGTTTGACGAAAGAAGGAAGTGGAAATACTTTCCAAGCGCAATGATTGTTGGTGGAGAATTTATCGAAGCAACGAGCGGAAATGCTGCTGGGTTGCATTGAAGTATACAGTATATTGTCCCAATGACACTTATTTTTGAAAGAGAGTACATTGAGCATATTGGTTCAATGACGTCTGGGAACAAATCTCCGTCGAACGCAAAGGACAACAAATAATGTAACTGTGTTTGTGGATTTTTCCAAGGGGCGATGAAAAGGTTGATTGGAAAAGGACGTGTGTTTGTTGCGTAATACATTTTGAGTATTTGATGTGCGAGTGTTGGCGTTGGTGTGTTGTGATTTTGGTCATCGAGTTGGCTTATTATTTCGTCCCAGTCATGCGCTTGCAGTTTGTCGGTAAATTTGTGCGCGACTTCTTCATTTATTTCGAGGTGGAACGCGTTGTTGCTAATTGGACGAGAACTAAACGAAAACTCGTCCAACGATGTTGGGTAGGTTATTGTAGTGCTGTTGCCGGGGCGTTTGTTGTAAAGTGGCGCCTTAACTGGGCCATACTGTTTCTTGAAAAGATTGTTTTGAATTGTGCTCACGAGCTGGACCATTTGCCCAACTAAATTATCGCCAGACATAATACAATATCACAGTTTCTCTCAACCCTTTCGCAATTTTTTTTCTTTTTTCTCTTTTTAATACTCCCGAATTAGTAGTTGTTTAACGTTTACATATTATTGTCAAATGTCCCACCTCTTTAGATGATTTTCATGTACAGTTCAGTGTGGACAAATAGAATCACAAAATTAAATTGATTATTATTATATAGATTAAATATATTTATACTAAATAAATATGAAATATGGTAAAAATACGTTTAAACCAGTGATAAACTAACTCTTTATATTAATTAAATTTTATTTTATTTATAGTAATAGTATACTATAAAGATTTAAAAAGATATTTAAAAACACAAATTAGAACTTATTTGCATATTAAATTAAACAACAACAATTCAATAAATCAATGAAATAACATATAAAATAACCTTAATATTTAATTATTACCAATTATTTTTTCAATTAGTATATAATCCTTGTTGTGTATGTTTGTTTGACGTATTACATCAAACAAACTTTTGAATATATAGTAAGGACCACATACATGTTCCGTATTACCAAACCCACCTCCCCAATCATCACCATAAACATATAAAAATTGTTTCTCTTCAAGCAAAGTTCAACAATGAAATATCAGTTCTTCCAAATGAGAAATTCGGCTATTTTTTTGACCAAGTAGAACAGAAGATGATCTTTACTTAAAATGTCGATCAATAGTTTAAATAGTATATTATATAATACATTTACCCATTTCAACATGTCAGTGTTCTAACAAAAAATAGGTTGACTGTTTGGAAAATTTTTTTATTTCTTTGTTTTCAATAAAAACCATCAAGAACAAAACCGAACATGATATAAACTATAATTTATAATTTAAAAAACTACAATATATAGTTTAGACAATGATTTGTTCAACCATGTGTAAAGTCCACATTGTTTTTGATTCGCCAAACACCAAAATTGCAATATTTAAACTTGAAACGCCATAAGTAAAGAGTTATAAAGGAATGTTACCATTTGTTATACCATACATCCATTTAAACGACTTAAAGAATTTTGTTTTGGTTTCACATGTTTGCCAGAGTTCATGTCAAACAGCACCAACGAATCCATGGGATGACGAGAATGATGTGTACACTTCGGTATTAATCGTTCAAAAGTACTTTCCACATATCGAAACACTGACAGTCTCATTACAGTCTGTAGAACAGGCTTCTTCATTCTTCCCACATATCAAAACTATCAAATTGAACGACCAAAACCACGAGAAAGGGAAATTCAAGTTTGAGTACGTCGACAATCCATTTTCAAATTGCGACAGACTCTACGGGTATAAAATCGTCAATTTGGATCATTTCAGTAAGTTCCTCCACGCGGACATTCAGTCTATTCACATCAAAGCAAGAAGAATACAAGTGAGAGCCGTTGTGACTCATCTCCTTACTCTCAACCTTAAAATTCTTTATATTCACATGAAGAAATGTACAGAAGATGTTTTAGAAGCTATCAAGTTGCTCTCTGTGAAAACCCGAGTAGTTGTGATATGGAATTCCAATATTGAAGAATTGCAATACGAAACAGTTTCTTTACTCTCAAAAAGTTGTCACATAGTTGTGAACTTTTTTGAACACCCGGTGTTTGTGAATCGATTTGACGACTACTGCGCCTTCACTGAGAAATTTGAATTTGACAATTTCGACTTTTTTAATAACTCCGAGAAGTTTGAGACCAACCGAGTGAAAGAAAAGATCTTTGCGAAGTATTTGTTCACACACATCAATGTGACGTCGACGAACAAAAATTTGAATTTGAAGAACATTGTTGGTCTAGAAGAAGTCACTCTCTGCGATTGTCACAACGTCACCCTTCCAAGTACCGTGAAAACAATTCGAATCACAAATTGTTATGGAAAATGTGAAATTACAAATTGGGAAGACCTCAATGAGTTGGAAGACATTCAATCGGACTATCATTTAATTATCCCACAGAAATATTCCGACTACGAACACTATATTGGTACAGCTAAAGACAAGTGTGTGTCACAGCGCAAACTTGCATCACGAAAAATGTTATTTTCCGGATTATTAGTACTTGTGGTCTTAACATCTACTTTATTTATGTTTGTAAATAAACAAGTCACTGGGATGTTACTTACATTTACGACGACAGTCACTTCACTCAAAGTCTTCTTCCGTCTTTTCTCTAAAATACTCGAAGAGACTTGGAACATCAAGTTGGCCATTTTATCACTGTGTTTCTCTTCTTTGTTGATACTCACTTTATTGTTACAAATTTATTCCACGAACTCGCTCGTGTTATGGATGGTAGACAATACTTTAATACTACCAGAAGTGATGTATAACCTTAATGAGTTATCTCTTAACACATTCTTTAAAAGAGAGTCTGCTAAAATTGTGAGTCTCACATTTAATTCAAAAAAGTGTGACGAAGTCTGGAATAGAATCATTAACAGGGGATACTCCGTTTTGTTATTCCCAATCACTTCATGTTTGGCTGTTGTTGCTCTCTTCATAATGCAAATCACTGGAATCTTTTTTGGGAAAAATGTTGTTGTATTTACAAGTTTTGTGTCTATGGTTCTGTCAACTATTTCAATGCTAATCTATTTCAAAATCATTGGATGATGTTATACTACATTTAAATTTTTAATTTAGTATTTATAATATATTTAATTATTTCAAAATTAATGAAAAAGTTTTGAATTTATTCACATTTTACAAAAAATTCTAATTTCTTGTATTTTTATTTTGTAAAATATATTATTTATATAAAAAAATAAACTAGATTTCATTCTTAAAACTTTATTGTAAAATAAAGTTTTAAATAAATATCACAAAAACTAGATGTCAAATGTGTAAATGTGTTGTCAAGTATTCGTAAGTGTGAGTACTTTAAATCTTTAAGTACAGATAGATATGAATAATTGTAACATTTTCTATAGTTGAGAGACTATTTGAAAACGTCAAAATTATTCAAATAATTCAAAAAACTCAATTTTAAATTTACTATTAATCTAATTATTTTTTATATTGAAGAAACTAAAATTAATAGTATAATATATAATAGTATTGTAATACTATATAAAGCTATTTGTTAATAAATAATTTTAATAATTTTTATAATAAAAACTAATTAATAAAAAGTAAAAAGGATTATAATGGACATTTTGTATGACAGTGATGTTGAGGGGTGGAATAAAGAGAGTTTGATTTATTCAATTGATAAAAAGAAAGGGGTTTGTTTTATCATCGAAAATGAGAAAAAAGATGTCTTTGGTTTTGTTTTTGAAAAAGAAATCAAAGCGAAAAGTCATGGATATAATTACGACACTGTTCGTTTTTGCAGCTTTTGCAAAAATGGGAAAGTGCAGGAAAGGGTTTTTGATGCGAATGAAATGAACTTGGTGAGTGGATTATATTTTGGAAATCAAAAATCGTTCTTTTCAATCGGGGAAAGTGATTTCGAGTCTGACGTGGATTATTGCGTTTTGGAAAAGAACCGGAAAGGTCGGCTCAAGCTTATGCAAGATTTTTTCTCTCTAGAAGAAGATGAGACATGGAATTTAGATTTTGAAGCAAAACGACTCTTAATCGTAATTAGAGTTTAGTTTTAATTAAAATAATAAAAAACTGAACTATAATTTAATTCCAATCAAACTTAATTAACGTATATTATTAATTTACATTTGTTTTAATAATTAATTTTAAGGCAAACTAATCATCATAAAAATCAATGAGTTTTAAAAAATTCAATTAAAAATTATAATTAAAATAATTATATTAAAATGAATTTATAATTTAACCATTTTTTACTAAAAAAACGAACTATACACACAAAGAAAAACCTTAAAATAATAAAATAATAAGAAGATAATAATAAAACCTAATAAAAAAGATTACCAAGCGAAATTCAAAAAGGAGAATGGGCGAAACTTTGCACGACAAAGAACAAATCTTCGAAAGTCTTATGGGAGAGGATCAGCGTTATTTTGAAGGAAAACGGAATTGGCTTCGACAACAAAACTTAGACGAAATATTTGATGAGGCGGAGACTAAAAGTGTTTTAAACGCTTTGGACTCAATCGATAAAATATGGGAAAACGTTCGTTTTTTCTATTACAACAACAAAACACTTACAAATAGATTTACGATACAAAGCAAGAGTACCATGTATTCAGTGAAAGGCTAAAGGAAAACGAGAAGTTCCTTGCGACTGCAAATGCCGAGTTCGAAGAAATGGAAAAAGGCTTTTTAAACAGCCTCACTCGTTCCACTCTCAGCAATCTCAAGTGAGATTGAACGACATGTGTGCATCTTGTAAATTGTCATTTTTGCAAATTTTGGTATGTTTTGAGTTTTCTCTTTTTTATGTTTGGTTGATTGTTATTATTAAATAATAGTAATAATAGTAAAGTACTTTTTTGAAATGTTTCACAAAAAAAATTGTTATTTAAATTATTAAATAAAAACCAAATAAATATAATTGAAAAAAATAAATCAAATTTATTTTTTCGATTAAAAACTTTTTAATAAAAAGTCAATGCTATTTGTTCTAATTTTCAAATAAATGGTAAAACAATAAATAAATTAATAGTAAATTACTTATTTGGAAGACACTCTCCGTTGGTACATTTCCCTTCAAAATTGCACCCATCACAATTTGGGATTTCAATTTTGAGAGACTCAATATTCTCAACACCTTGCATATCTGCCTTGATTTCAACCTCAAACATGTCTGCCTCAACAAACGCGTTTTCGTAGTTGAAGAACTGTGAATTATCGACAATTTTTGAGTTAAGATTTGAGATTGAAGTGGTGGAATTGTTGATCAGAAAGGCGGGCATTTTGCCATTGAAAAAGTAAAACTTCGCTTTAATTTGAATCGTTGTCACGCTGTCGTTACTCGAAATAAAATGACACGAGACATTTTTGATCTCGTTAAAAAACACAGAGGTGATGATAAACCCTTCAACACTAAAGCTAGGATGGAAGTCGATACCAAAGAAATTGTACATATCGTTTGGGAACCTCACAGATTTTGTGACTTTCGCGCTATCGTAAAGAGAAACCACTCCAACCAATGAATCATGTGAATAAATCGGAATGTCTCTACTCTTTTGCGTTAGTACAATTGGCTCTGGATTTGTGAAGTTGAGTTCATGACTTTTCTCTTTAAACCGAGCACGATATATCTTCGGCTCGATTGTATACCTTATATTCTGCTCTGTTGTGTTGGCGATTTGTTGGATGAATGGAGAAAAATTTTGGGTCTGCTTTGCGTTATTCTTCTCGACTGTGAAATTAAAATAATTATTGATATCGCCGCAGATAATTTGTGGGTCTGTCCGTGCAGGATAGACAGACTGTTTATATAATGGGATGACAACAATATTGAAAGAAGACACACACCCAGTGTCGTGATGTTTCACATACATCGAATAAACAGGGTCCGGGTCTTTCACCGTGACGAGAACAATGTCTTCTACAATCTCGTCGGAACTTTCCTGGCTCGGGTCATTGTAATTTTTGTTCAAACCAAATGTCAGTGTCATTGCATCACATTCAATGTAGTGTTGAATAAAAGAACTTTCCTCACAACCTCCGAATTTTGCTTCGACGGTATATTTAGACGTGTTCAGCGTAACACTTGGAAATTCGGTGTTTTTTGATATAAGGCCGTATTTTGTCTTAACAAAAACGCCACCAAATATAAGGGGAATCGCAGGCTCAACAAACGTGTAAAAATATGTCGAGGTATTTATTTTAATAAAAGGGGGATCGAACGCGCGCGTGAATAAAGTCGCGTATTTATTGTCGCAGGTGTACGACCACTTTGTAAACACCGCACGCACAACAGCCAAAATCACTGTCAAAATTATTGAAAAGATCAAAATGGCTTTTAAATAAAACTTCACACGGTACTGCTTCTTGAAATATTCAATTCGCTTACTTCCCCCGTCCGTGTCATTTGCTTGTGGAGTTTCGTCTTCATAAGTGTAGAGAAAGTACTTCATAAAATAGTTTTATTATAAGATGTAGTTCTTTGGTTTCGAATTGCAATGGTTAATTTTTCTTATTGTTATAAATTCAACAATGTAAGTTTATTTATTATCTATACAATAATTCTAATCAATTATAATTTTTTAAAATTAAAAATTTGGTTCTTTTAATTGATAATTACAATTATACTATATTTATAATTATAAATTTTAGTTAAGGACTTGACCTATTTTAAACAAAAAACGTCTGTCTGTAAACAAAAACTGAATTATTAGTTTTATTTAGTTTTTAAATAATATTGAATAAACAAATAAATTAATTTGTAAATTATGATGAAAAAAAACAAACTAAAAATAAAAACATTTGAAGTTTTTATCGACAAAGTTAAATAAATATTGAAAAAAAACTATAACACTAATAAAATATGAACTAATAATATATTATATAAATTATAATAAAATAGAACGAAATCAAAAATCAAAATCAAAATCAAAAAAAAAATGAAAAAATGAGATTGAGAAGTGTGGAATGATAGAAAATTTGGAAGCCAAATATGTAAAGAAGTCTGATGTGTGAAATACTTGTTTCTATAAATGCTTTGAAATCTCCAGTCGACTGGGAAATTGTCAAATCATTGAATGACAAAGTTGCCTTGGTTGAGTCTGGCGCAGTGAAAAAATGTGGCGAAGAACGAAAAGAAGGGAGCGACCTTTGGAACTTTGTTGTAAAGAGTGGTGACACAACACCATTAAAAAATTCCTCGTGGCTCCGTTGGATCGCTTGTCGGCTTGTGATGCTTGAGAAGCGAGAGCATGATTTGGTGTTTCTAAAAATGCTTGGGAAGACCGGGAAATGTCTTGTTGAATGTGGAGAGTTTTCACTTGGGTCTGACGTCTTCGACACAGCAACGTCTTTGTATGACGAAGTGATGAAAAGCGTTGTTGGAAATCAAGAACGGCAAGACACTCGAAAAGTTGGATGGATGTTGTTTGTATGGAGAATGCAATCTGCATGGAAAGAGGGAAAGATGGAGCTTGCGTGGATGTTTTTCAATAAAGCAAAGGATTTGGTGAAAGACAGTAACGAATCGATTGAGGATTTCTTGGTACTCATATATAACAAAGTTCTTGAGATGTACAACATTGGAATGTATCAAGCGTCAATCGAATGGCTGAACGAATACATCCAATTATCGACATCTGACAAGGTCAGGGTCGGAGAGGCTTTGAAGATTGTGTCAAACTGCTACCTGCATTTGGGTGATGCTGAGAAGGCGGTTAGTTACATCGAAAAGAGTCTGGAATTTAGTAAGAACGAAGACTCTGAAATGGTCCATGTGAAGTGTCTGTTACTCGCAAACCCAAACTCTGCGATCCAACCATTCAAGTTGTTTATCACGTCTCCTGATGTGTCATTTTCAAATAAAATTGCAATATGCAAAGCAGCTGGAGATGTAAAAAATGCTGACCTTGGGCTTTTCGGGTATGAAACTCTCCTTTCTTCACTTTCCAAAAAAGACGTGGTCGACTCTCGTTTATTCTTCGAGGTCTCCCAAAGCTATTTGGAATTTTTATTCTCTTGCAACTCTGTTAACTACATTTCGTCGCAGAATCTTATTGAGTTGGTAATGAAGAACGTCCAAAGTGGAAAGGTGCAATTTTTATCAGAAGAGGTGTATTCACTTGTTGCACTCTTATGGGAGCGCGGTGTTTTTGATGTGAAGAACGCCAACTTTAGAACAGGTAATGAGTGGTTTACGTGCGCCTCGACATTAATGCACCTTACAAAATGTACTGAACATCTTGAGGAATTATCAAAAAACATTTCAATTTGCAGCTATGAGTTGCACAACTACACCGAAGCAACATCGTCAGCAAAAAACTCCATTGAAGGTGGTTGTACTGACCTAAAACCAGATTTTATTTTGTTTTCAAGTCTCCTTCATCTGCACGATCCCGAGGGTGCATCAAGTGCATTATCTTCCACGCTCCGTCGAGCAAGTTCGAACGACGACAAAGTCAAATACCTTGAGGCATGTTGTGGGGTTTGCGAAGAACAAAACGAGGAATCCATCCTCGTAAAATGTCTCAGAGAAATGTTTGCGTCACTTCCAGGAAACAGTGCCGCTGGAACCACGGTGGTTGTCTTCAAACAACTTCTTAAACGTGAATGTTCGGTTGGTTTGCTGAAAAGGTTTTCCGAAATGCTCCAAGGTGATAGCGCTGGTGTTGTTGGTGAAGAGACTGGAGACGTAGAGTGGTGTCTTGCCTTTCTTTTCAACACGGGAAAAGCTAGTTACACTTCAAACTCGTTGTTGTTGTGTTGCTGGTGCTTTTTTGTTTACAATGAACTATCAAAGTGTTTCCAACCATACAGCGAGTTATACGAAAACAGAATATTGGCATGTCTGATGGGTGCCGCTTGTGGGTCAGAGAGTGTCGGGAAAGAAGTGTCCGATCAAATTATGGTGATGTCAAAAGAAGCAAAAGAATGCCTTGAAAAATTGAGAATAAAAGGTTCATCAAGTAACAACCCAATTGACAAACTGGAGACCACTTGCAACACCGTTGGAGTCAAGGTAGCACTTTCTTTAGGAAACGGAGTCGAGGGAGCCGTTTCTTCGTTGATACAGAGTGGAGCAAACCCTTCAGTTCTCGAACTTGTTGGGATGAGTTGTGTTTCGGCTGGGAAAACGAGTGAAGGGATAAAGTGTCTCGAAACCGCAATCACACAGACGTGCAAAGAACCTGAATTGAACGCAAAGCGATTCGCAAGAGTGATAAGAGAGATTGTGAGTAATTCGCCCGACGAAAATGCGTTGAACACAATAAAAAAAGCCCTCACTGTTATGAAAAGTGTTGGCGAAAATTACCCACCAACAGAAATCGAGTGGCTCATGGCCACGTCGTGGAACAAAGGAAATAGGTCTCGGTATTCCCATGACTTTGGTAGGGCGGAGAGTTGGTTTACAACAGCACTGGACATATCGATATTTGTTAAAAACAAAGACGATACCAAGAAAATGATGAACGAAGAGTATCAAAAGTTCCACTCCATTAAAGTTTAATTTTAATAATAACAATAAAACTATTGTTAATGGAATGTGTTTATTATTTTTATTTTTATAAAAAACATTACAGTAAGGGGAAATTGTTCTAAACGACAATAAATCATTGTTTCAGTTTTTTGACGATTTTGATGAGTTTCTATTTGATTCCCAATTTTTTAATAAATTTGTTGTGCATTTTTTTTCCAAAAAAAAACCACTATAAATTCCAATGATAATTCCTCAACAATCGATAATTCTTATTTATTATTGTTATAATTTTTTAATAATTATAATAAAGCGAAAAACTTATAAAGTTGAAGTTTTGTAATATCAAGTTACTAAAATTACTGTAAACTCATTAAAAAAGTGACACAGATGGAATTGTCCCAGTCAAGCTCGTCTTTAAAGAAAAACACCATTTCTAAAAGAGAAAGCACCCAGCGTGAGTATATAAGTAATGCAGCACTTATTGGTCTTTCCAATTGTTATGGTGCATCCTTTAGAATCAAGTGTCCTGTTTTAAACAACAAAAGTTTCATCAACTTTGACCACTTCACAATAACATCTTCTTCGTTGTTTCCGTCGTTTGCAAGGATTGTTGATGCGGACAGAAAGACCAAGAAGAATGAAGACGCCCAAATATATAATTTTATTGCAGGATGGCTGGCTGAAACTTTTGAATTGGATTCTGAAGCACGAAAAACACACTCAAGCAAGAAACAAATAGGACAAGTGAAGTATGCACGGATGGGCCCATTTTCTGAGAAGGGGTTCAAAGAATTTGGCGTTGGTGTGATTGGCATTATCAGAGCACTTCCTAAGACACACTACGCGAGAAGGCAAAACTTGGCCACTTTAGATCCTTATAACCTTTCTATCTGCCAACTCTACAACACACTGATAACTGAACCCGAAAACCTTTATGATTATCAACAGAGTTCTAGCGTTTCTAATACACAAGAAACACAGTCTTCTGGTATAGATGAAAAACAAACCGATACATCGGTTCAAACCAATTCACTTAGTATGGACACACCTTGTTTTTATATGGCAATGGGGAATAACCAATTTCCCAACGCTCAACTGACAAGTGTGTTTCAGTGTCCCACAGCTGTATTATACACTGTGGAGTTAAATCCTATGTATGTCTCCTTATCAACCCAATATTAAGGGAGACTCTAAATACTTTCAACTAAAACAATGTTGAAAGTGGTTATATTTCTTTATTGATTTTTTTTGTTTGTTGAATTTCTTGAATAACATTTTTTAAATACGCGTTTAGTAACACCATCAAATAACATTTCATGTATTGTTGGATGTTTTTTATAATATCTATTTCTAATAATATAAAAATTATTAAAAAAACCAATACAAAAACATCAAAACTATTTGGCGAACTGAAAGAACTGACTAACGATAACTCTAACACCAAACTTTAACCAAACAATATATAAGCTACAAACTTGAAAGAAGAAGACATTCAAATGGGAGAAGAAGGAGAAGTACAAGCACTTGTTGTAGACAATGGATCCGGTATGTGCAAGGCCGGTTTTGCTGGTGATGACGCACCACGAGCTGTCTTCCCATCAATTGTTGGCAGACCAAAACAAGTCTCAGTCATGGCTGGTATGGGCAACAAGGACACCTATGTTGGAGATGAAGCACAATCAAAGAGAGGTATCTTGACTTTGAAATACCCAATTGAGCACGGTATTGTCAACAACTGGGACGACATGGAGAAGATCTGGCACCACACTTTCTACAACGAGCTCAGAATTGCACCAGAAGAACACCCAGTCCTCTTGACTGAAGCCCCAATGAACCCAAAGGCTAACAGAGAAAAGATGACACAAATCATGTTCGAGACTTTCAACGTCCCAGCCATGTACGTTGGAATTCAAGCTGTCCTTTCATTGTATGCCTCTGGTAGAACCACTGGAATCGTCATGGATTCTGGTGACGGTGTCTCTCACTGCGTCCCAATCTATGAAGGTTTCTCACTCCCACACGCCATTCTCAGAATTGATCTTGCTGGTCGTGATCTCACAGACTACCTCATGAAGATCTTGACTGAAAGAGGTTATGCTTTCACCACAACTGCTGAAAGAGAAATTGTCAGAGACATCAAGGAGAAGCTCTGCTACGTCGCTCTTGACTTCAACGAAGAAATGCAAAAGGCTGCCTCATCATCAGAACTCGAGAAGTCATACGAACTTCCAGATGGTCAAGTCATCACCATTGGCAATGAAAGATTCAGATGCCCAGAAGCACTCTTCCAGCCATCATTCCTTGGTATGGAAGCATCAGGTATTCACGAGACCACTTACAACTCAATCATGAAATGCGATGTCGATATCAGAAAGGACTTGTACGGAAACATCGTCTTGTCTGGTGGAACATCAATGTACCCAGGCATTAACGACAGACTCGAGAAGGAGATGGTTGCTCTTGCACCACCAACAATGAAGATCAAGGTCATTGCACCACCAGAGAGAAAGTACTCTGTCTGGATCGGAGGCTCAATTCTTGCCTCATTGTCCACTTTCCAAAACATGTGGATCACCAAGGAAGAGTACGACGAGTCTGGCCCAGCCATCGTCCACAGAAAGTGTTTCTAATTCATTCACATTTTACTTTTCTATTCTCTTTTTTATACAACAAAATATTTCATTAATTTAATATTTTTAGTTTAAAATAGTTGTTTATTATCAAACACAACACACAAATACAAAACAGATTTCACTTACATGATACTATTTAGAAATGTATAAATTACTGACTCATTCATTTTAAAACGAGTTGCTAACTTCAAAAAAGTAAGTGGCAACTTCAGTATCAACAGAAAGTAATACTCGTGGCAATTTTATATGCATTTCCATTATTGAGAAATTATTAAATTGTTACACTTTGAAAAAATATTTTTTTTGCCACTAAATTCTTGTGATAACCCAACCAGTTTATAATTATCAAATTCAATAAAAAGTGTTTATTGTGATATTTGTGATGTGGTATGAATCAAACATTGTAAATTTTGACAATAATCGAATCATTAAACAATTTATTGAAATATCGAATTAAATAAATCCAATAAATAACAACAACATAACAAAAAAATTCAATTATCATAAACATATAATGATTTTATTTTCTTATATTTAAATCAATAAAACAATTAAAATAATATTCATAAAACGAGTTAGAAGTTCAATAATCTCGATTCACAACAAATAATCAAGTAAAGAATTATTTAAGGTAAAAAAAGGATTAACAATTATCAATTCATTTGTTTAAATTGACTTTCCAATAGTCGATAAATTTCATTAATTTCAATTCTATTTTGTGGTATATAGTTCCACGACTTTTGTATTATCTCATACAACGCTTGTGGAGTCTTCTCTGGTTTCTCAAGGTAATTACCTTTCGACACAAAGTCGACTATTTTCCAAGGAAACTTGAACTTCTCTTTAGAAAAAGCATACGACCATCCAAAGCATTCATACATAGTAATAGCAAACGAATATACATCTGCGGGCTTTTTATAATTCCCTGAATTTAACACTTCTGGTGCCATGTAACTTGGTGTCCCAATACATGCTGTGAATGTCATATTAGTCATCATCATATTTACATTTCTCGAACTTCCAAAGTCTGTTATTTTGCCGTTTACTTGGGATCCTTCATTCATTTTTAATGTAAACACTAATATATTGTCTGGCTTGATATCTCGATGTAAAATACCATTCTCGTGTAAATAGCTTATTCCTTGAGATGTGTCCATACAAAATTTAATTCGTAGTTTCATCCCAATTTCATCACTCTTTTTATGTTTCATTACATCTTGAAGGGATCCAAAAGGTGCGTATTCAGTAACCATACATATCTTGTTTAATATGTTAACCGCCCCATAGAAATGAATAATATAATCACTCCGGAATTTATCTAACATAGATACTTCTTTCTCAAATTCAGTAAGACCATTATCTATGTCACTCATTTGTTTCATCTTTTTGATTGCAACATCACACCCTCGATATTTGCCTTTGTAAACAATTCCAAATGAACCTTCGCCTAATATTTTTTCTTCAAGAATCTCATCATAGTCTAAATATGTCGAGATAGTCGTTTCGAATTCAATTTTCACTGAAATTATGTCATCTATTCCCTTCTTCATGTCAGTCACAACAAAGTTGATTTTGTCATTTATTGTACTTGAGCATTTGGGGGTAATTAGAATTTCAAACTCACATGCAAATCCATTTAATAAAGTAATTCCCGTTGGGTTTAAAGAAATAAAATACTTATCTGTTTCTTTCGCTACATATCTAATTTTGACGGATTGTTTATTTGAATATCCAATACACAACAGTTCTTTCGATTCTTTGTTCACTGGAATGTTTCCATCTTTGTCTTGACTCTCTTCAAATAACACTTTTTGTTTATCCACCTTTATTTTATTACCAATTTCTATAAACTGGATGTTTGATTGTGACATCTTAAATAAACACGTGTTCTTTGATAATCGATTCAAATAGTCTTGACGAAGTACACGAATGACAGAAAAGTAGAGTCCAATTAATAAAAGAATCATTATAAATATGATAACTATAATTAGAATCACTATAAACCAAACTTCAGCTTGAGTTTCACAAAAGTGTCCTTTATCATCTGGAGAGTGCCAAAAAGAACATTTGATGCACTTGGAATTGATTACAGAGGTACAGTGCTGGATTTGTTTCTTTGAATAACAATTTCCGGATATTAAGTCGTGATCTTCAGAACATGAAAGACACTCTTTTAAGGAGTAACAAGTACTACAATTTTCATTACACTTTGAACATGAATTTTGGTACGAGAAATAGCCATCAGGACATTGTGAACAGCCTAAAGTGGTCGGTTGCACTGCACACCCTCTTATTTGACTCTGTGGATAACATTCTGAGGCATATAAATAGTTAGTGGAGTTACAGGATATACAATTATCACCATTGTTACATAAGGAACACTTTATATCACAAGATATACAGTCGGGGTACTTCGGATAATAACTATTGTTGCATACTAGACACCCTCCTACATTTGGAATATACTGCTCGCATTTTCCTTTTAAATAATCAAGTGTTTTACACTCCCCAGAAGTTAAATATAACGTCGAATTACAGGAAAGACAATATGTCGAGTTGTGACATGTCATACAACCATTCTCACAAGGAACACAGACATGCTTGTCATTCAAATAAAACTTTTCTTCACATCGAATACACTTTCCTAATGGATCAACTTTAAGACAGTTCTGTGCTACTGAATCGCCACATTTACCATTATTAAGTAACATGTTGTCTTCACATTGAATGCACCATCCATTCAAATATATTTCACATGAAGGTATTGGAGTAAGACATCTTCCATTCTCGTCCTGAATTGTAGAAGTGTCACATAATGTACTCTCACATGTCGTAGTTGCGTTTATATACGAATTTGATAAACATTCATAACATGTTGCATCCATACCACATTGATGGCAATTGGAGTCACAAGAGACACATTCACCACTTTTTAGGTAGTAACTTTCGACACAAGATTGTATTTTATCCCATTTGATTTTGCTAAACCTTCTATAAATTCACATATCCCATTTGAATCAACGACATATCCAGTAGTACATTGGAGACATTTTCCGTTTGTTGAAAATTCACAATTATCCGGAAGGCTATCGCAGATGTTATTTGCAACTTTTTGTTTGTCACAAACTAAGCACAATGAATTCCGTGGCTTTTCACAGGAGTCCACACATTTACCATTTGAGAAAACAAAACCTTGCTCGCATATTGTACAATTCGTGTTGTCAAAACAATGTAAACAGTTTATTCCGCATTGCAAACATTTTGAAGAAAGATAATACGTCTCTTTACACTCATAACATCTCTTTTCTATCTTATTTAAGCAATTTTCATCTTCAGCAATTTCTATTTGTGAAGATATGCAAGTGAAGTCCAATGAAGTGTATTTCATTACACGACATGTGCCATTCGTGACATGTTCTTTTGATATCAAATATGTAAGTTGAGACTTTGATTTAATGATTTGATCAATTGTAAATGTAGAAGTTGTTATTACTACAGTATTCATACTATTTAATGTAAGTTTATCAAAAGTGGAATTTATGATATCCAAATCAAGCGGATTTATTACATTAAATGTCTTCACTTCCAAATTAGTAAACACAAAATTACTCAATGATACATTTTGACTATTAAATGTAAAAATTATTTCTGTTCCATCTCTTTTAATGTTGCTTTTGATATTCCCAATTTCACTCAATGTGAAAAATTTGTTCTTAGAAATTTCAGTTGGCTGACTGGCAAATTTTAGTATTTTGTTATATGTATTTGGAACAGTGACACTTCCAGTTTTCACCCCAAGTATAGTAATATTAGTATTTGTATTAATTATATAGTTAAAGTCTTCTTTCTTATTTGTTATAATAAAATCGTTATATGAATCCGTTGTGATTTCCAGTGTATTTTCAGTTGATGTGACTTCAATTGTATGTACTTGTGTTGTATTCAAATTACTTGGGTACTCAAATCTTCTTTCAGAAATTAATGAAGTGAAGCTCTTTACTACTAAAGTCAATGAAATCACTTTAGGAAGAGAAACAGTCCCAAGACTCTCTGTTGTAATCGTGTACTTCGAGTCTATTAAAGTGTTTGTAGTTTCTTTATCAGAGGAAAAAGAAAGTGTTTCTTCTCCAACTTGAATTGAAACTTGAGCAAAACCAGTTGATGTTGTCATTGTATTTTGACTCATAGTAAATGTCAGTGTTGTTGTTAATTCATTTAATTGAAATTTAATGTTATTCACTGTAATATAATTGTTATTTCTAGCAACACAAGTAACACCCAAAATCCCCGTTGACATTTCCACGTTCAATTTATTTAAATTAAGTTGTGTTGTAACATCAAAATTTTGAGTTAAAACTTTAAAAGTGATTTTCTTTGTGTTATCAAATACAATGCATTTCAAGTAATTTGTATATTCATCACTCACAATAATTTCATTCTCATTTTGTGATATTAAAATGTTTGTTGTTTGAATTGTTGTTGTTTCTTTTATTAAAGAAAAGACGTTTTCTAAAGTCAAATTCGCAACAAATTATGATGCCAAAGAAAAAGCAGTGACTTCACTTTTAACAACAATATTTGTGTAACTTCCTCCATTTCTAATTTGAGTATTAATTGGTGCAACTAAATTGTTTAAGTCTTTTGATAACAAGTCGACAATACCATTTTCGATATAAATAGTACAAGTAAATCCATCATATGTTGTACATGGACAGTGTGGTGCTGTAAATGCAAATAAATTCGTTGAAGGAATTATATCCATCCACTGGTTTCCATTCAAATAACACTTTAATTGTTTACAATCAACACTATTTAAGCCATTCGGGCAATATCGAATTAACTTTTCATTGATCATATAAAGGTGGTTTAACCCATTAGTGTTACTCCATACTGCTTTAGTTATATATTTTGCGATATCGTCACCATACTCATTGACATCTTTTTGCATTGAAACGACGTCAACACAATTTGAAGTGCCATCGACCATTCCAAACGTTGGGTAGATGTGCATCACATTTTCTGGAGCAATCCATGATGTTATTAAAGGATAAATAAATTCATAGTTATTAGGAACTTCTATTTTTCCTCTTAAAGAAATTGACTCATTAAAGGTGATGTGACTTCCTTTGTTGAATGACATTTTTTCATTACAATGAAAATGACTTGGAATTGTAATATGACTGTTTTCTTTTAGTTCAACATTTTTAAATTCAAACCACGCATATAAGCTCACTGTGATGTTGTTTTTTAGAACTAATGCATCGGAATTTTGGAGCGGATAATCTTTTACTGTTTGCTCCCCTTCTATGTAAAACTTGAAGTTTCTATCTACTATCACAACACAATTTTCTTTGTAATGATCAATAGAACCAAAAATTGTCTGAATACAATACGGTCCAGTAAACTCACATTTGTCGTTACGTTGTTGTGCTGTGTTTAATGTTGTGCACATACAAAGTGTGACATCGGGTGATGAAAACCCAATGTTATAATAGGAGCCATCAACTGAGGATGTAGTTGCACTTTTTGTCACTTGATTTGAGTTGGTCGTACAACTAAAGTCGTAGTTGTTTTCCAAGTTGAAAGCAGACGCATTCATCACCAAGAAAAGTGCTACGATCAGAAACATTATTTGTGAATATATGATTCTAATATTCATTGTTTTTCAAAATGTTATTGTTTTTCCCCGTTTTTTTAAGGTAAATTAATGAATACCAAATTATTAAACTCTAACCATTTTAAATAAAAATGTTACAATATTTATTTTTATTATTAAATAATATGGTATCATTCCAAGTAATTATTTATAATATATATAACTAATAAATGTATAATACATTTATATTATATTATAATATAAATAATATAATTTAATTAAAATATCAAATACAATTAAAATGAAATTTAAATGTTATTTTTAACAATAAAACGTTTTTAAAAATATAATCAATTTTTTTAAATAAATTTTGGAACAATAATCATCTCATATTAGTTTTACTAACTAGAGTTATATTATATTAAATAAAAATGGCTTTAGAATTATAAAAAGTAATAACAAACTAAATTTGAACTATACTTTTAGTTTGAATCATCAAAACACGAATTATTTAATTTTTGACGTTGATCTTGAAAAAGAAAACAAGGCGGCAATCACACTGAATTTCAACCAATATATCAAAATACAAAGTATAATTAAATAAAAAAACAAGACTATTTATACCCATTTAATTGTTTTTGCCCTTCACAAATAACTCAAATAAAAATCTTTATTGTACAATTTAATTATTAATAAATAGAAAAAAAACTACAAAAAATGCCTTTCTGAAATAAAGTTCGTCAACGCAGTCATAATGTTTTGTTTTATCAAAAAAACCACTGAAATAATCCAACCAAGACAATAAAAGTCATAAATGCAACTCTATTTTTATCACTACAAAAAAACTTTAAAAAAAATCCAAATCCTATGAACAAAAAAAATGAAAACTAAGAAGACGATCTGAAAAAAAGGAACGAATGGCAGACACTCAAATCGACCTTGCAACATTTTCGTACATTTCAATCCCAACCACAAAAATCATTAAAGAAGGGTATATGGTGAAACGTGGCCATATCATTCGTAATTGGCTCCAGCGTTGGTTCGTTTTGACAAGTGACATCCTCTATTACTTTGATGCCGAAAAATTGCACCTTAAAGGGTATATCCCTTTAGCTTTTGGTACAATAACTCGAAGTCCTGAAATGAAAAAACAGCCATGTTTCCAACTTATTTCTCCGATACAATCCAAGTCGTATTTCATTCAAGTTTGTCTCACTTCTTTTTAAATTATATATTTACTATACATATAGTATATTTAGTGGTATTATACATATACTATATGTATAGTATATTTCTACATATACAGAAAATGACGAGTAGTGCACGACAGAAGACGAGTGCGGACTCTGGATGGCAGCTATCTCAATTGTCTTAAATAAATACATTGGCGAACCAGAAACTATGGACCATGTCACACACATTACATATTCAGAAGGGGGGTTCACTGGAATACCTCCGGAGTGGGAGACTGTATTTGTAGGTCTTGGGATTTCAAAAGAGGAAATCAAGTCCAACCAAAAGGAAGCGATGCAAGTCATCGAATTTACTAAAAAGATGGAAGAAGAACCATTGCGCCCGCCACCCATGCCCGAGAGTGAGGTGAGTATTACATTAAGTTTGTTATTACTTCTTAGCACGGCAGTGACACTTATCAAATGAAAGAAGGAGAGTAATAGTATAGAAGATATAGTCCAAGAGGGTAACCCAGTGACACTCTTTGAGAATTGGCAGCAAATTGGTGAAGGTGTGAGTGGTGTTGTATTTCAATGTGTCGACAAAGCATCGGGTGAGGAGCGAGCCGTGAAAAAGATCAAAATAGATGAAGAGGTCTTGAACTTGCAAGAGATTAAAATCATGCAGACACTTAAACATAAGAACATCGTTGGATACTTCGGGTGCTACGAGTTAGAAAACTCGTTGTATATTGCAATGGAATTTATGGACAGAAATAACTTGACGGCTATTCTCGAGTTCTTCCCACAAGTCGCTATGAAAGAAGATCAAATTGCTTATGTTGCTCGTGAGACAAATGAAGCGTTAAGATACGTCCATTCCTTCCATCGAATTCATCGGGACATTAAATCCGATAATATTCTTATCAATCACAAAGGCGAAGTAAAGTTGGCTGATTTTGGTGTGTCCGTTCAACTCACAAAAAGTAAGACAAAGAGAAATACTATAGTCGGAACACCATATTGGATGGCTCCTGAAGTTTGTTTCAGTTAAATGAAATGGTTTCTAAGCTAATTGTATTCATTCCTAGGTCATCAAAGGAAAAGACTATGACTGTGTCGTCGACGTTTGGTCCCTTGGAATCATGTGCAGAGAAATGATGGAAGGATATCCACCTTATATGGAAGATCCTCCACTTCGTGCATTGTTCCAAATTTCTACAAAAGGCGTACCACCTATTACAGGTGGAAATTGGACTCCTGTGTTACTTAACTATGTAAATGGGTGTTTGTCCGTAAACCCGGAACAAAGACTTACCACAGAGGGGTCAGTCAACAACCCGTTCTTCCAAAAGGCGTGCACAGAAGAGATGTTTGCGGACTTTGTTACCTCTGTGGAGAAGTTGGCTCTCCAACAACAAAAATGATTTTTTCTTTAGTTTTTTTATAGTTTGGTTTCTACAAACAATTTTTAATTATAAATTATAAGCAATTTAACTAGTGTTATATAATAAATAGAGTATATAGTTATAATAGATATTTTATATTAATATGAATAACATTTTTATGATAAAAATAGATAAAATAATATAATAGATGAAAGTAAGTAAAACATGAAATTATAATTCAAAATTAGATTAATAATCAAAACGTGTTGGGGACGGTCGAACAACTTCTTGCATTCTCGTTTTTTCAAGTTGAATCTCCAACTCACTGATTTTGTCATCTTTTTGTTTTAACATATTCTGCATTTGTTCCATTTGTCTGGAAAAATTAAGCATTTGTTGTTTCATGTCGTCCATTTGTTTTTTGAGTGAATTGGTCTCTGGGTTGTGAATAAGGGAGTCCTTATCCGCTTCAGCATTTTCAAGTTTTGCTTGGAGAATATCGTTTTCTTCTTTAAGCACCTGAACGTTTTCAATCTTTTCCATGAGTGTATTTTCGTCCATTTGATCGCCAAACAAATTGTATGCTTTATAGATCATTTGTTTGATATTATCTTCCATGATAATGTCAAACTCAATTTTGTTTTTCTTTGGATTTATTAAAGGAAATAGATTTGGGTCCTTGATTTCTGGCATGGTGAACAACAGTCGTAATATCTTTTTGAAATTATTGTCGATTTTACATGCTTCACTATGTTTAGATATTGCTTCATCCACAAAGGAATCTATTTTCCCACATACTTCCTTCTTTTTATATGTCTTGAGAACAGCCAACAATTCAGGGAACATTAATTCGTCATGGATGATGTTTTTATTCAAAGGATATGTGTTGGTGTTGTTAACAGTACACTTACATAAATTGTTAAACACACCAACAAATGTTAATGCTTCTTCGTCTACAATATGTAACATTGATAATGACATACTCTCTCCGAGTTTGTTAAGTGTTTGAACGTCCCGTTTTTTATACGAAAACTGTAATATATCTTTCAGTATTTCCATCTTATCTGCTGCTTTTTGTAAAGGTCCAAATTTTGCATCAAATTGGTTTAAAGTGAATCCATTTGATACTTTGTTACATAAATTGGCGATGTATATTTGTCCCGCATTGTTCCACAAATCACCTTTTTCTAAATTAATTGATCTAATAAAAGCGTTGTTATTCAATTTTGAAGCAATTTTGTTCAAGGTGGTTATAAATTCCATATTATCCACTTCTTGTGTTGGTCGCAGTAACACTATCTTGTCAACTAAATTATCGATAAACCTCGAATTGTTCTTTTTGATTTGTTGATCAATTTCTTCTGCAACATCTTCTATTGACTTTGTTTTGTTAAGATCCAACGTGCACTCATTGTGAAGTAAGTATCCTTTCGCATCAACTCCACAATTTGCATAGTCCACTCCTTTAAATTCTTCGGGTACATTCAAGTCTTTATAAAGCTCGGACGCAGCCTTCAGTTCTCCCTTCTGGTTTGGTAATACTTTAAGAGAATTGAATTTGTCGCCAATAATAATCTGAGAATTCTTAAGAAGTACATTGTACATATTCATAGTCATTTTATAATTGTCGAGCACAACATCTAGTTTCTCACTCCCTTCTATTCTTCTCATGACAATATCTAAAAACATTCCATCAACATCATTCCATGCATTTTCATCAATATCATTGCAGATTTTCTTTTCAGCTCGTTTCATTTCACTTGGGAAAAATTTGCAGGCAACGTTATACACAAAGTCTCTAAAACCATCAAACTTTTGGTCATTAGATTTAGTCACACGTCTTATTAGAGGTATAATGAGGTTAATAAATGCTTTGTCCTTGTCGTTTTGACTTTGTTGTGTTTTGTCCTGAAAAGCTGCTTTTGATTTTTTTGAGTTAACGGTCTGAGCTGGGACTCTGTTCTGTTTTTCAATTATTTCCTTTCCTTTAATCACAGTTTCGTTAATGAAAATAGACATTGTTTTATTTGTTTCTTCTTCAATATTTGCAAATGAAATTCCTTTGTAAAGTGCATGTTTCTTCAAATCACATTTCAGGTCTTCAATACAATCAATAAGTTCATCTGAGACTTTATTGCAATTCATAAGTGTCTTTTTGCCTTCCTCTCGTTTGAAACTAACAAAATTGCCATCCATAGTTGGCAACAATTTATACACTGAAAAGAATGATAGATCCTTATTAAATTTAACCAAAAATTTGATGAATGCATTCATAAACACTACTTTGGCTTTTGGTGTCATGTTGAATTTTTCGTTACTCATCTTTTCAAATGAATTGATTTCTTTCACTAATTTCTCGACATTCACATTCACTTTCGAGCTTTCCCACATTATTGAATTCCACGACTTCAATTTATCAAACAGCGGCATCTTGTATCCATACAGTTTGAGTAACTCATAGAATTTTTTGAAATTCTCATTTTCATCGTCCATTGTTGGGATTCTGATGTTAATGTTTTTCCCTTTGTACATTGGTTGTAGTCCATTGTCTGTCTCGACAAGTGTTTTGTTCATGACGGTTTTCCTCATCTTTTCCAATATTTCAGTTTGATACCATCTTGAGTCAAAGTGCTTCTCTATACTTGGATTTTTACTCAATCCTCGAGCGACAAGGTGGAGTTCTTTGTATTTGTTACTAATCAAATAGTCCACAAGCCTTTCATAATCATTTTCAAATGATGTATTGGCTTTAATAAATACTTGTTTCAAAATCAGTTTATTAGTCCCAACATCCGTAATAATTTTGTCCTCATCAAATTCTGATCCGGACAAATACAATGCTTCTCTTTCAGAGTCCGGTTCAAAATCTGGGGAATTCAATAAAAATGGAAGTTGTAATTGTTCAGAGCCAACAAGAGGAAAGACACAATACAGTGAAGGACCTTTTGTTTCCACTAATTTCTTTGTATTGTTTTCTTCAACATATTCCACAGCAATTTGTGTTCTCAAAGTTCTTTCATTTTGGAATCTTTGTGTGAGTTCTTCTGAATGGTTATTGACATTGTTAATGACCAAGAAGTGTCTGATTGTTGATTCTCCATTTCTTATTGTCTCGAACTCATGTATTTCAACATCTGCACTTTTGTAACTCTTGTCTTTGAAGATTCTAAGTGGCTTATATATTGTCTCATTTTTGGTATCTGAAATAGTCACCTTACCAACTTCTGGACAAAAAAGGAGGGTCTGGACGATGTTATCTTCAAAATTACTTAAACCCATCTCAAGTGCTTTTATATTGTTTTCATTCTTCAGTGGATAATAATAAGACGTCAATTTGTTTGGTTCATTAGAAAAGCAAAGAGATTCTCTCATCTTTTTAACACCAGCAAGTAAATCTCCATCACTCTTCCCTTCTCTATGAAGTTCAACAGTAAAACCTTTGTATGTGTTTTTAACATCGTCATCATCATAAACATTACTAACTATATTTACTTCTTTCGACAACGTGTGCGTGGTCAAAAATCCAGTACCAAACCTTCCAGTTGATTCAGACTGGTTTGCTTTCCCTTCGGAATATTTGTAGAGGAGAGCATATTGTGACTTCCCAGTGAATGGAGCCCCATTGTGAGAAAAGACAAACGTCTTAAGTGTTTGACCATTTGTCAAAGTCTCTTCCACCACTTTGGCAGTAATCTCTATCTTCTTATTCCACCCTTTGATACCAGCAATGGAATCCTTGGCATTCTGCATCAACTCCCAAAACCACCTTCTGCAGTCATTAACAGTGGGGCTGTTTAATTGACGTAAACGATTTCGTACATTGGCTATGTACATCTTGTCTGATAATTCTTCTGCTGCTTTAATTACAGAATTGGGCTTTTCAACACTATGCCGACCTTTAGTGAGGTTTTTGAAGTCTTGCATGCTTGTGTTTTTCTTAGTTCAGACACAGCCTATATATATCAAAATACTTCACTGATGTTCATTCGGTGCGGTATTTTGATACTTAATATTCACGGCATTTCGTCTTGTAATGTTTGATAACGTAATTATTATATCGAGAATTTGTCATTTTGGTATTATGAACTAAAAAAAATTCGATGATCTTATTTTTCATATACAAACAGCATATTTTAACAAAGATTTTTTTGCTTCAAAGATTTGTTTTATTGTGTATTTGTTGTTACATATTATTATTATAACTATTCAACTAACAGTACTGAAATAAAGAAGTATCTGTTGTTTTTTCAAGTGTAAGTGCTACGCTTTTGTGTTATTCAAATACTTCCTTCTTGTTAAAAAATAATCGCCAATAATTTAATTGAAAATGGTTGATAGTAATTATACTTATAAAACATTTATAAATTTTAAACTTTGTTGTCTTACTTTCAAGTTATAGTTAAAAGCTAAAATAATAAGCACCTTTCCAAGTTAATCATCCTAATTGGCATGTCATTCATTGTTCCATGAAAATAATTAGAAACGAAATAACCTGAAAAAACTAAAAAGTACAAAGAACACACAAGACACATTCACGAACTCTTTTCGAGCCGCAAACTTCTCAAATATGCTGCTTCAATTTTCTGTTGCATTGATTCATACCACTGCTTTCCCCTTGTGATCGTCATTGGTCTTCTTGTTATCAACTTCTTTCCATTTTTCATAAACAAAACCCCAGTAACATTTCTCTTGTTATTTTCAAACGACGTTTCCACATCATACCCATTTTCTTTAAGTATCTCAAAAAGCCTTTTGTCCATTGCATTCATTCGATCCTCGATATTTAAAGTTAAATCATATGCATAATAAGTGGTGATACTCTGACTGTTTTTATCTTGGGACTTTTTATATATCGTTGTGATTTCAATGTTACAAACACCACCACACCGCCTCCCTGAAGTGATTTCAACAATAAAGTTGCTTTGAATCAGTTTGGATATTAAATACATTCTAACAAAGATGTCGTCCATACTCTCTATCTTTTCTCGAATGCGGCGCGTTTTGACTGGAGAGTCAAATGATGTCTGGGGGTCTTGTGATGCACTCTTCATGTGAATAGAGTCTAATAATTGCATGTTAGATGCCTCACCTCAACTTTATATATATTTGGACTTATATAAATAAATCTAAATATATTTATTATTGTTATAATACTATATTTTATTATTTTATTTCTTCTTTTTTTATTAATTCTGTTTTTTTAGATGCTCAACCTTTAAAAAAACAATTGAGTTTTTCTTTGGGTTAAAATACTATTTTGCCTTTGAATCAGCATTTCTATTCTATTATTTTTGTCACTTACCTCCAGTTATTGGCAACCTTTTTGACTAACATTTATTAATTATTGGGTTTATAATTTATAAAATATGTTATTATAATATTTTGTGTATTAATTATTATTTCTGAAATGATAATAAATGCAAACTGTTTTTATCTTATTGTTTTTTGGTAAACAAGAACGTCTTCAAAGATGAATCGATATTATATAACACACTTAATATTTGTTGAGTTATTTATCTTAATTATATTTACTTGATAACCATCCAAACTATATGAAAAAATGTTGAGTAATGTATTCCTCAATTATTAACAGCATAAAGAACTCAAAATGTTGATTATAACATCAAACACAAAATAATTTGTTTACCATATTCAATAAGACATTAAAAACACGTTGTTGTTCATTATCATCTGCTAGATATAAACAACATTTTAAAATTAAAGTATAGCCACTTTATTGTAAACAAAGTAATAATAAAGTTTTATATCTATCATATCCAAACTTAAAAACAATAAATAATATAAAACTACAAAATCAAAATACTCACAGTAAACACCAGTGATTACTTAATCGTAATCATACATTTTTAATAAAACCCTTTCTTTTTCGTTGTGTCTTCTTCTTATGTCTATCGGTCCCTCTGTCCCACAAGCCCTTGCCTTTCATATCTTCCGTCACAACAAACTGAACTTTTGATTACATAAATTGGTCTTTATTAAACTATATAAAAAATATAAATAAACTATAACTAATCTATAAAAAAAACAAAAGTGTTATTAAAAAACAAAAAATGAATGAACCCTTGAAACCCTACATGATATACAAAACAAACCCTTGAGTTTCTTCTTTATCAGAATGTCCGACTTTGTCATCAAGCCCTCCGACGAAAAGACCACCCCCGATTACTCAAAGTGGCCATATCTCTTGAAAAATTACGACCAACTTGAGATCCGCTCTGGACAATACACTCCAGCTTCAGCTGGTAACTCCCCAACAAACAGACCACTTAAGGAACATCTTAAGTACGGTATCATCAACTTGGACAAACCCGCCAACCCATCATCTCACGAAGTCGTTGCGTGGTTGAAGAGAATTTTAAAAGTCGAGAAGACTGGTCACTCTGGAACATTAGATCCAGCCGTCACCGGGTGCCTCATTGTGTGCATTGAGAGAGCTACCAGACTTGTAAAATCGCAACAAGACGCCGGAAAGGAGTACGTCTGTGTCTGCAAATTCCACAGCCCAATTGAAGACGAGAAGAAGATGGAGATGACCATCAAGACACTCACCGGTGCCCTCTTCCAACTTCCACCAGTCATTGCTGCTGTTAAGAGAACCCTTAGAATTAGAACCATTTACAAGACTGAAGTACTTGAGATGGATAAGGAACAAGGACTTGCATTGTTCAGAACTGAATGCCAAGCCGGTACCTATATGAGAACCCTTTGCGTCCATTTGGGATATTTGTCCGGGACCGGCGCTCATATGGAAGAGCTCAGAAGAGTTCGTTCTGGAAATTTGTGTGAGAAGGATGACATGGTGACTCTCCATGATGTCATGGATTCCATGTACTTGTATGAGAACCATGGTGATGAAAGCTACTTGAGATACTGCGTCAAGCCACTCGAGAAGTTACTCACAAACTACAAGAGAATTGTTGTGAAGGATTCCACTGTTAACGCTATCTGCTATGGCGCTAAATTAATGATTCCGGGCCTTTTGAGATACGCTAAGGACATCACCATGAACGAGATCGTTGTCTTGATGACTACTAAGGGTGAGGCTATTGCCCTTGGTATTGCTAAGATGACCAGTGAAGAGATGAGCAGCTGCCAATATGGTGTTGTTGCTGCCATTAAGAGAGTCATTATGGATAAGGACTTGTATCCACGCAAGTGGGGACTTGGCCCATTCGCACAACAAAAGAAGAAGCTTGTTGCTGAAGGAAAGCTTGAGAAGTATGGAAAACCAACCGACAAAACTCCAGCAGAATACACAAAATCAGTCCCATACATCGCTCCAACAAAGAAAGGAGAAGAGGAAGCACCAAAGGGAGAGAAACCAACTGAAAAGAAGGCGGAAGTAAAGGTCGAGAAAGTCGAAATCAAGAAAGAGCCAAAAGTCGAGAAAACTCAAGTAAAGACTGAAATCAAGAAAGAAAAGAAAGAGGAAAAGAAGAAAGAAAGCTCATCAAGTTCTTCGAGCAGCTCTTCAAGCAGTTCTTCGGCTTCACAGAGCTCAGACAGCTCTTCAGACTCATCTTCTGACTCCGAATAATTGATGATTGAATTTTTATTTAGTTTTTTTAATTATTAATTATAGTAATATATTTAATCATTATAATAATTATTAAAATATATTATATAGTTATTATTAAATTAATATTATTATTATTATAATTATTAAAATCTTGTACAACACCATTCAAACACAAACAAAAGACAAATTAATAAACAGAACGATCTAGAGAAGTAACTGTGGTTTGACGGACTTGAACGCATCTTCCCAACATACTTTTTGTTGAGTACTTGAACAAGTGCACATGATGTTGTTGATCACAAAAGTCTGATTCTTCATCGAACACACTTTGATGTTAGATACTATTAATTTGGACTCCACTCTGCATTTGTACTTTTCAAGCTCTTCGATCTTCTTGCCAAACGGAGAATTCTCAAATTTGAGTAAGACATCTTTCTCGGACTTAAAGTCATCTCTAATATCGACTTTGCCGATGACAAAGATATCATTGAATAACACACATAAGCGCCACTCTTTCCCTTTATACTCTTTCGAAGACAATCTGATCCCACCAAACCACACTAACTTACGGTCTTTACGCGAGAAGTCTTCCGAAAAGGTCTTTGAAACCTTTTTCACTTCATAACCGCCAATACTCTCAGTCACATCAATGTACATCTGCGCAGCTGTTTTCACGTTTGGACTGATTGGTTTGGTGTTCATGATGTGAGTGATGTACACGCCAATCCGGCCATATTGTTGAATTGGCGACTCTAATAATTCCATGAAGGGGGGTACATGGTATCCTTTCGCCTCCCATTCGATTTTTCCACTCTCAAATTCAGATGAGAGTTGTGCGACGCTTTGTAGTTCTCCGATCTTCTGGATGCGATAAAACTTCTCAATAAACACAGAGTAACTCACCAGTTCTTTGCCATACCACGCCATCACCTTTTCAACGTCGTCTTGCCCATCGTTCACACTGAATATTCGCATGACTCTCCTTTCAAGTGACATAATAGATGGAATGATGTTATCGATACTTTTTAATGCTTTTGTGTATGTTGCGATATATTCTGTTCTTATATAATGACGAATGACATTCAAATAGAGTCCAGTGAGGATCATTAAACCGTTGTAATACTCCTTCTGTTTTTGAACAAAGATCTGACTCATATCGCCTCGCATCATTTCTTTGATCGTTCCAATTGTGATTCCCTCGGCATCGTCGTTGAGCGATATATTCAGTCGCCCACCACACATTTCATTTCGCTGCTTTTTCATTAATAAGTATTGGTCCACAACACCACTCCTGTTTTGTTCTTGTTCCTTTGTATTCCCAACGTTATCGTGTGTGTTTTCTTGTGTTAAATCCTTTGTAATGCATTTCAGATTTTCTTGTGGTGTATTATCATCAAATGCCTTCACATTCGCTTTCTTTGTTTTGTGGCTTAAAATTGTTTCAAAAAGTTTCCATTCGTTCTGTTGTGACTTTTGTGTGGTATTGATTTTCAACGCTTTTCTTCCTCTGAGGGCAATTTCACCTCTTGCAAGTAACTCTGTGGAATACGGTATGCATTGTAACGACTTGCTTTTTAAACTTCCTTTCTCTGGTAATCGGGGTCTTCTTTGTTTTTGAGGAGTCATGACGGGTAGAACACTGTTTTGTATTTGTTCCGATTTATCGACTGGCGAATTGTTTGGTGTTGTTGTTTCTTCTTGGGGATGAGGGGATGGCGGAGATGGGTGTAACTCATTGACTGGTTGTGGGGATGTTGGTTGAGAGATCGATGAGTAAGACATCCATTGGTTGTGAAGTGCAGTTAATACTTTTTCATATATTGCGACGGAGAATGGTTGCGAGTTGTTTAAAACACTGGACCAAATGAACTTATCTGTTTCTGTTGGGATGAAGTCTTCAGGTTCCAAGAAGATCTGTTTTGATAAATCGAAGACAGAGTGTAAAGTGAGTGTTGGGTCGTTAAGTAAGTGCACTGTCATAAAGTGAATATGAAAAAAGAGATTTAAAAAAAGAGGGTAGAATATAATTGAAATGTTAATCATGGTTTGTTATGATTTTTATAATGATATGGAATATTATATTCGTCGAACTTAATGGTATAATAATCTCTAATTTGTCAAGTATCATTAGTAAAGAAAATTATAATAGACTGATAAATATAATAAAAAGTTGTTATATATAAAAACGGGAAGTGTTATCGTACGGCAAAAAATGTATAATGATTTCTTGTTTTGTCAATCTTTTTAATGGGGTATAAATTAAAGAATTAACCGCTAAAACAAGGGATATTAGAGGGAATGTTAAAAGTGCATATTGATAGAATTGGTGATATAGTCAGTCTATTTAAAAATGTCAAATTAATATAAATAATATTTTTAATTATAATTAATAGCACATCAAATACAAAAAGAATAAATGGATGTGTTGTGGTGGAGTTAAAAAAGAAAATAAGCGAAGATTTATTGGTGTTGCAAAAATAGTTAAAGAAGTATGAAAACAATCCACAATAAAATACGTAAATAGCGGGAATTGAAGTTAATGAAATGAATTATTTCTATAAACAATAACACTAAAACGACAAAATGAGCAAATAAAAACACTTCTCCTGAAAAGTCAGTTTTTTACAACAAAATCTCCTGTAATTTATTGAAATAAGGGAGTAAATAAAATAATGTTTTTGATTATGATATTAAGTCAAAAAAAAATAACAAAAATAAAAAACATTTACCAGATAATCCCAATAACATTTTAAATTATAAGTTAGTCGAAAAAAGGCTATTGTGTATTTTTTAGATGGTAATTAAATTTTATTATAAGACACATTTAATTATAAAATAATATTAAAATATTATACCTTAATAATACAATTCATTAAAAACTTCAAGTTAATTATTATCAGAATAATTCAATTAAAACATATCGAAAGTTGTGAATCGTTTAATAAATCGAAAACACAAACTTATTGAAACTGACACAATTTGTTCAAAACATGACAAATAACTGGTTAGTATTATTATCTATTTTTTTAATTATTATAACTTCAACTTAAATTTGAAAAGACTATCATTTAAATAATAATAATAATTAGTTTTAATAAACTAATTAGTTAATAAATTAAAATTATTTGAAGGGTTAGTTCAACAAAAAAATTGAATTTGTCATTATTATTTGACAAATCAGAGAAAAATGATAATTAAATTGTCAATTGAATAATTAAAAATACAGTCATTATTCGATATAAGGGAATACCATGTACCAATGTTATTCGATATAAAGGAAAAAATGAGGAATTGTATAATTAACAAATAAATACCTCGGTTTGTTTTTTGTCACAAAAATATTTTTTTTATTTTTAATTTTTTTCTAACCAAAATAAACACTTTGCCTATGTCTTGAAAACAATTGGCAATTATTTTTATCTTAAATGAATAATAAATTTTATAATATATCAAAAAAACAAAGACAAATATATTAACACAATTAACATAATAAATAAAACTTTTGTATCTAACTTTGTTTCGACTTAAAACTTCAAATAAATCTGTTAAATCATTAAGTTTTAATGCAATCCAAACGTGTTAAAACGAGAACATCATTGATGTTACAAGACAAAATAAAAATTATTGAATTAATTGATCTTTATCAAAATACACAGAAAGTAATCGAAGTTGTAAGACAACAACTAAAAATAGTAATTTCTCCAAAGCAAGTTTATCATTTGCGTTCAATTTCTAAAGAAACATTGATAAACTTTCCATCCTCGTATAAACGAATAAGAAAACCACAGAACCCGGAACTTGAGGAAGCAATGATCAATTGGTTTCATGAAGTTCGTGAAGCGGGAATATCAATTGATTATTTTATGTTGGTTTCCCAAGCCAGATGTTTTATTCAAGAACACTCAGATACTATTCACCAAGGTGCTTCTATTGGATGGGCCCAAAATTTTTGCAAGAGAAACAATTTTAAAATGTACAAAACTCATGGAGAAGCGGCTTCTGTAGATTTGGTAAAGGTTCGTCCTCTTTTCGAAGAACTGTTAAAGGTTGTTAATGAGTTCCCCAAAGAAGATGTATACAACGCCGACGAAACTGGTTTGTATTATATGGCTTTGCCCGAAAGGACACTTGATGATTCACAGAAGAGTGGTTATAAAGTGTCAAAAGCTCGTATTTCTTTAATGATTTGTACTTCTCTCGTGGGAGAGAAAAGACCTCTTTTGGTTATCGGACCAACAAAAAACCCAAGATGGTTTAAAGACCCTCACCTTACTATCTTTAAAACAATATACATCAACCAGAAAAAATCATGGATGACCACTTATATCTTTCATTATTGGTTGAAATCCTGGGATGACGAAATTGATCGCTTAACTCCAAATAGAACTATTCTTTTAATAGTTGACAATTGTCCCAGCCACACTTTGACGTTGAAAACAAATAACGAACTTTTTGATCTTGATGAGAGATACGAGTTTAAAGGCAAGGATCAAAAGAATTGTTTCGTGTATGAACTCACTGGTTTGAGGCATATAGTTCTCACTTTCCTTCCTGAAAATTCAACATCCAAATATCAACCAGATGATGCCGGTATAATTATGTCTTTTAAGAGGCATTACCATCGCCTTTTTATGGATGTTGTATTAAGTTCGGTAAACCTCAAGAGAATGTTGCCTACTTTCACAGTTGGTAACGCAATTGAGATTTGTGTAAATGCTTGGGATAAAGTGACTAAGATGACAATAACCAATTGTTGGGAACACGCTGGGTTTCGCAATTGCTTTGAAGACTATGACGAAATTATTGATCCTCGTTATGACTGGGAATTTGAAGGAGAAAATATACCCGCTTCAATGACGAATGAAGAGTATAACAACGACACGAATACTTTGTTAAAAATAAACGAAAAAGAAGTTGAAGATATCAAAGAAAATATTCAGACGCTTATTGTCCAAAAAGAGCAAATAGATAAAACAATTTTTGAATTACAAAAAAGATTACATAATATTGAACCTGAAAATGAAGACATTCCTGTAAATGTTAATGAACGGAATGAATCGTTGTTGTCAAGGAAAGTATTCTTTTTGAAAGAATGCAAATACATTCATTGTATTATTTCTAAATAAAATTTACTTGTTTATCTATTTTTATTATAAATTTATTATTTTGTTTATTTTAATAAAAATGTTTTATTAAAAATTTAATAAAACATGGTTTTTATATTATTTTATTTGACTTTTTAACTTAGTGACAAATTAATCCAATTATTACCATTTTAAGTTTTTATAATGAAATAACCAACAAAAAGCAAACACATAAATATCTTTTTTTTATTTTTTTTTCTATTATTCGATATAAGGGCTTCCTCTTATTTTTCTCTCTTATATCGAATAATGACTGTAATTTGAATTTAAGCCATTAAAAAATGGCTATATAAGGTAACTTGTCAAAATTACTTTTGAACAATATATTATATCAAATTATATATGATTTTTATATGTATTGATTATATTTAACAACAATATTATAGAACAAAGTTATATAAGTCTCTAACTGTTGAACTCAACAGTAAGAAACTTTTGAAATAAAAAATATTTAAAGTCACAGTTAAGTGTCAAGTTTTGTTCATGTTGTTGAAAACCTGATCTATACATGTATATAATTAACTAAACCTCCATTGCACAAAAATATAATAAAATGATATAGTAAGTATACTTGTGATTACTTACACTCTATTTGGCTTTCTAATAATTTATTAATTTTATAAATTGATATATTTACTAAATATTAATAAATTTATTAAAATTATATAATTAAAAAATATTATAAATTATAATAATATCAAAATCACAGCAGAACACTTGTCTTGAACAGTAACATAAGAAATGCTATGTGACTGAGAGCAAGAGATGTGTTCTCTTTGTATAATTAAACGCATCAAAACGATTAGTTCATTCATTAATGGGAAATTGGCTCGATACCTTGTTTAGAAAGAAAGAAGCGCGTGTTCTGATGATAGGTCTTGACGCAGCAGGAAAGACATCTATTCTCTACAAACTGCGTCTTGGGGAGAACGTGACAACAATACCCACTATCGGGTTCAACGCGGAGAGAGTCGACTTCAAAAACCTTCACTTCAACATCTTCGACATTAATGAACAGAAGATTCCTCCACTCTGGAGACATTACAACAGTAGTTCAAATGCCATCATATTCGTGTTAGACTCCAACGACAGAGAACGTCTTTCTGAGGCGAAAAGTGTGTTACAGACAGTACTCAACACAGATGAGTTGATTGGTGTTCCCCTTCTTGTGTTTGCCAACAAACACGATCTTCCACAAGCGCTTTCAGTGTCTGACATAGTCAGCGGGCTTGGTCTTCAATACATCAAAGGGAGAGAGTGGTTTTGTCAGAATTCATGTGCCACGAATGGTGATGGGCTTTATGAGGGCTTAGACTGGCTATCATCCAAAATTAAGTAACTCTTTGTTTTTCATGATGTTGAAAATAATTCGAAAAATGGAATTTTTTACAGTTTTTTAATTCCAAACTAAAAAATGACAAAATGGAATTCCAATAATAGGAAAATGGTTTATTAAAATAGAATTCTTTGTTATTAACTTTTTGGTCAAAATATTAACTATAAAAGTACAGAAAAAAACTTTAAAATTCAAGGAAATGTCGGTAGATATAGAGAACCTTGATTCTTGTTCGACGAAAGAAGAAGTAATTGCAAAAGGAAAGAAGATGGAAAGTTGGATGGATGAGATGTTAGCAGACAATTGGACTCCATTGAGTTATGCACATTCGGAAATTGAAGTATCAGACAGACCACAAGAAGGTTCGATCTTGTATTTGAAGAGCCAAACAACAATTAAAGCAGACATAAAGAAGACTTTTGAGTTTCTTAAAGGTGGGTCACTTGAAAATCAGAAAAATATTGATAAAGATTTCCTTTCTTTTGAATTAATAGACATTTACGATGATAATACTTGTGCTTTGGGATATTTTCTTCACAAAGCGCCATGGCCTTTATCAAACAGAGACTTTGTTTTTGTTTGGAAATGGTTTATAAAAGACGGCTGTTATTATCTGATTCTAGAATCCGTCAATTCGACCCAACACAATACATATTCCAACGATACAGTTCGTGGATTCATAACTGTAGGCATGAAATTGGTACCAAAAGACGATGGATTTGTTTTGATTCGAATAGTCAAAGGAGATCCCCGCGGAAATGTTCCAAGTTGGTTAGCTTCTGTTGTCAAAAAGAATGATGCAGACTGTCTATACCATCTTTCTTCTTATTTACCTCAGACGTTTCCCTTCTAATCTATTTTAACTTCTTTGGTTATAACAATTAATAGTATTATTCTACCTTTTATTGTCACAAAAATAGAACGACAACTGTATCAATTAAAGTTAAATCTCTCGAAGTCAAGTGATTTCTGGATCTGTCCGAGGAGTGTCGAATTTTTCCTAATAATGTTAGTGCTTCCAATAATAATAGGTCTCTTGATGACATTACTTAAGTTTCTTAACGTAGCTATTTCTCCAAGTGTAATACCACCTATAACAAAAACTAATATACTCTTCGGGTTGCCTTCGATCTTTCCCTTTACATCAGTGACTTTGATTTGTTCGTCTTCGGGTAGAATTTCTGGGAGTGTCTTTGAGACTATTTTGGTCATCGACTTCAACAAGCTTTTCTGTGCTTCTTCGACAACTTCCGGTTGGACTATATTTTCAAGAGTCTTAGCAATGAGTGGAGTGTATCCCGAATATAAAGTCTTTCCATCTTTCTCATAAATTCTGAGCGCACTGTTAATAGCAGAGTATGTCCGATTCCTCTCCCCTACTTTCTTCAACATCCCGGACATCTCCAACTTACTCCACAAATCAACTTCTTTTCCTCCATTGAACTGAATGAATGCGGTTTTGATCTCTTCAAATGTCTCTGGTTTTATTCCATCGCACCCCGCTGATATCATTGAAAGTTGTCTCAGTGCCTCGTCGTGCTTCCCAAGTAGTAACAGTTCGATGACAGGACCCGCGATGTCTTGTTTAAACATACCTGCCGTGATTTGTTTTGTAGTAGAAAATGTATTATCGAAGAATGTGAATTGTTTGTCCATCTTCTCGATAAAGTCGAATCCGTTAGTACTTTTATTAATAGTTTGATAGAGTTGTGGATGTAATGTGACAAAGGTCATACACATATTGAAGTGTGTAGTCTTCTCGATTTTTTTCAAGATGTTCTCCTCCTGCAAACTCTTTTCTTTCAATTCCTTCGTCAATTGCACCTTCTCGGAAAGCACTTTTGGCACATCCAAAAAGAACAAGTCTCTCGCATCATTATACCAATTCCCATGTAATGGGATGATCCCACTCCCTCTCTGTGCTAACACTTGATACAACGGATCACTCTCTTTCGGTCCATTACACGTCTTTTCAAAGTACTTTAAGTCCACTGGTACTGTGGTGCAGTCATCGTTGATCCCAAATGTGTCGTCTATTAAACTTTCATAATTCGACGCAATCAATTCGGGCGTTAACAAGTCAAAACTTCTGTCGACGACATACATGAAGTCTATTTCTTTATTAAATTCATCATAATTTCTCTTGTTGTTCATCATCTCGGCTAATTGATGAGAATAACACCCTCTACTCTGGATCTTCTGGATGTACCCAAACTTCTTTTGAAAGTTCTCCAAAGCATTGAACACTTCTGAAACAACGGAGATATCCCGTTCAGCAAAAAGTCTCACAAACGCGTCGTCTTGCTGCATAGAGAAAAGTGTTGACTGTAACACTCCAACAGGCACATCGATCTTCCCAATGCGGAATTTGTTTTTATATGGCTCCAGCAATTTCCCATCAAATGGAGTGAATCGTGGAAGTCTGAAGAAGAAAAAGTTGTCTGGGGTGATAGTAAAATTCTTTTTCGTCAATTCGTTAAACATCGCAGTCGCCTTCTCGACAAAGTCAATTGCTCGAATGGCCGCATTGGTCGTCGATTCGGTGACAACAATGAATGCAAAACGGTCTCTAAACAACTTTTCGACAAACGCCTTAGTGTCTTTGAAGTCGTCATAACAGATCATGTCGATGATTTTATAGTTTTGGTCTTGAAGAAATTGTCCGGCAACTAACTCCATCATCGAAAACGAGTGTCTGTCACAAATAATTAACTTTTCTCTGTTCTGTGAAAGTGGTAAAGTTTTGAGTAAGGTTTCTGTAGTAAAGTCTTGGTAACTTTTAAGAACATCCGCAATTTGTGGACGGGTTGTCAGCTGCATCACGTTCAGAAAGATCGATTGAAAGTGGGTGTTTGTCGTCGTAACAATAGTATTCTTCATCTCCAATACTTAGAAAGTTCTTCTTTTAAAGTTCGTCATTCATTTATATATAAATGTTTCATACCATTTTTTATTATTTAAATGTAATTTTTTTATAATATTATAATAGTTATAATAGTATAATATTAAAAATAATATTTATTAATTACAAAAAAATAGTTTTATTAATTATAGTTAATAATATGATAATTATTAACTATTTTCAAAAATGGTTTAATTATTATATTATTAAATTAAACTACATAATACTTTTATTATATTATAAGTATAAGATAGTAAAAGATAAAGATAATTAATTAACGAAAAAAATTAATAGGCATCAGCATCTCACGGTTTGGAGAAGAGAAGTGTTGCACAACAAGACCTTTCCACCTTTCATCTTTTCGGTGGCCTTAGTCCAACTTCCGAAAGCAACGAAGTCGTCCATATTGTCATTAGTATCTCCAACATATATAAGTGGGAATGCTCTTGCAATGTCAGAAACGTAATCAGCTCCGAAAATAGCTTCCCAGTCTTCTTTCGAAGTCAATATCATGACCGGCTCTTTGTCGTTGTTGACTTTAAGAGCAGCCTTCATCAATGACTCCATCTCAGCAATGTTGGTTTGTTTGTTCGATGACCATTGGCCAACTCTAATTTCAACAATAACACCGTTGTGGCTGAATTGAACAGAATTGACGTGGTATCCAGAGAGCTGTCCGGCAGTGTCACCACAAGAGACGCATGGTCTGAAGATGAAGTCGATGCCCTTTTCTCTGAACCCAGCACCTCTGAGATAAGCACTGTTCTTCATGACGTTCAAGTTGAACTTTCCGTCATCAGTAAACGCAACAGCAGCAGCGTAAGTGTGCTTTCCAGCAAGGCAGCCAGCAAGTGTGCCGTCGATGAGATCTTTTCCGATAACGTCTCGGTGATCGCACCACGCGTGTATTGAAAGAACTAAGGCAAACAGCAACAACATACCTAATTTTCAAGTTTTTTCCAGCTTTAAATTTCCTTTCGTTCTGCTTTTTAATTATCGAAATGTAAGATTTTTTCTTTTTATTAATTTGAGTTATGTTGGGGAATTTTCATGCATTTTTCGAGGTAAAAAAACAAACTAAAAACTTATTTTTCAAAATTGTACACAGTGATTTTCGGTTTTATTCGAATCGTTCTACCATTCTAATTTTAGCCATCAACAATTTTAGTTCCACAATAATTTAATAAACTATAAATTGTAATTAAAACAATCCTTTTTATTTTAAAACTAATGCATCTAGTATATACTTTTAAATAGTTGAATGAATTAACAATAAATGATTCAAATTAAATAAAAAAATTCAAACCAAATTTGTATTATTTCCATCAAAAAAAAAAATAAAAAAATATCAACCCAATTGTGAAAAAAAACTGTATTATCGGCAATATAAAAAAACTAAACACCGTATCAATTGATCTAAAAAATCAACTCAAAAATCGCCGATGTCAACAACTTCTTTTCCCAAACCAGCCGTGACAGAGTTGTTTCTTCAAATGTTTTCCCTTCGCGCGCTCATTCCACAGGCGTTCTCTCCAATTATACAGGAAATAGAAAATGCGACAAGATGTTCTGTTGAAAATGTTCAAAGTGATTTTTATGCCACAGGATCTTTAATTTATAACTTTTGCATATCATTAGCAACACTTGCAGACTTAGCTAGAGACGATCAATACGTCAAAACCACTTTATTAGATTCTTTGACCCGTCACAGGGTGTCGTATGTCCAACCGCCTCAAAACAAAACCACACTGTTTATCACTTTTTATGAAGCTTTTAATGGATGTGAGAAGACCATCAATATTCAAGGTGTTGAGTACACATTTATAATTCCTAAATATAGTATCAACGGAGTAATTCTTCAAATTCAAAACCAAACGGTAGAAGTTGAGGTATTGCCCGATTCGACATATACGGTGTTTGATAATGGAGTCTTTGTATCCACTGACTTAAGTCAACATTTACAAATGTTTTCAATAACATTACCCGATGAGACTGCACATAAAATAGCACGAAGTTATATCGAACAACTTGGATCTGTTGAAATAGAAGGGTATCCGTTTAAAATTCACGTTGTTGCGTTAAACCCTAATGAATTACATAAAGCAGCTTTTGATGGTAAAATAGAACAACTTACAGGAAAGACAGTAGTGTTCAGAAAATGGGATTTGACATTGTTAAAGGCGCCCTCCTTTTTGAGGAGAGAAGTCTCAAAACAAATACTTATGACGTTCAACGTGCAAAAAACAAATCACATCGAATCCTTTGAAATTAATGAAGAGAACATGGACGTTGCATTGAAATTTGCGGATCACACGAGTGCAGTTACGCTCTCGCACGCATTAAAATACCCAAATCAAACATTTGTGATACCTCAGGCAGACAAAACGATCTTTATCTCAACACTGACACCTCATCGCGTCACACGATATGACATTAAAGTGCCTTTGCCGATCATGTGCGAAGGAGGGGTTGTTGACGTCGACAAACTCGGGATCAAGTTGAAAGTCCCGAAGAGAACAAAGCCAGGGAGTACATTAATTCATAAGAAAGACAATGACATTTTTGTGATTCAAGTCGACGAGATGCAAAGTGGGTTTTTCATCAAAGGGGAAGATGTCTTGACAAGTGTGGAGTTACCTGAAAGTTCTAAAGAAACAAATTTTGAAGTGAAGGTGGTGACGTTAAATGGAAAGTTAGTGAATGTCCATGGAAATTTAACTAAAGTCCTTCGAATAGTTGGAGGTGGAATTCCTTTGGAAAATGGATATGGGGACCTTGTGATCACTTTCACACCAAAAGGACAAATTTTGAGAGAAAAAGAGTACTACCAAATTGCTAAATACGTGACAAAAATCTCCATCTGTAACAAAGAATTTGTACAAAAAGAAAAACAATTTGTGGACGGAAGTGTTATCCCCAAGATTTATAGAATACCAAAAAACTTAAACGCTAACGCGAAGAAAAGAAATTATTTTGTGAGGTTCCCGGGTGATGGCGATGTGAGGGACGGCTTTGTCACAGACTTGGTGTTCGAAGTCGTACCAAGAGATTGAATGTATTTATTGTTTAATTTTATGGTTTCTTTTATTATTTTTATAAAATTTGTTATATATTCCAATTTCTCTCAATTAATTTTCTTTATTTGATATTTGTATTTTTGATTTGAACCAAAACGAGAAGCATAGAAAAGATCACACAAACAAAGTCAAAAAATAAAAACTCCGACGAAAAAACAAAACGCAATTGAATTGAAAAGTGATCAACAACTTATAAAATAAAAGTTGGCCGAAACTTAATCTGATAAAATGAGTGAAGTTGATGATGATAACATTGTTTGCTCAAGTCCTTTAGTTTTGGACAACACAACTCTTTTGGACAGAGGAGATGGAACGTTTGTATATCGTGATCTTCTCTTTCAACTGTGCTCAAAGGTTTGTTTGTTTTTGTTATTAAAAATGTTATTCATAAACAGGAAGAACAATATTCCAAAATGATTCCACCAAACAACTGCTGGCCCGCAAGAATATTTGTTCAGAAACTATTCACTGCGGCAAATAGAATGCACTTCAACGCAGTAACGACACACACCGCTGTCACGTTTGCTTTATTTTGTTGATTTTAAGAATTCACAAATATAGTAAAAGTAATAGTAAAAAATCCATAACAAATAGTTTATTAAAGCGTCTGTGTGTGATAAGTCCCGAATATGTCCAGAAGCAAAATCCCGAGACTATATGCTTTGTCTGTCTATCGTTATCAGCGAAGATGTATGAAAAGCGGAAAAGGTGGGTAAAAGAGTTATACCGAGACACGTTATTAGTATGTTCCAAGCGAGAGTTTCGAGCAAAAGAGATGGAAGTACTTCGATTAGTAGATTACCGGATCGACCTTCCTGTACCGATCCAATACGTCAATCTCTTCTTAGAGATTTACTTCAGACAGTTACCACAACTCAATTCGGTTGCTACTAATGTCACACATCTACTTTATAGTGAGCCCGAGAGACTCATTGGTAATCACTCTGCTTTGGTTTGTGCTATAGTAGTGTTATGTGTTGCTCAAAGTATTATGGATGGTGGGGCAAGTCGCCCTATGATCCGTTGGGCTAAAACTTTTTTAAATCAAATTGAAGAGATCACCACACTCTCCAACGAATTGTTTGAGTTCATATTTAAAACCGACAGAACTGCTCAGTTCGTATATTAGCATAGTAATAGTCATTCATTGTATATCGCCTCTAATTCAGTAATTTGTATTTCTATTGATAATACTATTAATTTATAGTATATTACTATTAAATAATAGTATTTAGAGTATAGATTAAATAATAATTCAATTTAGTTCTTCTCCTCTTTGTGTTCAATGTGTTGTGCCTCTGGTGCTTTCTTCTGTTGTTTCTGTTTTTGTTGTTTAGGTGGGTTCTGTTGTTTCTTCTGCTTGTCGTCGGGTTGTGGAGAAGGCACAGGAGATGGGTCGGATGTTTTAGGGTAATCAATAATGATGTTAACGGGACCATCGACATCGCCACAGACTTTCATATACTCCCCAAAAGCACCCGTTTGAATTTTGTCTGGTGCGTAGAGGTCTTTAAATCGTTGGACTGCATTATTGAAATAAGCAAGTGACTTGTCTGCCTTCATCGACTTGTGGAAGTCAGGTTTTGTACCATTCAAAATGGCGTAGAGAGTAAATTGAGAAACAACAAGAATCTCATATCCCATGTCGACTACACTGCGGTTCCAGCGCTTGGTCCCGTCGGCACTGTCCCAGAGTTTGAGGTTTAACACCTTTTTCACTGCTCCATCAATATCTTTCTCGTCGTCTGCCTCGTTAATACCAAAATAAAGAAGAAGACCTTTTTTGATTTCTCCAACTATTTTGCCCGTCTCGACGTGAGTCACAGAACCGGCTAAAACACGCTGAACAATAATTCGCATGATGTTTTATCAAGTTGGGTTCAAGTAATTTATCATATAGTTTAGTTATTATATATGCTTTGGTTCACATAATAATGTTATTTTATTATAATTTTGTTATATGTTGTTTAATTTGAAAAATTCAAAAAAATTTTTACTCAAAATATAATCATTTACAAATCAATACAAAACCCTATAGTCGTCAATTGATTGGTCAAAACCAGAAAAAATATATTATATATTTAGAAACGATATTTTCGGATAACGATTGTAAGCCAACTCTACAAACGCATTTTTGAAACTTATTCTCCGATGTCACTTCTTACGGTTTTACACGAGATGCGACTCGTTATGATCAGGTCTTGAACAGTTATAAACAAATGTATTTTTTTGTGATTTCCATTTGTATATTTTGTTTTTGTTTTTGTTATACAACACTTCACATTGTCCAATTTTTTATCGTACTTCTTCGGGATGACGTCGTAATTAATTTCTTTGAAGCTTGAAAGGTTTAAGACAATTTGGTGGGTTTTTACCATACTTGTAGTTAAACAATAATTGATAAAATTAAACAATAAACTAATACTTATATTTTTTTTAAACAAATCAAAATATTTTAAAACTATTTTATGATTTTATTTACTATTTATTTTAAATATTTAATTAATTATTTATTTTAATTAATTAACTATTATCGTACTATTTGAAACTATTGAATAATAAATAATAAAATACTAATACTAATACTAATAGTATTATTATTTTTTATAAAATGAAAGTTATTCACTGAACTATTAAAAAAAACTTAAATCTAGATTAGTTCTATCAATGTTGTCAAATATGGTAATCCCAAAAACGCTTTTCTTATAATTTTTTAATGACAAAAAAGTTAAATTTGATCAGAAAGTGCAGTTTTGAAATAAACCTTTTAATTGAATAATTTAGCCAATAAAAACTAATTTAAATTTTATGCGTTATTCCCAATAGATGTTTATTAATTCAAAAATGTCAATTATCATGCATTTCAATCTGAAATTGACCAAATCATTAAATTTTAGTGTTTTATTTTTTTTTTCATGAGAAAAGAACCCGTTTGTCATTCTTCTGAAAAAAAAAACATTTCATTTTTATATTTCAGAACAAAAAGAGATTTTTTGAAATCAAGAAAAAACAACAATAAAAAGGTACTTTGAACTAGTAATATCAATGAGTAAACCTTTAGTTCATCCATCAGTCGATAGTTTCCCAGAGCTTACTAAGAAACAGGAAAGCGACCGGAACTCGATCACTCAGCAGACCTTTTTAATAGCATGTTTTCTGAAACTTGGATACACTGCAAAGCTTCACCGCACGACGAAAAAGACAGGCGGCTTAGAACGGTTCATTATCGATGAAGTGAGCGACCCCGAGATACAAAGCGAAGCAGAAACGGAGAGAAAGAAGCGCGACAAAGAGAAAAACAGTCAACAGAGGAACAAGGACAAAAGTGTTCAATCAGTATATTACAATGGTATAATCGAGTTGTTGAAAAGAAGAGGCAATTTAATGGAAATAATGCCAACAAGATCATCGTCCAAAAGTGTTAAAAGGAATAGAGTTATATTATTCAACGATCTTACATTTGACGATACTAACGTATTTGGAACAAAGATCAATGAACACTTTCAAACCCTTTTGCCACCTTCAAAGGGTAAAAGGACTGAAAATGGAAGGGAATTTACTGTGGATGATGTGCTCACTACAATAACTGGTGAGCGGAGTATACTAAAATTGAACGTACAAGATAACACAAAACAATATAACAAATACGAGAAAAATTTTTTAGAACCAAAAGTGACTGAACCACCTGATGTATCACAAAAAGAAAGCAATTTGGAAACTAATATTGACGAAGCTGTTCTTACAAATTCAGCGAGTGGAAGTAATGTTGATGAAAGTAATATCACACAAAGTCAAGAATCTTATTATAATTGTCCTGTTGTTCAAGGGACGTCATTTACACCACAAATGACTTGTTTTGTAGATCAAGATGGTGCACCAATAACTATGGGTTACTACATTTACTACGTAAATGTAGTACCAGTGTACTTCGTGCCACAACAACAGGATATACAAGAAAATCAGCAGTGCGAACTATCACCCAATCTTATGACTAACAACTTATCAGAAAGTCAATAATTCCAACAAAGTTGTCTAGGAATAGACTATTTTATTGGGATAATTGGTATTTTGATAGACGACTAGTCGAAAACAGGACTAACACACAAACTTTATTTTGAAACACGTTCTACTGGTTTGTGTGTTGTCCTGTCCTTGGCGTTGAGTTTATTAATTCACCTTTTTTCTTATTTTTTAAGCAATAACAGTTACACATTAATACAATTACAATGGGAAACAAAGCGGTGTTTTATGACCATTATTTAATGATCATAAAACATAAGCATTTCCACAGTCAAGACAGGAAGGACTGACACTAAACAGTTTGCAAAACACTAGTCCATCAGTTGTGTTTGTTTTGAACAAGATTTCTTTTTCACAATTTTCGGCTCGCATCCCTTTTTGAAAGACGTCAATAAATGACAAAACAACATTTAACAGTTTGTTCTGTGTTTTTTTAGCTTGATCAAGGCACAAAGAAAATTGACCATTGAGTGTTTGGTCTGTTTTTATGAGGTTGACAAGAAGTTTGATGTCATCAAACAAAAACAGCATTTCTCTGACAATCATTCTGCTCATTTGAAATAAAACGGGTTTCTCTCTATCAGTGTCTTTTATTTTCATAAGAAGGACATGGTCTTCATTGAATATCTTGTTCAACTCGTCCCATAAAAAAACTATGCTTTTCTCCATTTTAAGACTTGCCGGTATTTTAGTATTCTGTGCAATGGAAAAATCGCCCGCGAACCAGAAGTACGTTTTGTGGAAATTCGAGAGATGTGAAAGGTGTTGATAATACAGACAACACAGTGGATTTTCAAATTCTTTGTTCTCACTTTTCAAACTGAATTCTATCTCCTTCTTTGAAAACTTTTGGAAAGCGCGAATGTTACCGTCTTGAAATATTCTGTGGAGAACCATTAATGAAACTAAAACATCTTCCTGTGAACTACCAGAGAGCCTTGAGTATATTTGTTTGATGACAACATGCAGCTGACCGTTTAAAGTTGACTTTACAATCTTATTGAGTGTCTTCTCTTTGATGACTTGAGAAGAGGACGTGTACAATGTGTGGAACGCCCATTTCAACTTAATGTCCATCACCACCTTTTATGTCTCTTAGCAACAACCCTTTTATACCACCAGACCCTTTCTACTCAAACTCAAGAATCTCGAGATTGTGATCCGTTTTGTTCAATCTTGTACAAAAGTTGTCATTTTTTTGGCTTATTTTATTAATAAGTAAGTTTTATATTAAAACACAATAATAAAATAAACTATTAATACACCAAAACGTTTTTCTATTTTTGGAACAAATAATTTTTAGTAATCAATAAAAGTAATTAAAATATATTATATTATAGTATGTTGTATTTCATTGTTTTTGATACAATAAAAAGTTATAAAACAAACTAATGAACCAAACTATTCATTATGCTATTACAAATTAGAAAACAAATTATAATAAACAACTAGCGAACTAGTATAAATATTGTGATGGGCCTTACTTCGTTATTGACAACATTTTTTCAGTCACGCAAAATTGATATTCTCGTCACTTTAATAGTATTAGTATTATCCAAAGTGTTAACATATTTGCCACCACATCATATGGACATTCCAAGTAATCACCCCCTCTTTTCATTTCCTCGGAAAGAAGGGACCTTCGGGTTATGGTCGACTATTACCATCGACTTTATAGTTCCAGTAATTATAATTATAGTTCTCTCGATATATAGTGGATACATCTATGGGTGCTTCAATGTAGTCCTCTCATTTGTTTTCAACGACTCATTGAATGGGTTTTTGACCCAACTCTTCAAACTTTTTGCGGGTCGTCCACGACCGTTTTTCTTCAATGGATGTGACCACTCTAAAAACACGTGTTTCAAGTCATTTCCATCAGGACACTCCTCTTTTGCTATGGCGGGTCTTCTTTTCTTTGCGTTGTACATATTCTTTTATATGAAGAGAACGCATTTCAAATCAAAGAATTTGGTCTGCGGAATTGCTTTTGCGCTCCCCGTGTTACTTGCTTTTACTATCGCAATTACAAGAACTCGTGACCATTATCACCATTTCTCAGATATCACCGGTGGTGTTATGCTTGGTGGTTCTGTGGCTTTAATAAGCTTTTTTGCTACTTACCAAAGATTTTATTTGAAAGAAGAAGAAGACACAGAAGAGTACGAAATAGTCAACAACAAAACAGTTCTTTTAGAAGAAGAATAATTAGTCGTATAGTTATTTTTATTAGTAATTTTTATTAATATTTTACTAATATATTACTAATTATTATTGTTATTAAACTGTTTAACTAAAGTCGGAATAAAATGCTTTCATGAATTATAATAATATTAATTATTGATTAGATAATTACTATTTTTTTTAATTATTAACTATATTATTATCAATAACTATTAATAATAATTATTTTAATTAAAAAATATGGTAATTTTTTTAGAATAATTTATAATTTCGTTATAGTATTATTGTTTTTCAAGAAATAACCATATTTTATAAATATTTTATTAAATTGGAACTATACAAAAAAAGCAACTCAATAATAAGAAAAAGTGTTGAAAAAACCTCAAAGAAAATGTTTAGTTGTATTTATCCCAATCCAGATTATTTATTATTCCACAATTTTTCATAAGTAACTTTTTTGTTAATCCATAGTAAAAACAACTATAAACTATATTATAAAAGTAAAAAAGTAAAACTTCATCAAAAAAGTGACAACGTAGTAACAGAAGAGAGTGATATGCCGAATGCAATCTCAAAAGCACATTGGAACGAAGAGTGAAAAATGTTATAATACTGTTTGATAGTAAAGTAAGTAAAACTAAAGAGAACTTAAAAAAGAAAAGAGATGAGCCGCCCACAGAGTAAGACACCGATGGAACCAAATGAGGACCAACAACTTCAAGAAGAGATCGAGCTTTTAGTGAAGCGTGTCCAAGATCCTGATCAATCCATACAAAGCAACGCCATTGAGTTACTCCGCAAGACTATCCGTGGGACTAACTCAACTTCAACAACGATTCCAAAGACTACCAAATACCTCCGCCCCCATCTGGACACATTAAAAGCATTCCACGCGATGTTACCATTTGGAGAGACTTCAAAACTTCTTGCCGACGTTTTGAGTGTGTTGGTTATGACCAGTGGAGAGAAGGGAGAATCGTTGAAGTATAAACAACTGGGACATTTGGATGACTTGGGACAATGGGGACACGAGTACACCCGTAACTTGACAGGGGAAGTGGTCGAGAATTGGCAAAAGGAAGGAGACAAACTGAAGGACATAGCAAAGAAACTTGTCGAGTTCCACGTCGAACACAACGCCGAACAAGACGCGATCGACTTTTGCATCGAAACTGATACGTTGGAAATGCTTGAGGGGTTTTGTGAGAGAGCAAGATTTGAAAAGGTGTTTGTGTACGCGACGTCATGTGCGACGTATTACCCCGAGCCTGAAGACAAAAAGATATATAACTTCTTGTTGCGAGTAGCGCTGAAGCAAAAGAGATATACCGATGCGGTTCGATTAATGCTCAAAACGAACGATTTTGGTGGGTTGAATGATGTCATTAATGCAAATAAAGGGAATAACGGAATACTTATGCAGATGGGGTACATCTTGTCGCGGGTTAGAGACGATGCCATACTATCTTTGGTTGAGGACGAGACGGTGAAAAAGGCTATGGTCAACGAAAACTTGTCGGCACACTTCACAAGTCTTGTAAAGGCACTTGCACTCGAAGAGATCAAAACACCACAACAAATATGCACAACTGCTCCACCACCAACAAGACTGACTATTTCCCAAAAACCGGAACCACAAGAATCTAAAGAACTTGGGTTGTGTGTTGCGAATTGTTTGGCTAATGCAGGGTTTGGGTACGACAGTTTGATTCATTCAGAAGACGGGTCGTATGTTGTGAAGGCTCGCTCTGAATTACAGGTGGCTGCGGCTGCTGGAATGGGGTTGTTGCACCTTTGGAGACCACAAGAAATCGAACAATTCACCACATTTACACAATCTGATTCTATGTATGTGAGAGCTGGTGCGTTGTTGGGGATTGGAACGTGCTGCAGTGGTGTGAAGAGCGACGTAGATTTTGCACAAGTCTTTTTGGCAGACAAATTAACTGCCAGCACCTCTGCTATTGAACGGAAATTGTCGATATTTGGACTTGGCTTGTCGCACGCGGGTAGTCGAAATGCCGAACTAAAAGAGCAGTTAATTGCTGTCTTGAATGATATCACTGCAGTAGGCTTTGAGACTGCTGGACATGCCGCGATAGCCCTTGGTATGATCTACGAAGGGAGTATGGATGGAGAAATTGCAGACCAAATTCTTTCAATAATTTTCTCGAACGATGGTAATGAGGAGTTTTTAAAAAGCATATCGTGCAAGATGTTGGTGATTGGTCTTGGTTTGTTGCACTTATGTTGTGGTGATGCGTCTACTTTGGTGATGGACACAGTCAGAGCATTGCCATCACCAGTTAATCAATACGCAATGTTGGTTGTGTGCTGTTGTTCATATGCTGGCACATCGAATATTGTCAAAGTGCAACAGTTAATGGAAGGGTGTGGCAAACATGATGACGATGAAGAGACAAAGGCATGCGGAGTATCAGTGATTGGTGTTGCCTTGGCGTTGATGTCTGACGACTTGTCCACTGAGGCATCGACTCGGCTTATTGACGAAGTCCAGAGATACAGTGAGCCAGCTGTGAAGAGATACGTACCTTTTGCTTTAGCACTCACTTCTATTGGAAAACCAAAGGTCCCATTGTTGGAGCAGTTGACACGACTTGCGCATGGGAGTGATATCATTGCTGCTCGAAATGCTATTTTAGCTATTGGGCTTGTTGCTGCAGGAACACAAGCGACTCGAGCGGTTAGTCTTTTGGATCAATTGGCGTGCTTCTTTGTCAACGACCATCAGTCATTGTATTGTGTTAAAGTATCACAAGGTCTTATCCATCTTGGTAAAGGGACTATCGGCATTAACCCAATGTACATGGATAGATTTGTGATGGACCCGGTTGCATTAAGTGGGTTATTGACGTTTATACTCATTGCGGGAGAGGGGATGGAGAGAATATCGGGATTGAACACTTACATCATCAACTCGTTGTGCTTGGCCATGAGACCACGCATGTTCATGCCTATTGATGACACAGGAAAGGTCATCACCACATCATGCAGAGTTGGTGTTGCTGTCGATGTGGCTGGTCAGGCAGGTACTCCAAAAACCATCACTGGTTTCCAAACACATAACACCCCTGTTCTCATTGGTGTTGGAGAAAGAGCGGAATTGGCTGCAGAAGACTGTTTGTTATTAATATATATTTTTATGATCAAAGTGAATAGCACTCATATATAGACTCTGCGTTGTCTAGTGTGTTGGAAGGTGTTGTTGTGTTGAAGCACAATTGATGATTTTTTGTCTTTTGGTTTGAAAACAAATTCTATACAACGACAGATATATAGTATAAAATATAATATAATTTAGTTGGGAATGTAAGAACTCCAAAACACCAGAATAAGTCTATAAATAGAGAGATGAGAAATACCAAAAAGTTGGTTTAAAAACTTGAAAAGAAACACTGATGTACAGCCGAAGCCGCATCTTTGCAATAAGCTTTGGCGCATTTCTAATAGTTTCATGTGTATCCATTTGTATGGCAACTCGGTTTGGAGCGTTTGAAAAGGTCCAATATAATGTTCTTGATCGAGGAAGGTATTCAAAAAACGTGTTTATAGGGTGTGGGTATGGCATAGCTGGGACTCTTGGTGTGAGTGGAATAGTAGTGATTCTATGTGCGATAGTTATGAATAACGTATTAGTGTCAGTTTCTTCTGTCATCAACATCATATTCTTTGTTATTGCAGTGATGGGTGTTGCATTCTATTCGAACGAAGTCCGTAACTTTTTGATGATGAATGAAAACAAAGCGAGAGAGTTCCAACCATTTGTTTGTATTTATTAATTAATTTGTGATGTACTGATATATAGTATAACTGTTGTGGATATAAAGATATTACTAATAGTACTTTCAATGTTACAGACTGCGCGTCGGAGATTGGTATAACAACACAAACACTTTGTTTCGACGCTCTGAAACCGACGGAATATGCCGAGTATCAAGGATTGGTCACTATGATGTATTCTGTTGTCATGTTTTTAACACTCGTCACGAACTACCGACTTCTTTTAGAAGAACTCTCTGAAAATAGCCCCGAAGAGGTCACCATATTCCCTTCAGTGTTTCGACAAAAAGAAGAAATTGAAGAGAATCAAAGCGATGAAAAAGAAGAGAACAACCCACTTCTAGATGATATGGAAAATGGGAATACTATTATAAAGAGAAACATTGCACATATATGACAAGTTTATTTGAACTGAGTTTGCGAGTTGTTTTATTTGATAGTAAGTTGTATTAAACTGGATTCATTACACGTTCACAATACAAATGACACTAAAGTATATATTCACATGGCTTCTTTAAATTATTATTTGTTGGTATTTTATATTAAAATGATGAACAACGTAACTGTTGGAGTCATAAAACATTCTTAAAAAGCTAAAACATGAAATTTGTCGAAGAAAACATCGATTCACTTGAGTTATTTGTGTTACATTAAGAAATGAACTCATATTTCTATACTAAAATGAGTGAAATAGACCCATTCCATTTGCAAATTGTATCAAAGTACTTGACTACCATTAACGACTTTATTTCACTTGAAATTGTATGTAAGAAGTATAAAGGTAATATGGAAAAGTTTCATAATAACCCAATTCCAGTAGATAAGAAAACCATCAAGTACTTTCCCAATATCGAGACACTCAATTTGTGGAGTAAAACAGACGAGCGTTTTGGTAATGATATTTATAACAATAAAAAAGACGCACAGAACAAAGTCGACTTCTTTCAAATCAGTGTGTGGTTTGAGGTGGAATACAACACTGTACGTTCATCCAAAGACTCAAACATTCGATTCCATAACGTCACATACGCTCAGAAAAATAGGAAGAGATTTGGTAACAAGATCCCAGACTGTGTCACAAAATTGGGTGAAGAATGCTTTTCAAAAGATGGAAATTTTAAAATCCATACAGTGACCCTTCCTCCTCATTTGAAAGAAATAGGTGGGCGTTGTTTTTACGATCAATCATTGGAGTCAATTGACCTCCCACCTTCACTAACTAAAATTGATGGTGATTACTGCTTTTATCAATGCTTCAATCTCACCTCCATCAAGCTTCCAGACTCTCTTTCTGTATTGGGCAACTACTGTTTCATTGCGTGCTCAAATTTAAAAAGTGTTACAATGCCATCACACCTCAAGAGAATTGGGTATTATTGTTTTGAATACTGTTATTCATTGCAATCAATAGAAGTCCCCGACTGTGATGAATTGGATGTATACGCCTTTGAAAAATGCAAAAGTCTGACATCTGCGTCGCTCGGTGGTTCTTTCAGTAAAATAGAAGATAATGTTTTTGCGAAGTGTAGTTCCCTTGTCTCCATTAACTTCCCAACTAGTATCTTAGCCTTTGGGGCGTTTTGTTTTACTGGATGTCAAATGGAATCGATAGTACTCCCATCTAATTTGAAAGAAGTTTCGTGTGGCTGTTTTTATCAATGTTCTTCTCTTAAAAGTGTTATTCTTCCAACCACCGTCAGTTCAATAGGAGAATACGCATTTTCTGAATGCGTGAATTTGAAAACGTTGCTCCTCCCCAGTAGTGTAAAGGAATTAAAAGAACAATGTTTTGATGGGTGCACACAACTTGACATCATCGTCCCGAGCACAGTCACATTTATTGAAGAAAAATGTTTTCAAAATTGCAAGAGTGTTGTTTACCAACACGTCGAATAAGTCATTAAGTTTTGAACCTTTAAATTTTTATTTCACATCATTCAAATCAAATTGTAAAAAATCAACTCAAAAAGGTAATGTCAAAAGATGGCACAACAAATGAAATTTATCATTACAAAAGAAGTATCTCATCAATAAAAGTCGAATGCAAAACACCATATATGGGTATACCAGATACAACTATTATCGATGAAAAGTCTACAGAAGAATTCCCTCTCGCGCTATTGCCTCTTCTTATTCCTCAGAGTACTTTCGACAGCTTTAATGTGACAAATTTAGTCACAGAACAAAGCCTTACACTAAGTATGCCAACAATCAGTTATACACTTCGTGATGCGATCGCTAACAAAAAACTTTCATTGGACAACCCACCTCATTTGCCTCATATAGAATCTTTCATATTCGACATTCTGAATTTGTTTATTACAAAAGACTTACCCAAAGTAACTTTGGAAGATTTCTATGTATATGATGAACGGGGGAAGATAAGCACATTTGGAGATATCTATTTTTGGTTCGATGTTTGCGCACCGAACATCACTTATTTTGTCTCGGAGAAGTCGGCTATAATGTCGGAGGGAGTTCGATATTGGCTCGACCTGAAGAAAAAACAGAACGTGCAAAAGGCGACGATAACTGATCTCCATAATGTGCTCAATCAATTTTTAGAAGAGGTTGGGTATACGGGTGACAACAATTTTAGTGTTGGAAATTTTCTCATTGCATTGAACTCGATGACCCAATTCACTGAAATAGAACACAATGAGTATTACAACCATTGCAAATCAGTTAAACTTGGCGACGAAATTGATGTGACTGAGTTGTACCTTTATGTAAACAACACCCCCATTCAGTTCGACAAATTTAAGTTTGTTGAGATAAAAAAGAACAACGTCAAAGTTCCAATGGTATGTTTGAAGAGTGACACAAATTGCTTTGCTGAGTTGCTAGGGAGTGGGTCTTATGGGAAAGTGTTGAAAGGGAAATACATTTCTCGTGATGGTTCAACCCATGAAGGTGTAGACGTAGCAATTAAATGGTTTATTCCACAGAAATATGGTAATGTGTATGGGCAATATTTTTATCTTCGTGAAGTGAGGATGTTGAGCAGTTTAAAGCGTGAGCCAAATATTGCAGAAATCATTGGTAAAAATGATGAGAACGGACTTATTGTTCAACGGCTGTATAAACAAACATTAAGGTCATTTATTCAAGGCCAAAAACAAACAGTGTTTAGTTCTTTTGATACGAGTCGGGATGCACTTGTGTATATTATGGATATAGTGAATGCAGTTTTAAACTTCAAGGAAGTTGGATTGTTTCATCGTGACTACAAGATGGAGAATACATTTTTGTTGGACGATAGAGCATACATGGGAGACTTTGGGTCTGGTGTTGTTCTGTCACTAACAAACACTGGCAATACTAGTTTGGGAACAATTGGAAACTTTCCACCAAACTACTATATAGAAAAGGACAGACAAAGAATAGACACTTATAGTGTTGCTGTGTTGTTATCGAATTTCTTTTTCACCCAAACGAATTCAACAAGTGGTCTTGTCATAAAAGCATACCAAAAATATGGAAATCCAGATACATTTGCAGAGGAAGTTCGCGAAAAGAAACAGAAAGAAATGATAAAGGTTATTAATGACAATATCTTATACAAATTGTACAATTTCAATTGTACACAACAACAAGTCGACAAAAGACTTGTTAAATATGTTGAAACCCTCAAAACTGATTTAATGAATATAATCGAAGCAGGCAAAAAACAATCAAAAGATGATTTGGGGCGTGCGAAATTGCAGTCGATAGTAGAAAACACTAAAACGTGTCTCAAAGATGTTTTTAAATATGACTACAAACAACTCGATCACAGAGTCGTAGATGACGTGGCAAGCTTGTTTCAGAGTTTCACCAAGATGTATTCCTTAGAAGAAAAGAAAATTGAGAACCACCCTATTTCATATATTACATTCTTAGACGATATCAATGCTAACAAATATGAAGATGCACTGAACGCTATGTACTATATACTCCAAGCATTGGCATTTGTTTGTGGCCAGAAAGAAGACATGAAAATGGCTGAAAGCGTTTGGGTACTTGGAAAGGAACTCTGCAAATTCATTGATGGCAAGAAAAGACAAGAGATGATGGCAACTCTTGAATGTCTTCATAGTGCCGTCCATTCTCAATAATAACTCAAATAATTAGAATTAGAATTATTCGTTCAATTGGTAAAAACTAGAATTTATACTATTCTTGAATTATATATAATTATTAACCATAAATAATACTATATTAATACTATAATTTCAAATCAGAAACAATGATAAAAAAACTATTACAATATTCCATAAATTGTTTTAACGAATGACAAGAATATAGTAAATAGAATGATATTTGTAACTATATAACAATGAGAATTCAGAACACACAGAGAACAAAAGTTTTGTCGTTGCAACAATAGCAAAAATGCATTGTTTTTTGGGATATTTGGGCAACTCGAAAAAAGTGACACGAAAGCTTCAGAGATATCTGCTTTAAACAAATAAAAAAAGTCCACGTACAACTACGTGGAAGAACTAATAAAATGGGAACCAAACTATTCAATTCAGAGAGATGTTCATTCTTCTGGCATTATTGGCCGTCTCGCAGTCCAAAGTATATTTCCACGAGGACTTTGCGAACAAAGACAAGTGGATAGACTCGACTTCCTCAGGGAAGACACTTGGGCAGTTTAAATTAGCCCGTGGGAAGTGGTATGGTGATGAGAACAATCAAGGTCTTCAAACATCTGAAGATAATAAGTTCTACATAGCTGCCGCCAAGTTAGATGAGGAATTTGGCAATGAAAACAAAACTACAGTCATTCAGTATAACATTAAGTTTGAACAGAACATTGATTGTGGAGGAGGATACATCAAGTTGATTCCAAAGAGTGCTATTGAATCAGAGGAGAAATTCACCCCAGACTCAAACTACAATATTATGTTTGGCCCAGATGTCTGCGGCTCTTCTAAGAGAACACACGTCATCATGAGTTACAAGGGAAAGAATCATTTGATCAAGAAAGAAATCAAGTGCGAGTCAGATGAGATCTCTCATTTGTACACTTTGATTGTTAAGCCCGATAACACTTACGTTGTCAAGATCGACGGCGTTGAGAAGCAAAAGGGTTCATTTGCTGATGACTGGGATATGCTCCTTCCAAAGGAAATTGAAGATCCAAAGATCTCGAAGCCATCGGACTGGGTCGATGAGAAGGAAATCGATGATCCAGAAGATAAGAAACCAGAAGGATGGGACGACATTCCAAAAACTATTGTCGATCCTAACGCTAAGAAACCAGAAGAATGGGACGACGAAGACGACGGAGCTTGGGAAGCACCAACTATTGAAAACCCAGCATATAAGGGTGAATGGAAGCCTAAGAAGATCCCCAACCCAGCTTATAAGGGAGAATGGGTCCATCCAAAGATTGCTAACCCAGACTATGTATATGACGCTAATCTGTATAAGTTTGAAAATTTCAAGTACATCGGAATTGATGTCTGGCAAGTCAAGTCTGGAACTATCTATGACGATATCTTGATCACCGATAACGAGACTGAAGCCGAGGAACAAGCCAAAGTCATCTTGGAAAGAAACAAAAAGGAAAAGGCTATGAGAGACGAAATCAAGGAAAAGGAAAGAAAGGAGGCTGAAGAAAAGAAGAAGATTGAAGACGCTAAAAAGGCTGAAGAAGAGGCCAAGAAGAAGGCTGAGGAAGAAAAGAAAGCCGAAGAAGAGAAGAAGGAAGAGCCAAAGAAAGAACCAACTCCAGAAGAAATTAAAAACAAAGAGGAGCTTTAATTAAACATTATTTTCGATATGGTTATTTATTTTATTAAAATATACTATTATGATACTATTATTAGTTTTTATTATAAAAATATTATTATAACTTTAATTATATTTTTAGAACTAAAAATATTACATCTAATAAATTTTAATTATTTAAGAGCATTAATTTAACTACTAATTTCTACTTAGTATAATAAAATAACTATATAATAGTTTGTTTTTGTAATAGTGAGAAAGTGATAAATATAATAAACTAATATTTAATTATTGACTATTGATAACTAGTTTACTGGTTTTGTTATAATTTTAATATAAGAAAGAATTATTAACTAAATATAGTTTTATTTGTATTTTAGATTTTGTTCATATACAAATAATAAAAGTCTAATAATTAAACAAAACTAAATTTAATAATATATTCAACAGAATGAAATACTTATTTTCGAGAGATACTATTTATATAAAATAAAAAACTAGAACAAATTTCAAGAAGAAGAAAAAACTCAAAATAGTCCAACAGGAAAAAAAACCTGTTTTCTGACTCCAAAAAATCATAAAAAAGTCCATAACAAGCCGATGCGAATCAACGGTGTTTAATGAGATGGCCTCTAAGGAACTGCAAAACGAGCAGATAAATCCCGAACTTGAAAAAGTGTAAACAGAGATGTCAAGCGAAGCCGAATTGAAAGCACTTCTTGCTCAAGTAATGAGTCGTTTAGAGACTGTCACCGCGCGTTTGGAGAAGATCGAAGGAACTCAAGGGACAGCCAATGCAGCTCCTTCTGCTGGTGCGTGTGAAGGTGAATGCAAAGCACAAACAGCTTTCATTGAACTTCGTGATTTGTATTTGACTCCATTAGTTGAAAAGTCGAATGCATTTGACCCAATTTTGGGACAAGCTCTTGCCGATTACATTGCTATTGTTAATGCTGTTGGTGACTTTGTTGGGATGGCTGCCAAGTCGAAGAAACCGACACAAGAAGGACTTCAAAAGTTGATTCAACCCATTGGAGATAAGATGTCTGCCATTGGATCATACAAGGACAAACAATTCAAGTCCCCGTTCATCAACAACTTCTCTGCTATTGCTGAAGCGTCACAAGCTTTTGCTTGGATCTGTGTCGACAAGACTCCAGCACCTTTTGTTAATGATGCCATTCCATCCGTCGAGTTCTATACCAATAAAATCCTTGTTGCCACTAAAGGAAAGGAACAAGACAAATTCGACTGGGCTATTAACTTCGTGAAGTTCTTGAAGGAGATGGTTGTCTATATTAAACAATACCACACCACTGGCTTGACTTGGAACCCTAATGGTGCCGAGGCTTCCGCCCCTACTGCAGCTCCAGTCCAAAAAGCACCAGCTCCAAAGAAAGAAGCACCAAAGGCTAATCCCGCTGGATTGTTTGCTGACTTGAATAAGGGCACTGGTATTTCAGGTGGATTGAAACACGTCACCAACGATATGAAGACTAAGAACATGAAACCAGAAGATAAGAAACCAGTTGAGCCAAAAGCAGCACCAAAGACTGCTAAACCAGCTGCGGCTAAACAAGCTGTTCAGAAGCCCCCAAAGATGGAAAAGGTTGGCAACAAATGGGACATCTCCTATCAAAATGGAAACAACGCGATGGAAATCGAAGGCGATTTCAAGGACTCCATTTATATCTTCAAATGTGAAAATTCGACGATTAGAGTGAAGGGAAAAATTAACTGCATCTCCATCGATAACTGCAAGAAGGTCAACTTGATCTGCGACACCGTCGTTTCTTATATCGAATTGGTTAACTGCACTTCTATCGATATGAGAATCACCGACTTGACTCCTACTATTAACATCGATAAGTCACAAAGCGTCGTCGTTCACTTGTCCGACAAATGCCTTGATGGAAAGTCAACCGTCAATACATCAAAGTGCGACGCTATTTCAATCGCTATTCCAAACCCAGAAGATAAGACTGACGAGGTCGAGTACCCAGTCCCAGAACAAATGTTCACAACTGTCGAACACAACAAACTCTACCCACAAATCTACTTCCACGACAAGTCATCTTACTACTTCCCAAAGTAAATCACTAGTTCTCATCTTTCAGTCTTATTTTTATTGTATTATTATGTTATAATATATATTAATACATTTCTTTTTACTAATATGATATTATTTATTTTAATACAGTTTTATGGTTTGGGTTGATTTAACAAAATACTATTTTTTTATTAGAAAGAAAACAAATGAGTGTTATGGTATTATGTTGTCTATTTCTGGAATGACGGCAATATGACAGAAATATGAAGGGAAATACAGAAAACGACAGTTTAATGATTAAAATAGATAATGATTTTTACTATAAATTATAATTAAATTAGATAGAAACTAGACCACAACGAAACAATAAAACACATTATAAATTCCAGCCAAAATCAAAACACGAGGTGATGATGTATAAAGAACAATAATACTAAGAAATCAGATGGAGCATAGTGAGTCAGTTACACCCGTCGATTACATCACTATACTCAACAAAGTCTATAAGGACAACGCCGAAGCCAAAGCGATATTGTTGTCTCATGGAGAATCAATCTACAGACTGGCTGAGGAGATCTCGAAGAAGCACCCCGAGTACAATGTCAACTTACAATTTGTGAAGGAAGCTGCTTATCTCCACGACATCGGAATAAAATTTGTTTCAGCACCAGCCCTCCACTGCAATGGAACAGAGAAGTACATCTTACATGGGCCACTTGGTGCGGATTTATTGAGAACTATGAACTTGGAAGCACTTGCTCGTGTAGCTGAGAGACACACGGGTACGGGACTCACTGCACAGAACGTCCAAAAACAAAACATCTTGGTGAGTACACAGAGAAACATGATGCCTCAAACCATCGAAGAAAAGATTGTGTGTTACTGCGACAAATTCTACTCGAAGACAAAACTCGACCAAATCATCCCATACGAAGACATCAAAGACAAATTATCGAAACACGGCGATGACGTTGTACAAAGACTTGACATGCTCCACAACATGTTCATGTAACATGACTATTCTTTCTCTTTATGGTTTCAATAGCTAATGTAAACAGAAGTGATTCAATTAGAAGCAACAGGGTAGATCGCAAATCGGGTGAAAATACCATTGACACCTTGTGGAAGTTGAATGTTCGTCGCCGCTGATGGGACTTGCATGTATTGTATGCATTGCATATCCGCAAATGAGGATTTCGACCCAATTTCGCTATTTTGGAGGTTTGTTAAATTGAGGACATGCATTTGTGAGTCGATTGTGAGGACACTATCACTGATTTGGTCGCCGAAGGCGACCAATGGCATCAAGTTATTTGAGTAGCACAAGCCAAAGAAGTCGCCGTTGATCTTTTTTGTTTCGCTGAGTTTTGATGACGAGAAGTTTGGGAAGACGTCGTCGGTCAAGATGAAGTCGTTCACTGTTAACTCTCGCATGTTTGTCCCCGTCAACAGCGCGATTTTCATCGCGGACTTGATTTTCAATTTGAGCCATCGTTGAATTGCGACCAAAAACATCGAGAAGTGAATGTCGAAGTTCTCAATTTCTATTGGAATCTTCATCTCGACAAATGCCTTGTTGATCCGATTCAAAAAGGAGGCGACGCTTGGGTCTTCGATGTTCACTTTGCGTTCGGAATACGCCCATAACTTCCTCGCCATATTTAATGCCCAAATTGCCTCAGAAAGGTATAACGTGCCAATATCTTTGTATGGCAACAACCGAACGGATGAGATCACATATTCACTCACAGACAACGCAACACTCTCTGCTAACACTGCAGCATTCAACGTTTTGTAATTTTTACACCTCTCGTAGATGTAACTGAATGACTCTTTGATGGGTATCTGCTCTGCTTCTAATTGAGATACTAAGTCTGTGCCATCAACTACTTTCTCCTTTTCTGCGATGAATTTGTCAACAATTCGAGACAATTTGTCCTTGTCTATGGTACCTAATGTCACTTCAGAATCAATCACAGATGTCTCGTGGAAGTTGCCACAATACAACACAGCAGACTTCCCATAATTTGGAATTTGAAGGGTGGAGACCATTTTCCCAATTAGATTCAATTCGTACTGCTGAATAAAATTCAGAGTCACGGGAACATAGTCTTCGACGACATTTTCTTTTTCATTCACCGCTTTGTCCAATTCAAAAACAACTAAAGACAGAGACGCGTCAGCATAAATATCACTCAACGACAATCGCACTATATCACATTTCAATTGCGTCTTCCTTGCAAAGACGGTTGGCATTTTGTTGAATGGAACGGTTTCCGAGACCACAAATTTCGAGAAAAGTAGGGTTGCGGGCAACTCCTTTTTAAAAGAAGACAGTGGGGGATGAAGGTGTGGATGACTCAATTGGATTCTCTTCACTATCGCTTCATCTTTAAGAAGTGTCGGATGTACATTCATTAACACGACAAAATCAACACTTTGGAGGGGCGCCATCAGTTGCAACAAAAAGATGGTGTCATCGTCGTGAAGATCTAAATACACTAAAGTCATCAATTTGTCGGTTCGTTTTGGTTGTGTTTGTTGAACAACAGCGGGTGTCGTTTGTTGTTGGATTGGTTTACTCTTCCACCAACTACTAAACATGTTATTCGCATTTCGAGTTCAAAACATCGATTTTTTCCAATTTTGTCATTCAAAAACATTTTTCCTTGCACATCTAAATGAAAATCTTCCTCGTGACAATTTCTAATAATTATAAGTAATTTATTATTAAATTTAATTCTTAAATAATTGGTATTTTTAGTATCTTTTAACTATATTTTACTTTATCTTTAAAGAATAAATAATGAGACGTGGAACTCCTGAACAACAAATAGATTGGAGAATGAATAATAAAAAACACACGAAAACACTCATTGGGAAGGGGTAGTTCTCTTAGTTCTTCTTGGAGGAGGGAGTGGAGGTGCATCCTCTCCATTTGGTGTTAACTTTTGTATTTGTTCAGGTTTTGAACCAAGATTCTCTGGACGTGGTGGACTTTTTGATGGTTTTGGAGGTGTGTTAGTGAGTCGAATTGGTAATTCTTTTGATTGAACCACTGCAGAATTTGGACTGAGTGGTGGGTTTGGAGGAGGATTAAGTGGACTGTACTCTTCAATGTTCTGGCGCAGTTGTTGGCTTTTCTTGAGAGGAGGTGGTGGAAGAGGGCGGGACGGGGTTGGCACTTTTTTGAGTGGTTGAATATGTTCTGGTGGTTCTGAAATAGATTGAGGGAGAGGTGGAGGGAGTATTGTTTCCTTTATTGTAGCTTTTTCCTGGAGTGGTTGAGTTTGTTTTACATTTTTAGTTGATGAATTGAGTTGTATTAAAGTCGAGTCGATGTCCATCTTCTTTTCCGTCAACAATTCATCGATAGGAGGCATTTCTTTTTCTTGGACTTCTGTTGTGTCTTGTACAACTTGTTGTTCATTATACTCATCGACATTTTGTTGTAAGATTTGTTCATTTTGATTCATTCCATCTTGTTGTTCATTTAAAGTTTCATTATACATGATTTGTTCAGTGTGATGTTGTATAGTGGTGACATATTGAGTATCGTTATGTTGTATAGATTCAGTGTTTTGGTCCTCATCATCTCCATTAATGAATTCCAAGTCTTCGTCTGGAGTCTCCACATATTCCAGTTGTACTACTTCAAGTGGGGTTTGTGTCTCGTTGATTGGTTTTCCGGCTTGTCGAATGAGCTCAGACTTTTCAACAATAACGCCGTCCAATTTTTCCTCCAATCCCCTCTTGAGAATTCTTTCTTGTGTTGCACTTTCATTTCTTGGATATTTGTGGACGTCTTTTTCAAATGCAGAGGAGTCACTCTTGACTTGTGTGTGACTTGCAAAATTGCCACTTTTCCTTCTAATGTCTTGTAAGAGATTTGGTGATAATGTTGGTCGTACTGGAAGCTTCGTTTCACTCTCTTTTTTTGGTGTTTCACATTGTTTCTTCTTTTCAAGTTCGTTTTGTTCTTCCAACTTCTCAAACACCGAGTCGTCGCCTTCTTGATTTAAAAGGAGTTTATTAGCAAAGCTCTCAGACAACCGTTTTGATCTTCTTGTGACATTGACATCAACATCATTAGGGAAGAGTCTTGGGTGTTCCGTCAATATGAAACAGATGATTTCAATACATCCGATGATATCAGTCCCAGCTTTTAAGTCAATTGTCTTTGAAGACGATTCGTCCTTAGACATAGTCATAAGTGTTGGTGCCAAGCATACAGCCAGATTCTTAAAGTTCATTTCGTTGATATCAGACATTGAATCGATCTTACTACATAGCTTCAACAAGCTTCTCAATAAAGTCACATTCTCTGCGGGCATTCTTTTTAATGCGTCCAACACTAACTTTCTTTTCTCGGCCGGTGACGTTCGTGTAGTCGCGCGACTCTTTTGCCAGTCCTTCAATAATTCTCGTGACACTTCATATGGGAACACCTTCTCTCTCATCTCCCTTAAAAACTTTTTGAGGACATTCGCAACGACGTCTGGAGGAAGATCTTCAAATTCGGTGATTCCCATTCGGTGATAAATGTCTTCCACATCTCGAGTAGAAGCGTTACTAGTCTCTCTAAAAAGGCCATGTGTAGTGCATCCCTTGTTATAGAGATAGATCAGCATCGACTCGATGACCAATGGGAGTTGATAAAAGACTCTTCCCTCTGCGTCGAGGATTTGTCTTAAAGTGGTTCCGCAATACGACACGTCTTGCTTTTTCTGAGTGTTGTGTTTCATCACGTAATTTTGTTTTGCCTTTTGCGCTGTTTCTCTGATTTGTCCCAACTTCTCGTTACACGAGAAGTACAAGTCGGACGTGTTAAAAAGTGTTTGGAACGAGTGGAAGACATTAATGAATAAGAGTGGGGACTCCCATTTAATTCTCTCGGTGCTTTCATAAAAGGCTTTAGTCAGTTTCTCTGGGTCTTTATTCTTGTCAAAGAGCTTCTTAAGGCTTTTCAATTGATGGATCGTCTCGTTTGTCTTCTCAAAAGATCGTATAATTTCACTCTGTGTCGATTCAAATGTGTTCGACAAAAAGACAAACCCCTCAAGTAACGTCTCTGCATTAATAGAACGGTCAAACCCCGGGATTTGTTGAATGCACGTTTCTTCCAAAAACGCTGCGTGCGTTTTCATGATGTCACTTAACTCCGCTAGTTTATTCGAAAAAAGAATTGAGAAGGACCTCTGCTTCTCCCAAAAGTTAAATATCTTCGGTATCTGTTGCTTCTTCTGCTCAAATAGTTCGCCTAACTTGTCATGATTCTTCACCTTTTTCATCTCTTTTTACAGTTCGTTTAGAGGTGAAAAAACGTTTGTTGGGATAGTTTGCTATTTATTTTGATATTTACTTTATTGTTCATTTTCAAATGGTATTGGTTCGGGAGTATCTAAAATAGTTGAGTGACAATATTAATAAATTACAATAGTTTGTAAAAAACAAATTTTATTATTTATATATATTATAATTTATAGTTTTAGTGTTATTTGATTAATAACAGATTATTATTTCTTTTTTTGTGTTAATTACACTAAAAAAATCTTCATATCTTCGTTTTTATTTTTTTTTGTGTTGATAAAAAAGTATAGTTGTTTGATATTATTTTATTTTTTTGTATTGATAGTTTATGAACTATTAACTTGAAAATAAACCTGTTTTTTTATGTAAAACTAAATTTAATGTTTTTTTTAAGTTCATTATTTCGACACTCATATTATGGATGAAATCTAAATGAGTTGTTAAAACTTATTAGTTTTGTTTATATATATTATTTTTTTTATAAATATAATGGTTTTTGTTTACTAATGATGAAATAAAATTGTTAATTATACTTATTAACAATTTTATTATAATATATGTTTAATTAATTATTAGATATGTTTAATTTTATTTAAATTATATGAATTGTATTATAATTTAATGCTGATACTCATTAATATACAACACGTTATAATATAATATAAAATAATAATAATTATATTATACTTGAAAAAGCAAATCTTACAAATTTCTAATATGTTTTTAAGTTGGTGTCGATTATTTTATTTTCGTTTAATGTTTGTTTGTTGAAATTGTTTGTTGTGAATATGGTTGGTTAAATCAGAGAACTAAACTATAACCTATTAACAATTTGTTAATATATTATTACCTTCCCCAACCCAATTAACCACTTTGAAACGCAATTAGTTTGGGGTTTAAATAGATTTTTTTGAAACGATAAACGTTTTAAAAATCTATATTTATATTTTAAATGTTATAAAAATGTTATACAAGTCATAAAAATTATTGAATTTTTATTTTATCAGTTCTTATTATATTAATTATATTATATTATATATTTGGTTTATTATTATAATACAATTATTATGGTTATAATATAATATAATTGTTTAGTGAAACAAAAAATACAATTTTTTATTATAATAATTTCTATTAATAATTATTTGTTATAACTTTATTCGTTTTTATCAACATAATACAAGTTGTTTGAGAATCAATTTCGTTTTTTTTTCGATTTAAAAACAAACTTATGTTGCTATCCCGATATTTAACACAACAATTTAATAATATAGTAAATATTATTATAAAAAACTCTTTTGGAGGTTATATGCTTTTTTCATTTAATGGTAAAACAAATAGTTCAAATAAATTTTTAACTACAATTATTATTAATTATTGGTCTTGGTTTAAAAATACCATTTGTACGAGTAAATGGGGTGTGAGGAGTATAGTTTTTTTTAACTAAACTAAATGGAGTTTAAACTGTTATAAAGACATAGTACACGAAACCACATGTTATAGTACTTAAAAATAGAGCTCGTTTCTATTTTTGGATATCCAAAATTGGAAGTTTAATTATAATATTATTTAATTATAGTTTTAAATATATGATCAATTAAAAATTCATAAAACACAAATAAGGAACCAAATTTGGGTGTTTTTTTTTCAACCAATATTCGCATCTAATTTTAGTTGAGTCACAACGGCAATATCAAAAAAACAAACTATATTAACAAAATAAGTAATAGTAAAAAAATAGATTATCTGATCTTAACTGTGCTTTTGGGAAATCAAGTCATGGTGCGAGTAAAATTAGCTTCCGATGAAATGGCCAATTAAATCGGACTTTCACAATTGAAAAATCTTCAGAGTCGCATCAAAGGAATCCAGACAAACTCAGACAATGATGACCATAATGCGTCCTTTTTCGCCAAAACTCCAATTTCTGAGCCTGCAATTTGGTATAAAAAATAAAGCGCAAATACTTTTGAATTCAGGGGTGATAGAAATGGCGTCAATTTTCTGGAAGACCAACAAATTGCTTTGTTGGAAATAGTGTTCTCGTTTGAGGACGAAGCCGCAAAAAGCTGGGAAAATGAGGCAAAAGTGTGGCAAAATCCTGAAAAGAAGAAAGTGTTGTTAAAAGCAAAATCGCATGAAAGAAAAACCCTGTGATAAAAATATGGCAACTAAGAAATCACTGTAAATCAATGATCTCACCACGTCGACCACTAACCGATGACATCAAACTACAGATTTTAACGGAGAAAGAACAAAATGGGTCGTCCGTCTACGCAATAGCAAAGAAGATAGGCCGTTCTCCATCGACTGTCCGGTGCTTTCTGAAGTGTTATGGAAACGACCACCAATTATCGCGGAAGCGTGGACGCAAGCCAAAACTCACGGAAGAGATCGAAGACTTCATCGCTCAGTTTGCTGACAACAAAGACGTCTCGTGCAGTCGAATCGCAACGGAAATTAAAAAGAAGTTTCCTGATGTCTCGTTATCGAAAGAAACGGTTCGTGTGATCAGACAAAAGCTTGGTAAAAATCCGGACGAGACGCCTTTATCTTCGTCGCGAATCAATTACTTTGAGAATGGCGTGTATATCGAAGATGAAAGAAAAGAATTTGCCGATAAAATACTTGCGCTGAATCGACCAGTGATTTTATCTAACACTTCAGTCTTTTGTGTGAAAGGAAATGGGACGTTAACTCGATGTTCCAATGGGGGGTTTCCCGTCATCACTGCATTTACAGCCACAGGAAAGGCGTTAGAAGTGACTGTTTGGGGAGCTATAGGGAGTGGGTGGAAGAGTCCTATGGTGAGAATAGTGAATGACATATCATTGGGAGAAGTATTAAAGAAAGGGATGATATCGGAACAATTAGTGGAGAAGTATGGACCACATGTCTTATTGGACGAACAAGTTTTGAAAGGGGAAGACTTCCCTTTCTTGGAAAATTTTCCAATCGACTCAAGTGACTTGAACCCAATCAATGACTTGTTCCTCAAAATGCAGGGAGAGGTCAATAAGATGCAATTCAGAAATGAAGAGGAGCTGTTTGCGTATGTACAGTTCTTGTGGGGAGTGGTCAACGAGGCAGAGACCACAATGGTTGTTGCGGAGTTCTTTGAAAGAATCAACCGCTATATCAACAGCCCCAGACAATCAAAATCAATGCCACTTTCATTCTAACTTCTGTGTGTTATAATTCATTTGTTCATCATGTTAGTAGTCTTTTCGATACAATATGTGTGATATTTCAATCGTTTTTTGGTCTCTCGAGTGACTTTAGACGTCAAAAACACAAAGAACTGCGTTTCAACTGATTATAGCTTTTTTATTATAAATTTTAATTCTATAGTTTATTCCATTCGATTTATTTAACGAAGTATTCTAGAACACTAAGGTCATGTAATAATGTGTTGTTTAATGATTACAATGTAAAGAAGTGACAATTGTTAATAAAAAGCTCGCGACATATCTGCGCTGTTGAAATTGAAAGATGGTAAAATGCGGAGTCTGCGATATACCGTGTTTCTATTAGTCCCTCAGAAAATGGAGTGTAGGCCTCCCACCTGTCTAACGCGATTAATTTATATACTTTTTGCACGACATCCCCCGAATGAAAAACAGCGAACACTGTAGAGTCAACATTGATACCAACACAAACGGACGTCATCCCCAGTTTCTTCATCTTTAATAACGAATTAAGTTGTGAATTTGAGACGAAAGGGATTTGTGTTTGGAAAGCCTGATTATCGAGGGAGTGGAGTTTACAGTTTGCGGTATACGTTCCAAAGAAGTCGTCGTCGTTCATTTTGAATGAAATAAAGAAGACCAGTTTTTTGAGTCAAATACCTCCCAAAAAGAAAAAAAAAAGAAACCAAAAAAGAATTAATAAACGAAGGTTATCCGAAATCGATGGAAACTCTAAAAGCATCTGGAACCGATGGAAAACAACACCTCATATTCAATGATCTCGTATTCACACACCCAACCATTCCAACACCCCGAACAACACCCACCACAAACAACATCCGACGAAGGTACAACTTTGGAATATCTCCATAACTGCGCGCCTTTTGTAGCGAAGTTATATTCCCTTATTAATTCCCCTGAAACGAATGCATTGATCGGGTGGTCAGAAGCGTATAAAGGAACAGCTATTCTTATTAACGACTCGATCACATTCTCACATGAAATCCTCCCAAAACACTTCAAACACTCGAATATAGCGTCGTTTGTTAGACAACTCAATATTTATGGATTCCACAAAGTTTGTCAGTTTGCTTCATATGTTGTCTTCATGATTTGAATTGACTTGAAGGTCGACAATAAAGAGGGCCTCTGCTTTAAACACGAATTCTTCCAACGAGACCACCCAGAACTCTTACAAAAGATTAAGCGTAAGAAGAATAAAAAGGACATCCTCTCCCCTCAACAACAGGCTAAGGAAATTATTGATGTCATTAAACAAGAAGAGACAGATCCGTTCTTAAATGTGGCGTCTCTCAGACTCGATTTGGGTAAGGTCCAAAACCAAGTCGAGGAAATTAAAAACGAACTGCAAGACGGGAAGATGAAGTGGGCACTACTCTCGAGGAGAATCGACCAACTGGACCAACTCTTTAATATGCTCTATTCAAACTTCAGCGGAATGCAGGCTAACACACAAATGCAAAACATCGGCTACTCGTCGGCTGCAGCACTCTACCAGAACCAAAGGAGGCAGAACGACGTGCCCGATGAAAGCCACCACACCCTTTGACTTGTGTATTGATGCTCTTTAATCTATGTTGTCCATGAATTCATTTTCGGTAGTAGTTTTACTATAAAATATAGTTTGTAACAATTGGGAGCCAAATTGTCACAAATATCGGTTTGGATAGTTACTAAAAGAATAGTTTAATTCTAGTTTAATAAATACCAATTTGAAAAACATTTTTAAATGCCACACAAAAATAGAAAAGAACGAAAAGCAGTGAAGAGACAAGCTACAGAGAGGGTTTTCACATAAGAAATAGATTTTTAATTTTCTAAATCAAAATTGAAAGGAAGGGAAGAGAGAAGGAAACTCAAAAAGACAGAGCAATGTCTGACGACAAGCCAGAGTCGTTAAAACCATATTGGTACCCGATGCATGACGGAGAACAAAATGAAATTCTTAAAAGTCTGAAAGAAAACGTCAAGAGGGAGAGTTTACTTGTGAAACTCATAAATAACACAGTCCGTTTGGTTGCTCTATTTTTGGCACTCTTTGGTGTGAAATTTATATATCGTATGACGCTGTTACTGACTGCTTTTGTAATACCAGAAGACCAAAACAAGTTCTACGGAAGTCTCTTCTTTGTATTTTGCGCACTTCTTGTTGCGATTTACTGGTGGGCTAAACAACCCCAACACGTCTACTTGGTATCATTTGCAACATCTATTCCAGACGACAAATATAAAGTAACGAACGACCAATTTATGGAGATAGTTGAAGGCACTGGTAAATTTGAGGAGGAACAAGTGGCGTTCCAGAAGAAATTGATCTACCGCACAGGCATTGGAGAGGAGTCTTATTTACCCGAAGCGTTACACAGAATTCCTATTACAACAACAATGGCCGACGCCAGAGGTGAAGTTGAAGTGGTGATGAAGAGTGCATGCGACCAACTGTTCAAACAGGCTCACATTGACCCAACGAAAGACATTGACTTTGTTGTGACCAACTGTTCATTATTTAACCCAACGCCATCCATGGGTGCAATGTTAATTAATATGTACAAACTGAAAACAACAGTGAAGAACTATACACTGTCTGGTATGGGATGTAGTGCTGGCTTAGTTTCAATTGACTTGGCTAAAGACATTTTACAGACATATCCCAATTCTACTGTTTTGGTGTTTTCAACTGAAAATTTGACGACGAACTATTACGCAGGAAAGGAAAAGGGAATGCTCATATCAAATACATTATTCAGAATGGGAGGTGCTGCGATTCTTCTTTCAAATAAATTGAAGCACAAATTCTCTGCTAAATTGGAGTTGATTGATACACAAAGAATTCACCACGGGAAGTTCGATGACTCGTATAAGTCGGTGTTCCAGTACGAAGACGCCGAGGGCGTCGTTGGTGTGAAAATTGGAAGAGAGTTGTTGAAATGCGTCACACGTGCGTTAACACAAAACTTGGGGCTTTTAATGCCGCGCGTTATCTCATACAAAGAAATGATCAGATTTGCTATATTCTTCATCAAGCAGAAGCTCGGGAAGATCCCAGAAAAAGAAACCTTCCTCCCCGACTTCAGAGAAACATTCCAAGCGTTCTGTATCCACGCAGGTGGACGTGCAATTATTGATGGATTACAACAAAATTTGAAATTGACGAATGAAGACTGTATGCCGTCGAGAGCAGCGCTGTACAGATTTGGGAATACCTCTTCGAGCTCAGTGTGGTACGAAATGAAGTTTATTGAGCGTATTAATACCCTTCAAAAAGGCGACAAAATCTGGCAAATTGCATTTGGCAGTGGATTGAAGTGCAATTCGTGCGTGTGGTTGAGGATCAATTGAATTTCTCGATATGTTGTTTCAATGGCATCTAGTTTATAAATAGAAACTAAATGAATAGAATAATAATCTATAAAAATAGTTTCAAAAATAGATTAAGACGTCTGGACGGTGGGGAGGTAAAGGATGACAGTCCCGACACTGATTGTTGCTTTAAGAATCAAGTACAACCCATTTTGATAAAAATATTCACTCTGGGTTGGGTCTAATTTTTCAAGAGTAAAGAACTTCTTGAAATGTTTTGAGCGTATTTGGCAACAAAAGAGTGGCTCTTCAATTTCAGTCTCATTTGTGGAAAAAATCACTTCCATTTTACTTTGTCGACTCTCGCACGAAAGCTTTAAATCACCTTTTGAGGACGTTGAAAACATGACATTTTCAGAGAGATCAGACATCTTGTCAATGGCTTGTTTCATTGCTTTTAAAGAGTGAAGTTGTCCCGATACATCTGGCTGTGCATCAGCGGTGGGTTGTTTGTAAAGCTCTTCCGCGTTTTTACAGATACTCACTAACACTTCTTGTGTGACTTCGATTTGGTCGACCGTCGTTTTAAAATTAAGACATGGACTACTCGTGTCAGAACTTTTCGTAAGTGTGATCAGACAGGTTTCAACTTCTTTCACACTTTGCATGACTTTCTGGAGACTGTCTGATTCCACTATGAGGTACAACGTGTCATCGGCCTTTGCTGCGTAGTCGAATGTGTTGAACAGAATATCCTTTTCTTTAGTTTTAATTATAGTATAATTATAATACTTATATGATTTCCGTGTTATTACTTCAAAGAACAAACAACTTCAAGAGATGCAAGACAGTAAAGTTGTGTAGTCGCATCTTTGTAAACAATATAAAACACGTCTTTACCAATTGCAAAGACTATTTGTGATCCCAATGAAGAGAACATCCCAATGAGTTCTACGTGTTATTTGTTCAAATAAAGTGTGCGTTAAACATACCCACAAACACTCGACATTTTTTAATCTCCGCTTTAAACCTCATTTTTATCTTTCTTCTTGTTTTAAAGTTGCTATATATTTAAGCCAATTTTGTATTAATAATTTAATAATTATATTTACTAATGTTTTTCTATCTGTATTAATTATAAATTATAATTTTTTAAAAGGTTTTTATATTATTATAATTGAAAAAGTCTCTTTTCTAATTCTACTTTATTTTAATTATAATTAAACTAGTGTTTTCAATTGTAAATTTTATAGTAATTTAACTTTTAAATAATATTAGATGCTGTTTTCACATTTCTTTCAAGACTCTCCAGTCCTCGTCAGTGAGTCTTGTTAAAGAGTATATCGAAATTCCATTAGCTCCATTCCTAAGAGATACAGTTATGGCTTCTTTCAATTCTTTATCGTCAAGACCCATTTCTTCCGGGTCTTTAGTTTCTCCTCTCTTTGATGGTTTGTCGTTCACGAAGAGTCCACTGATTAAAAGAGCCTTTTTTTTATCGCTCTTCATTTTTTCATCACGTACTACATCACCAATCCACTCAACACCTTCTCCGTGGAAATCGTTGTAATTCATTGGTAAGAACATATCGACGTCCCAGTCTTCCCATCTTTGTCTCACATAGTTCACACTGACTGGGCCTGGAAATACGTCACAACTGACTCGTTTTTTGAATTTGTGAACAACGTCTGCAATTTCTTTGACAACTTCGTTGACACAGTTGATACGGAATTCAACCCACTCCGGGCACTTTCTTGGATCTTCTACCAATTTGATATCAATACCACTTCTCTTCTTAAATAAATCAACACAAGTGGGACAGTAACAGTAATCAGCAGGTTGATACTCTTCCTCAAAAGTTAAGTGATATTTCTCCCACAACCCTTTCCCCATTTTAACATCGGGGTATCTGATATAATCCAATTGAATGTAATCCACGTCGGGCATGGAAGCAACTTTTCGAGTGAAGTCCAATAAATCGCTGCGGACTTTTGGATTATTAGGACACAAAAAGTGATAGTGGGGGACATACGCCGGGTGGTTAAGAGAGTCTTGTCCCAAATAATTTATTGCGTATTCGTCGACTGAAGAATCGTGTTTTAAGAAGACCATAAGCCACGCGTGATACTCAAGATTCATAGAATGGGCTATTTTAGAAGCTCGTTCATGGACGTCTACATCTCTAGCTGAGTGATAACAAATACCAGTGACATTGTGGTCACGAGCTTTTTGAAACATTGAAGTCACTTCTTCGTTTGTGCGACCGCCATGATACTCCCATAGATATTTCATATATTTATTTATGAAGTTTCTTTTGAAGTTCTTTAAATTTCATATTTCTCATCAAATAAATGGCATTGAATTCTCCATAGAAAATTAATGAATTATTAAGAAAAGAGTATATAGAATGTGTGTAGTGATATAAATGGATTTATAAACACGGTGTGAATTAAATAACAGGGTCCGTACTTAACCCTGACTCGTTGTCTTTCTTCTCGTCTTTGCTTTGATTCGACGTGTCTAATAGTTGTTCCGAAGTTGTTTCTTCATTCTCTTTCATATCGCCGTTATCGTCAAATTCAACTTTTTCTCTCTTTTTACTCTCAAAGTTCTTGTCATCCGTGGCTTCATCAGCAGCTTTCTTTATTTCTTTTTCAACGCGAATACCTTCAACCAAAAGAGCGTATTTGATATCTTCGTTCCATCCTTCTATCGTTTTCAAAATGTCTGTAAACGATGGCCGCTTGTCCGGAACTTGGTTCCAACAGCTTGTCATCAACTCCCAGTAGTTATCGTTCATCCCAGTTGGTCTTGGAAGTCTGTTGCCCTCAATAACAAATTGGGGAATCTTCCAAGGTTGGTCGAAGATCTTCTCATCGGTGTATGCGCCCTTCTCTGTATAAGTTTCATACATCACAATCGAGAACGCATAGACGTCTATCGGATATCCATAGTCTTCGTTTTGTAAACATTCTGGACTCATGTACATAGGCGTGCCAATGCCTTGTGTCAACTCTTTATTCATCTTGTTTCGATCTGAAATGTTTCGACACGTCCCGAAGTCTGTTAATTTACCACACACTGCAGAATGTGGGTTGAGTGAATAAATCAACACATTCTCCCCCTTTACGTCTCGATGGAGTATTTGGTTTTGATGCAAAAATTGAAGTGCGACTGCTAAGTCATCTAATATCTTCACCTTCAATGAGTATGAAGCAGAGTGATTGTTCCACATTTTACTCAACGAACCAAACTCGGCAAATTCAGTGACGATGGAAATCTCGCCTTCGGTATAGACAGCGCCAATAAACTCGACAACGCATTGGTGACGCAGTTGAGTCAACATCGAAACTTCGTGATTGAACTCTTTCTCTTGTTCTTGTGTCATGTTTCGCGACTTCATTTTCTTTATTGCGACATCCCTTCCTCTGTACGTACCACGGAACACCATACCAAAGGCACCCTCCCCGATAGCCGGAAGTTGTGGCGCAAGGTCTGTATGATCCAGTTTCAACGACAAATCACTCTCAATGATCAACGACATCTTTGCAGTTTCTTTGTTTTGATCGTCGATGTCCATAGCAATAATACCAATATCATCCGTCACACACGACGTACACAACATTTTTATTTTGAACTCGATTGTGATGGCTTCGCCAGGGTGTAATGAGTACCTCGGTGGGTTCATTTCTAAGTTGTATCGATGTGATGGTGTTGCCAAAATTTCAAAGAAATACGATTTTTTGGTTGTATTTGCTATTTCAATTGATTCAGTGTATTCTTTGTCAACAAGAGCCTTCGCTCTGTTCAATCCAAAGTTAAGTTCCCATGTCTTTGTCTTCAATGGGAAATTTTTGTTGTCCGCGGCCAACAAGGAGAGTTCCAACTCGCTTGTTACCTTAAATGGTTTGATGTTCTTCGTTGCGGAATTTTTGTGGATCATTTTCCATGAGATGAGAATGATGAATATAATCAGAATGATTACTATAAGAACAACGACGGTGACCACAACACCAACAATCACTCCCAAATTGTTCTTGACACACTTACTCTCGTTGTCAGTCTTAAACCCATCCGCGCAAACCTCACACCCACTCTTCATGTTACATTTAATACAATTCTCTAATGTTTTACACTCAACACATTTCCCGTTTTTAATGTAGTGTTCATTATCATCGCATAAGAGGCATTCGGGTTCTTTTTTATTCTCATTATATCCACACTTGGCGCACCCTAGTTCGGGAGGACACGCAGTGCAATTGATCTGCGTGGAATTTTCGGCATAGTACCCAAGAAGACAGTTACCCGCACATCCAGTGACTGTTGGTGTACAAGTCATATTGATAAGACTATACGGACTACAGAACGACCCATTCGACCCTTTGTAATACTCGGGAGCACATGTCAAACACGAGTCGGAGGCTTCACAACTGCCACAACACTCTTCACATCGGATGCACCCCATATTTTGCCCGATAAAATACGATTCACTGCATTGAATACAATATCCCATTGAAGCTTTCACGCACGACTCATCTTTAAGAACACATGAATAGAAGGATCCAACACTTTTCAATATGTAATTTTCAGAACACGCTGTACAGTGATCAAAAGCTCCTTCACATAGTGTACAATTCTCAGCACACTTTTCACATTCTTGTCCATCAGGAGGAACATAATACCCAACAGTTGTTAAATCGTTGTTACACTCTTTGCATCCAGACTGGTCATGTTTTTTACACGTCTCCTTGTTTACTAAGACACACTGGACGTTATCGACAGATCCTCCATTCTTGAAATAGTAGTCTTCAGAACACGTCAAACAGTTTGTTGCTTGGTTGATACAAGTCCCACATGAAACATCACAAGAGACGCACTCAAGCACGTTATTTAAATAATACCCGTTACTGCATCTTTGACACCCATACACAACACTTCCAACTAGACAATTCACATCACTCAACGATTTGCAATATCCATTTGACGGTACAAAATCTGTTTGACATCTAAAACACCTCTCGTTGTTTTCCGGGTCGATATAACACTCCGAACAATTCTTAAGAGTACATTCAACGCACCCGCCAGCTTGTAGCCGATACCCCTCCTTGCATTTCTCGCAGTGGTCCGACTTGGTATAATCCGAGAGGCAATTCTCAATAGCCACGCAGTTGGACGTATTGACCAAATAGTAATTGTTTTTGCACTGAAAACAATTAGTCGAGTCCGTGCACAAGTCGCAATTTGCTGAGCACGACTTACATATTTTGAGTGTGGTATCAAAGTACGACCCATCAGAACAAAACCCACATTGACTTGCGTTCTCTCCAAGGCAGTTTGTACACCCCTTCTGATCTAAAGTCAGGAACGTACCTTCTTTACACGTGTAACAGACTTGGTCATTACAACTCAAACAGTTCTCGTTACATTCGTTACAATAATTGTCCTTTAAATAATACCCTTGGTCACACTCAATACATATCGATGACGTTTTCTCCTTGCAATTGGTTATGATCCCGTTCTCGCGACAGAGTATGTAAGGAACACCACCACTGATCGGATTCGGAGAGACATATAATGTGTAGTTGTCCTCACACTCTATGCATCGATTCTCGGAAAACATCGTTTTGCACCCTTCAAGACCGCGCGATGGGGAAATTAAGAAGACAAAAAAGAGTGAGGTTAAAACGACACATACCAACATTGTCGACTTCTTTTTGTGTTTTTAAAGTCTTTTTCTGATTCTAATTATTGTTATTGGAATAACTAAAAGATAGTAAAAACCAGAAAGAAGTGGCTATAAATGGAAAAAGTTGAAAAAATCACAGAATTTTCTAATGCCAATTTCCCCGTTTTTGTAACGTTAAATAATGTAATTTTTATATCATTATTAATTATGAAAAAAACCAAACAATTTCTTTTTTTTTATTTTAAAAAAATAACCATACACAAATGGTTATACTTACTATTATTTAAATTGTTATGTTTATTATTAATAAATCATAAAAATTCTAGTAATTAACTATACTAATGATAAAATGAGAAGGTAAAAAATCTCGAAATTGAAAAAGTAGAATAGAGCATCATTTGAGAGGGGAAAAAGGCGTGGAAATCAAAGTATGGCGAAAATAGGCAAACCAGATTTACAGCGAATCACAGATTTCGCTGAGCCGATCATCAAGCGCTACAATGCAGAGAACCAACCCCTGGCGTTCTGGGTGTTTGACATCAAGTCCGTCGAGGACGCAATCAACAGGTGGGCAAAAGTTCTTCCAAGCGTCCACCCAATGTATGCAGTCAAATGCAATCCTGAACCACATTTAGTCGAGTTATTGGGTAATTTGGGGTGTGGTTTCGACTGTGCGACCTTGAACGAAGTGAAGGAGGTGTTAAAACTTGGGTTCAGAGTGGAGGACATCACATTCAGTCAAGTTTTCAAGCCATATCGCGATTTGATTATGGCCTACGCACTGGGAGTCCGTTTGACAATTGTTGACTCTGTGAACGAAGTTCAGAAAATCGCAAAATACGCGCCAGATATGGGCATAATGGTTCGAATTATGAAAAATGACACCACTGCCAATTACTCACTTGGAGACAGGTTCGGACTCAGAGACGAAGCAGAGTACGAAGATGTTATAAAGGAAATTGCGAGGCTGAAACTCAACATGAAAGGCGTCCATTTCCATGTTGGAAGCGACTCACAAAATTGCCAAATCTTCAAAGAAGCACTTCAGGTTGCAAAATTTCTTGTTGACATCTCTCACAAATACGGACTTCACCCTGATTTGTTTGACCTTGGAGGAGGGTTTTCCCAAACAGCACCTTTTGAAGACTTTGGAGAGGTCATCGAGAATTCGATCAAGGAACTCGGGTTTCCTGAGGGCAGTCGTTTCATAGCAGAGCCTGGAAGGTACCTTGCATCGAATGCTTTTCATTTAGTAACATCGATCCATGGGAAGAGAGTGAGAAACATAGACGGCAAGCGTGAAATTGACTACACTGTTGGCGATGGAATACACGGCTGTTTGGCGCATTGCCTTCTTTTCAACAGAGAAGACGAGTGCTATTGTCCGACTAAACGATCAGAGGGTGCTGTTTTGTACAAGTCGTACATATTTGGACCAAGTTGCGACGGAAGAGACCTGACTTCGTCTGGGCTTTTCCCCGAGCTGCAAGAGGGTGTTGACTGGATCATCTTTCCATGTACTGGGGCTTATTCAATTTCACTGGCAACAAACTTCAACGGGTTTGAGTCGAAAGAGCACGATGTCCATATCATGAAATCAGAAGATGTTGACAAGATCAAAGTCCCCCCTTATATCGAGAAGCACTCTGTCCATGCGCTGAGGTCTAAAGTACCAAAATGGTTCCAAGAATAAGAGTACTAATTCACCATTAAACATCATTTGAATAACGTATTTTATACACCTTCGAATCAATACTAATACTTATTATCCCAAAAATAAGAAAACAACAAACATCATTTTTTAAACTTATAAAATATATTATGTCTACGATTATTGATGATTTCATTTTCGCAACAGACTTCAACCTGTTCCGAGCAAACAAGAACAAATGTGAAGAGTACCTTACGGAACTTAAGAAAAAATTTTCCAAGCAACAACCAGAGGAGTATTATAACGACCTTTTTTCTGCTCTTCAACAACGGGGCTCACAATGCTCCTCACAAGAAGAGATTGCGTTTGTCATGGACCAAATAGTAAGAATTATTAAACACCCCCACACAGTTTTTCCTTTTCACGTCGTTCAATATTTTTATCAGTATCTTGGGATTGTAAATCGAGACGATAAGCCCGATTATCAAATTGGGTTTTTCCTCAAATCTTTAACGGATGATAATTTCATATTTGGAGATGGGTGGTTGTTGTGGATTTGCCCCCAAGTGAATGCCATGTTTTGGGAAAGGTACATTGTTTTTTATGTCAACTCCACTTTGTGGAACAGCGTCTTTTTGACGCGACTTCAAAAAATCATCCAAACGTGTTTGGCACATTTTAAAAAGCCACTGAAAGATGTGAGCCTGGGATTAGTGATAATTTCCGGGTTCTTTGTTTTTGAGGAATCTGCTTTAAACGATTTGCTTAATGACAGACTCAATATCAATTCTTTTTACAAAGAAAATAAATGTAAATATTCTATGAAGAAAACAAAGGTGTACACTTCACAGTTATTTCCAAAAACTTTTCTTCCCATCAAAAGTCCGAACAATCAAGTTTATGAATATTCCTTTTCAGATAAAAGTTCTATTTGCAGTTATAGTATTGATCTTTACAAAACGTTGATCAGTTTAGAAACGGACTTTTCGGAGGAGATGATTGGAGTGTTGCTGATGTTCCCATCTTTCAAACTGGAGAATGCCAACTACAACGACAACATCTTTAGAAACTCGTATATATTTCTCAATTACTATATTTGCAATACTATATCAGATGTGGTCCAAGTCGAGTTGTATTATGAAATCGAGAACTTTTGTACTTGTAACAAGATCAAGTTTCCAACAAAGAATGTCGTTTTCGAGGGGTTTGAACAAAGTTGTCCACATGTTGAAGAAATTTCAACAATTGACAATACCAAGTCCGAAGACCAAGATGGACCAGAGAATCTGACACAAGAAGTTAAATACAAAGAAACTGAAAAGGTTTCTTTTAAACAAGAAAAGGAAATCAGTCCATATGAAAGAAAGATATTAAAATACTTTGAAAGTAAAGACCCATTAGAACTGGCCACAAACAATTTGATTGTATCAATCTTCCATGAACAAAATGACAGTACAACAAGTTTGATCTTAGACTTTTTGGTGAGATATGCAAAGACAAAAGACATCGCATCATATGGAAACAAATTAATTGGAGAATTGTATTCAACGTTTATGAATCAAAACTTATATTATGAAGAAAAAACACGCAAAATGATGTGTTCGATGTTCAGTTCGCTTATTTCACGTTTGAAAATAACCGTGCCAAAAGATGTCGTGCAGTTCATTCAAAACACTTTTAAAGTAACTTTAACACCAAACGATCAAGTCACTTATGCAACAAGAGAAGAAACATCAGAAATGATGTTCACGTATATCAAACAATTTGGAATTGACTCAAATGAGTGCTGCTGGGAAATTGGAGTATTGTTGGATAATATCATGTCGACACCAAATTTGAAGATCCTTGTAACTGCAAGAAACGACACGCCACTTCGTAAGAATAAATGTGTTGGTCTCACTAATTGTGGTAATACGTGTTTTGTGAATTCAGTCATGCAAAGCATTTTTATGTGTCGCAAACTTCGTCAAGACATTGAAAATGCATTTAAAAACACTGCGTGCACCATTGGAAAAGTACTCAGTCTACTTTCAGCCCGGACCACAACAGTAGAAATGCTGCCGTACTACGAAAAGCTCCGAGATGATCCTTTTGATGGGAGTCAAGACTGTGTCTATATCTTTTTGACACAATTATTGAATAAAATGGAACAAGAGAACCCACAGCTTGTTAGGACATACTTTAGTGTGACATTGAATCACGAAGAAGTGTGTCAAAACTGTCATAAAGTGTCAATAATCAAGGATCAACCTAATTACGCATTTGCAACACCTCTTGTAGACGTCGCACATACAGTCGATTATATTCTTCAACAACAAGATGACACGCAACGAACGTGTCCTCATTGTAATGGTATAACTCACAATCAACGATGTTATTACACGAATGAAGGTGCGGTTTTTGTGATTTGGTTCAAGCGTGTGCAAGTCAGAAATGGTGAGATGTACAAAGACCCCAAACCTGTTGTTATTGAGATGGAAATTGAAGTTAACGATACAATGTACTTTTTAATGGCGGTTATAAGACACGTTGGAAATGTCAATGGTGGACATTATACGTGTGTTGGTCGACTTGGAGATGATGAGTGGTATATGCTTAGTGATACTTATACATCCAAATTTGATTTTAACACCAACTTGAAAGATATTGAAAATGATGCAGTGATGCTCTTTTATATCAAAGCTGAAGATATAGGATTTGACGCAGTTGATAATAGCATCAACTCAATTGCTTATTACAAACACTTATTCGACTCTACCCACTTCCTTGATATCGTCAAGATGTTTAAAGACAAATACCCAACTCTCGAACACTTACACAACATAGAAAACTTTTAATTTAATTATAATTATTAAATTATTAATTATTAAATTATTAATTATTAAATTATAACAACCCAATCAATTAACCTTTCCTGTCCTTACTAGCCTCATGAAATATCTATCTTCATTCGTATTCGCATTTTTCCATAGCTGATCAAAGTAAGAAGTTCCATAGTCTGCAGGCATTTTGTTGACAAACATTTCCTTGCCTTCATAACGGAATCGTACACCTAAGAATGGCGTATTCTCAAAGACCTTTTTAATGATTTTGACCACTATAATAGAATCAGTCAACAAATTAAACGTCCCTCCCGTTTTCAACGCTTTCGCAACTTGGAAGAAGAACTGCGACTTGAACAAATTAGTTGGTGCATTTTCAAACTTAGGAGGCTCGGGGAAGTTCAAGTAGATGTTATCAATTGAATTTGGTAAGATTGCCATAGTGATGACTTCTGCTGCATCTCCCCATATGCAGGAGACATTCTTTACCTCCGCAAACACTTTAGTTGCCCAGTTATTAAACACTCTGTCTTTGTAAATCTCAAGACCAACCCAATTTTGCTTTGGTTGTGAAATAGCTTTGTCGATTAACCACTCTCCATATCCACTACACATTTCTATATTCACTGGATTGGTGTTCCCAAAGACCTTTTCAAAGCTAATGATTTCTGTTGCTTTTGGATAGAGTTGGAAGACATCAGGGGCTTGAGTGAAGAATTGTACTGGTCTGAGTGTATCGGGGTTTGCCTTAACGTTTTGGATGTACGCCTTGATGTACTTTCTTCGGTGTCTCAATTGTGAATTCTGATGTTTTTTAAAGAGTTTGATGGACTTCCTGTAATCATCTTTGTCGTCGTCGCACACTTCTCCAAACTCCCGAAGTAAATCGTCTGCAGCATTGACGTTATTTGTCAAACAGTTATACGTTGCTAACACCAATAACGTAGTTGGTGTCACATCGTCTTTACTTTTCATAGTCTCAGTGAGTTCCTTGATATAGTCATTTGCACTTTCGATTGTATACATAGACGCTAAGTATTCTTTCGTAGTCGGGTCGTCGATTTGGTTAAATCCTCTCTTCATGAAAGTTTTGATCTGTTTGTCGGTGCCCATTCTCAAGAGTCCTCTAAGTACAGTATTAATTGTTCTTATGTTTTCTGTGTTCATCGAATAGAACAACCCTAGTGCTAATTCTATTTGACCGGATCCTAAGTACGCTTTGATCGTAACGGTACGAGTGACATCACTTGGTTTGATATCCAATTGTCGCATTCTTTTCCACGCCTTGTCGACTAATATGGTATCTCCAACTCTTGCCCCTGTGTTCACCATAATAGTCAATGTGTATAAATTCTCAAAGATGTGTCTATCATAAATTCCCCTATACACGTATATGACTTTCGAGTAGTTTCTCTCCTGTGCAGCATCAGACAATATTTTGTTCAACACGTGAATATCTCTCTTTTCAAACGCCTCGTCCAATTCGTCTTTTGATTTCCCTTTTGGAACGTAATAAGGAAGGTTGAACGATATATCTTTAAAATACTCAACAATAGGGTTTAATTTCATCCTCCTTTTAACGGGTTCTCTGTACTCCATTCCCTCTTTCCGTGGGTACCTTTCGCCTTCAAATTGTTTTCCTTCATCGGCTGGTTCTTGAATAGTATCAACTTCTTTGTTCTCCACAGTCTCATGGGATTCTTCCTTACTCATCACTCTCTTCTATTCAAGTTACTAGGGTTTCCTCTATTTTTGGAACACCTCAAAAGACAAATACTATATTTATAGTTTGGTTAATTATTGTTATAGAATTTGTCTTTATCGGTTTGAAAACCGAAGCCTTCTCAAGTGCCATCAAACACAATAAAAAATCAATTCAACAAACTACGCTTGGTAGTCTACAACACGTCACTCAAATGCATATTGTCACTTTTCTCCGGAGTACTCCTCCGTCTCCATTTTCATTGTGAGCAGTTTAGTCTCGTTATCAGCTATCCTCTGTCTTCTACTCAAGTTTGGTCTAACCATTCCCAGACTTGAAAAAGTGTTTCTTGATATGGAAGTTTGCTTCTTATAGAGTTGTTTTTGTTCTTCTTGTTTTTCTTCCTCCGCTTGTTCGAGCTTTTTAGCTTCTTCCATGAAATTGAAATCCTTTCCAAACAACACCGTTTTACGGTGTTGTTTTGATGATTTAATTTCAATCAGATTTGACTTGATTGGATGGTCCATTCCTGCACTTCTCCGTTTTTCTTCCGATGTTTCTAACGTACACGAGTCTCGAAGACTCTCTGAAATTTTCATTTTACTTTCTTCATCTTCATTTTCTTCTTTTTTAAGTTGAAGTAACGACTTGGTTAATTCCTCGTCGTTCGGAAGAGATAGGCGGTACTTTTCTTTCCGTGTCTGGACGCGATTTTTCACTTTGACTTTTTGTGTGAGACATTCGTCGCTTTTGGAGAGGTCTACTGATGCGTCGCACGACTCGACAGAGATCTCAAACATATCAACTATTGTATCTTCCGAATTTAAAGACTTTATATCAGGCTGCACCTCTGCTGTTTGTAACGATTTCCTCTTCTCTGTGATGGGTGTTGTGCCTTGTGACGCCTTCTCCTTCTTTTTGCGCTGGACGACGTCCCACAACTTGTCGCTGATATCTTTAGAGAAGCCAAATGACTCGATATCAAATTGTTCGATATACACAATGTCATTGATATTCAAATACCCAAATTGGACTAACTTATCAGTGACTTCTTCGATCCCCTCTTTCTTCATAAATGCTCTGATTGCCTCGATCGGGTCGGTGTATATCTCCGCCGGCTTTCTCTTCTCCAATTCTGCACCGGAAAATACGTCCTTATATTCGGGGAATAACGTCACAATAAATTTGTTCAAGCGGTAACAGAGGTCGTCCAACTTCTCATCCTCCAAATCCGTCGTTTCAGACTTTAAAAAGTGGATCCCCCTTTTGAACTGAAAACACGCAGAAAGGTTGACCAAATCGTCTTTGTTCTCCGCACACGTCGACGAAATAAACATGACGGGCGCAGTAATCTTTTTGACTTGTGGAATTGTCACACACGAGAAACACAAAGAGCCCTTCTCGACTTGGGGATTCTATTCATTATTAATTCATTTACTAATAACGTACTAGTAACAAACGATTAAAACAATTCCAGCCAACTTGTCTAAACCTTTTGAATGCTTTTGGATCTTATAGGCTAGACATAAAGTAGGACCAACACCAGCACCTTTTCCATATAATATCACACGACTTGGCGATTGTTTTAACGTCTTTGTAACAAACCTCCACACCGTTTCAATATTTGATGCAGTTTTGGTGTCGGAATATGAAGACCCCACGGTGTACCCTGGGTACTCCCACGCAACTACATTTGCTTTAAATATCTCTGCAAGACAAGATAACCAACTTTTGATATCGGAAAGACATTCGTTTGCATCGTGATTGTATAGGATAGTATAAGGTTCGGTTCTATTTATTATTGTTATAACTCTTTGCTAATGGATGAAGGTGCATAGAAGAACAAACACAGTCGACTTCGGTTTGATGTGAAGGATTGGGATATTCTTCGTGTCGATTTTAGTAAGGCCTGTGATAATAGGTTGGACCCCCGTTGAAAATGAGAGTTTCCGGATTTTGGCGCCTTGTTTCAAAGTGATGGGTTGTGTAGGAATGCTCATCCAAAGAAAAACGATCCAAAATTTTTGAGTTGTTCTAATGCTTATTTTTTCTGTAGGTTTTTTATATGATGGCTTTGGCTCTCTAAAATACTTACAAATCCTTCTTATTTTCGGGTACTTTGTAATTCTATAAAATACAATAATATAAATGATTTCCTTCTTATTTTTATTCTATTGTTTTACTATTGTCGAATTATTTGAAAAAAGTTGAGTTCGTATTTTGGCAACATGAAATCAAAATAGAATCACAGAAACTACCATTTTAATTTATAATTACTAGACATATGGTTTATGGGTTGATTAAACAAAAAGAAATCTAATTGCTATAAATTGTGAAAACAAAATGTAAAAGCATTTGTTTCTTTTTTTTACTTGGGAAAACTCCATTCTTTCGTTTTTTGTTAATTTTGTTTTAATATGAAAAAAATAAATTGACATTATCGTACAATCCAATCTTGTCAAATAATCTATTAGTAATAATTGACAAATATTACTATCAAATACCATTACTTTTCTCCAATAGTAAATTATATTTCATATTTATATTTAAATGAATTTAAAAACAATGACAAAGTCTGTCAAAAGAAAGATACTATACTTTTACTAATATTATTATTATTCATTTTTGATCATTGTGACTTGTTCTGGTAAATCAGTGAGCCTTAAGCAATTGGAGAATGCGTATTTGTCCAATTGGACTCCTTTTTCCAGACTTATTTCTTTGATATTGCAACAGTCAAGGAAACACTCCTCTCCTATATGAGTAATTGTTGTAGGTATTTCAATGCAAGTGATAGAGTAGTCATATCTAAAACACTTTTGTGGTAATGACTTGATGGTTTGTGGAAGAACAACTTTACTCAACATGCCACAAAACCCAAAGGCGCTTTCTCCAATAGATGTGACAGTGTTTGGTATTACTATCTCTTTCAAAAAATTTGATTGTTCAAAACATCCAGAAGAGATGTGTACAACGCCTTCTGGTATTTCATTGCCGTACCGGTCCTTGTCTTCCAGTGAAAACTCAACTTGTGAACACGTGATCCCAGACTTATTAAAAATCTTAGACAACCACAGTGGAACTTTGGAGTGTATTTCCTTAAGATTTTCACTTTCAAAGGTGGACAACGACTTACAGAAGGAAAAACACCCTCTCCCGATGTGTCTAAGCTCGTCGCATAACGTCACTTTACTCAAAGAGGTGCATTGCGCAAAGCATGAAGCCCCAAGTGACACCACATTGCTTAAATCTATTTCCTTCAATGCTTTACAACCAAAGAAGCATCTTGGTGGCAATACAAATATATTACCCAAATCAACACGTGTCAATCGCGTTAATCCACTCAATGCACTCTCTTCAACCGATCCAATTTGTTGCGGAATTTCGATGGTTTTGATTTTCTTATCAAAACAGTTGGAAAGCACATTAACATCCTCTGGAATATCTTCTCCAAAGTCTTTGGAGTCGTCCGCAGTGTATTTAATCTTCATAAAAATAAGCTTTTCATCGTCGCAATTAGAAAAGTCGGAGTACGTCACGGGGTATGTCACTACTTGTTTCGGCACACTTTCGATTATTTCGTCTTTGTCACTATACAAAAATTGCTTCTCCATTGCTGGAAACAATTTTTTAGACAAGACAGGGACAACGTTGTATTTGTAAGCTTCAGTGAAACGATAAAACTTTTTGGTCACAGCCATGAGAGTTATTACATCTACACTACTCTTCATGTAGATACCAACAACCACTATATCTACTATGCCCAAGTGCCCTTTTGCGCCTTCAGGAAATTGCCCGTTTGTGTTACCCATCACGCAGAAATGAGTCGTTATACTTTCAAGTTATTGTTCTATTATAGTACACATTAAATAGTTTAATTTACTATTATGATAATAATAATTATAAAATATATATAAAATTATTATTTATATAATTAATACATTAGTTTTTAATCTTGGTATTACATTTTATTAATATAATTACTAGATTTATTAAATTCAGTTGAATTTTTAATTGATTTAAAAAAAACAATAAAATGTTATATATAACAAAAAAACGAATTAATGTTTTTGGATGAAATAAGTTGTCAACACGAGTGCGGTGATGCCAAAAAGAACAACCAAAAATGCAGTTGGAGAGATGCAAAATATCACACGGCTCATCGCTTTGTCGGCCTGCTCTTCACCCCGACTTTTCACTTCAGGCTCTTCATCGTCGTCATCTTTTTTAGATTCTTCCTCATCTTTCTGCTCCTCGACTAATCCATTACTTGGAAGTTCTTGAACATCAGGAGTTGATGTCTTTTCATTGACAACATTGTACTCTTCTCCAACATCGCGTTGAGTTAGAATTGGGTTACTTGGGCTGTAGTCTTCATTGATACTCTCGTTTTGTGGATTTGACATTTGAAAAACACAATTTCGATGAAAATGTTTTTCTGTCAATTAATTAAATAATTGATTTAATAGCTATTTTTACAATTATAATATAAATTAAATAATTTAATTAATACTAATAAATATAATTATTCTAATCTAAAAAAGATAACGAAATAATAACAATTGAATTAATAAAACAATTAAAAACGGTATAATTAAATAAATAATATCATATTCTATATTTATTACTAATATAATATAAGTATAATAAACTATAAAAAATACACATCAAAAGATACGATGAGTCTCCCCACACCAATATGTCGGCGAAAGATCACTGTAGAAATGAAAGAGGCTGCTAAGTCCAACGACAAGTACATCATCATGAAATTTGATCCCCAAAACATATTGAATTGTTACTACGTATTCATTGGTCCAGAAGAGACACCCTTTGAAGGTGGAATGTATTTTGGAAAAGTTGTTATCCCAACTGACTACCCATTCAGACCTCCTTCACTTCTTATGTATACCCCTTCAGGGCGCTTCGCGGTCGATACGAGAATTTGCATCTCTATTAGTGATTGTTTGTTTCGTGGTCTTAAAATGTTATACAAAATGTTATTGACGACAAGTCCATCCCGAAACGTGGAACCCGGCTTATAACATCTCGTCAGTACTTACAGGGTTGTTGTCGTTCATGACCTCAAACGAAACAGGGACGGGTTCTTTCAACGACCCACCACAAAAGCAGAGAGCTTATGCAAAGGCATCAATGGAGTGGAACGCCAAAAACACACTCTTCGCGAAGTTTTTCCCCGAGTTTTTGTGATTGAAGTCTTGAATCACTTTTCGTTTGTGTCTAGATTTGATATTGTTTTTTATACTATTGATATATAGTTTAAAAGACAACCATTTCAATCGCGTCTGAAAATGTTATATTATATTAGGACTTTTACCCGAAAATAGGTGGAATAAACGCCTATTATTAATAACTTTTTCTTCTCTGTTTTAAAAAATATAAAACATAAACTACATTTTATTACAAATATATTATATATGTATAGTATAACTCCCTCATACAAAACATTCCCAAACAAATAAAGCCCAAAAAACCTTAGAAATACACCAGAAATACCTAAGATATCGGGTGCCCAATAATCAGTTGAAAAGAACTTCAAAATACACTCCATCAATGGCAAATCGTTCCATTTATTCAGTTGCTAAAAAAACTGACACATCCATCGCAGCGACACGTGTAGATGATGGTGACGCGTTTGATGCATTTGATGATTTCGACAACATAGAAGAACCAGTTCCTGAAGTCCCCAAACCCGTTGAAGTGAAAGAGGAGGAGATTCAACCAGAAGTCTCTCAAAAAGAGGAAGTCGTTCAAGAAAAAGAGGAGCCAAAAATCGAAGAAAAAACAACCAATAAGCCTGGGTGGTGTTTCGACGATTTCGATGGGGCGGGAACTATCAAACCAAAAATCTACGCGTCGGCTGCGGGGGGATCAAATGTTTCTGTTAAAAAGCCTCGTTTGTTCTTGACTCAAAAAGTATTAGTCCTTTATTATAATATTTTTATAAAATCTAGTTACACACAAAATCGGTACTTTATAAATAAATAATTATTGAATATAGAAAATGTCCTGACTTGCAGAGAAAGCTCGCCCCAAGGAGACTGCTTCTTCGTCTTCAAACGTCGACTGGAACAAATACAAAAACGCCAAATCAATCAGCTCGGACCAACTTTTTGGAAGCGACGAGCCAACAGAATTTGAGAAGGCAAAATTGTCGCAATACCAAAACTCGTCTGCAATTGGGTCAGACGATTTCTTTGGAAAAAAAGAGGAAGAAAGAACTTATAAAGTAAAAGGTGACGATGACGACTGGGGAAATGATGACTTGGCAAAAGTCGCTAATACTTTGGCAGAAGGAGCGTCGAGGCTCGCTACTAAGGCGAAGAACCTCTTTGACGATTTCTAAGAATTTTTTATTGTTTGTTGGGTTATGTACTGTATTATTAAAGTATAAATTTTTGTAGTATTTTTATAATACATATTTATTAGAGACGAAAAACTGTATTCTATAGTTTAAGTGAAATATAGAAAAAATATAATACATTAAAATGAGATATGAAGTTTGTTATTTGAAAAAATAAAATCTCGGATTTAATAAAAATCTTTTTTAATCAAAAAGCTTTTTGTGAACATATTGACAAGTTGTACAACAAGTTTTGCATCAAAAGCTTTCAAAACACTAACAAAATCGGTTTGGAAAGTCCTTAAAAAAAGAGTTAAATTATTAAATTGAACGATATTTAATAAAGTAAAACAAATGGTAAAATAAAGCTCTGTTTGCCAAATAATTTACTTGTTAAGAACATAAAGAAAAGAAAAATGGTAATCAATGATGATAAAGAGACGAGAAGGTTGACTCGAAAACGAAACAAAAAGATTTCAAAGAGAAATAACAAAATTTCTTCTATAAAAGAAGAGGAAGTAGAAAGGAAATATCTCGAAAAATAAGTATGGAAGATCAAACAGCACAAACATGTGAAAACGGAAATTATCAAGAATATCGAACTCCTTTACCATTGAATGGTCAAACTTCTTACCAAACTTATCCACCGTTCTATTACAATATTACTTATCCCTATTATACCACTCAGATGTATCCGTATCAAATGCAATACCAACAATACCAACCATTCCAAAATCAAATTGATGAAGTCGATGCTGCTCAAAAAGCACGCGAAAGAAAGGAGAAAAGACTTGAAGTGCTTGTGTCGCTGATTTTATTTGTTTTAGGCTTCTTCTGTTTGATTACTTGGGTCGTTAACTTGATGCTATTCAATCGAAGTCAAGTCAAAAAGGCTAGAATAATGGCGCAACTCTCTTGGGCTTTTATAGTGATGACCTGGGTATTTGCAGTCTTCACTATTCTCTTCACCAGTACAATTTAGTCCGTTTTGTTTGTATTTCATTGGTTTTTCTTTGTTCTGTTTGACTCCACTTAAGACTCCAAGTGAAGAAGAGTCTACCTTAACTCTAGTACCCATTTTAGTTTATTTTATAATAAATATACTAAAAATATAAATTCAGAGACAAAGATGAAAAAGCAATCAGTTACGCAGAAGAAGAACCATCAAGTGGGTTCGGGAGTGTACTAGAGAGAATGAACAGAAGTGTCCCACCAATTGACAACCCGACGTTCATCGAGACCATAACCAAATTACCGGCAACCTTCATATCAGCAGGATCGATTTCTTTATATGCAATTTGAATAGCCCAAGCACTGACATACCCATTTGTGAACGAGAACAATAACATGATGAAGAACATGTACCAAGGGGTGGTATATGGAATATAGTAATAACAGAAGACTGGTATATAAAAGACGACACGAGACACTGAGAATATGAAGATCAACCACTTATTCCAAGGAATTGGAATATACACACAGAATCTCGATAACAAGTCACCGATCATGAAAATGGTTGTTATGGTCAACACCACAGACGCCTGTTCGAATGAGCTGCTCAACGCCTTATACTGTGTATTAGTGAAAAATCCCGGGAATATTGATAAGGTGACAAAGAACACAAATCCGATGGAGAACAAGTTGATGGCCATCTTCTTGATCAAACGGATGAACGCTTGGAGGGAAGTCTCTTCTTTCAAAATGGTTTGTGTCTCATCTCCAGCGTTCGCGATATTCGTTTGTTCGTACAACTCTTGTGTGATTGGTATCGCGAAGTACATATAGATATACATAGCATATGACGCCATGGCGACCATACAGTTCAAGTAGAACGACAAGAAGAAGTCGCTGTTTGGTTCGTTCTTGAATATGGCCCCTGAGATAATTCGAAGTACTGACGATATCACACCACCGGCAGCCATTCCAATGAAATACATTGCAGAGTGCACTCCGGAAAACATCCCAGACAATCCCATGAATACCGATGCGTTCATGGGTGTTGGTACACCGTTAAGTGTGGACATAATAATCATCACCCAGAACCCCGCTGCATTGGATGGGATATATACCAACACGAATGGAGTGACAATAAATAAGATGATGTGTATAACAAAGGACAAGTGAGCAAATATGTTGAATGGGAATTTTTTGAGGAAAGAAGCGAGGACAGTCAGAATGATGGCAACTAAAAAGTTGAACCAGTTGTAGAAGAGTGGGAAGGTCGAGGTGTAACTGAGTGAGTAGTCAAAATGTGTTGCCAATAAGTCACTCAAATTGAGGAGTGTGTTGTAAAAGAGAAGATAAGTACTTCCAAAGAAAAAGAAGAATACTATAGTGATGATATTCTTCGCGGTCGATAACTTCGGATTACCAAAGGCCATGTGAATGTGATTTTTGGAGTTCCTTTTTAAGAAGATCAGGCTTCTTTAGACTACTACACCTTTCTAACTAATTTCTTGTTTTCTTCTAAACTGGAATATACTTCATATCACAGATTTTTGTAATAAAATATCGGGAAACAATGGGATGGAAAGAAGAAAAATAGAATTTGTTGTGTTACCATTTGAAAATATTTGCTGTGTATTCATATAAAAAAGATACATTAAAATGCATATCTATATTATTAGTACCACATCGAATAAAAGTTTTTGAAGACGAGTGTTGGTTAAAATAAGAAACAATTACTAGATTTAATAACTTTTTTATTTGTAATTTTATAGTTACAAAACAAACAAGAAAAATAATTTCGTGTATAATATTCGTATTATACGGTTTTTTAGTAAATTTATTATAATTGTTTTGATTCATTAACATGAATAATAATGTAAAGTGTTATATGAAAAAAACTAAGTAATTATAATACATAGTGATTTAATTATTATTTTAATATTGTTTCCTATACATTAAATTATTATAATACTAAAAGGGACCTACATTGACCACCACCACCACCTCTTAAAATAGATTTATTTTTTCTATTTCGAATCATATTCAAATTAAAATTATAGTAAATAGGAAACTGGGG